ATACATACCCAGGGAAAAACAACCATGCCACCAAAAAGAGATTTGTCTTCGGACCACATCCAAGAAATATGCTCCCTTTGCGGTGTGCTCCCAGCAAGCGAGGTCAAAAAGCGCTTCGGTATTGGGTCCACAAGGCTCTACGAGCTATGGCTGGAGCCTGCTGCAGAACCTTCCGACCCTCTTGCCTGCCGGCAAGATAGCTCCAAATCTGAAGTCACCCTCCAGCACAACCATATTGCCTGCCGCAGAACCTTCCGACCCTCCTGCCTGCCGGCAAGATAGCTCCAAATCTGAAGTCACCCTCCAGCACAACCATATTGCCTGCTGCAGAACCTTCGGACCCTCTTGCCTGTCGGTGAGATAGCTCCAAATCTGAAGTCACCCTCCAGCACAACCATATTGCCTGCCGCAGAACCTTCGACCATCTTGCCAGGACTTCTACGATTGTCTGGGGAAGATCGAGGCTCGTGTGGAGCAAAACACGACGATATTGTCGGCTTGTGTGGAGCAAACCGTGATGATGTTGTCGTCTCGTGCGCAGCAAACAACAAATTTGTTGGTGGACATCTTGTCTAGGCTGGACAACGCAGACAATTCCCCTCTCGAAGAACTCCAGGAGAAAACAGAAAGCGTAGAGGAGTGAGTGAGTTTAGTTTTACGCCACTTTTAGCAATATTCCAGCAATATCACGACGGGGGAACACCAGAAATGGGCTTCACACATTGTACCCATGTGAGGAATCGAACCCGGGTCTTCGACGTGACGAGCGAACGCTTTAACCACTGGACTACCCCACCGCCCCCGTAGAGGAGGAACAAGAAGAGACCCATCTGGATATCGAGAAGGTGGGGCAGATGGTAGAATCAGCTCAAAAGTGTGGATCTACCTTTTCAATAGCCGCCTTGTTTCTCTGGAAGGTCGTCTACAAGACCTGGAAGCACTACACACCGGCCGACATACCGGTCGAAACATAGGCCAACAAGACGAAGACAGCAACGCCAAAACCTAGGGACCCGTTCCACATGGACTAGGATAGAAAAGAAATATCGAGAGAGATGCGATACTTTTTCTTGCAATTGGAAATATATATTGTTCTATATATTGTACATCTGTTTTGAAGAGCATTGTGTGTGTGTATGTGTGTTTTTTGTTGTTGTTTTTTTTACTTGATAGAAGCTATACTCGCTCGGTCTCTTGGAACAGCAACTTGACTTCTCGATCGTCTTTCCTTTTCGATATGGGCGAGTGGCAGATTTTGCCAAGCCTGCACAGAAACGGTCCACCCACAGTAGGCCTTCTATTCTGCCGGCGTCTCAAACCATTTCTCGTATCTTGTAGCCGTAGACCGGGATCGTTTTTCCAGTCGGCAAATCGAGTAGCAGCGACAGTCGGTTCCTGCCTTCGCATTTCGCCACGGCAAACTTTTTACACGTATAGATTCCTTCCAGAACTTCTGTGGCTTTTCGCTGTTCGTTGCATGGAGGGGCTGCTACTTCCATATCTTTGGGCCCGCCGTAGTTGGGCAAGGGGGTATGCCAAATATTGTTCTGTCCCTGTGGTGGTGGCTCTGCTTTTCCCGCTAGCTACCGGAAGATACAAGAATCTTTCTCGCATGGACAAATGTCCGCCAATTTGTTGAGGAGGCGTTGGTGTTGCAGGCTCCAGAAGGGGCAGTTGTCATACAGGTTCCAATGTTCGAGATACAGTAGGGGATCGCGATTTCTTCCGGAACCTCGAGGGGGAGTCGCTCCTGGGGTGTGTAGTCTATGGCTTTGTTTTTCCAGAGAACGCATTTCTTGCTGCCGACGCAGTAGTTGATGGCGCCACACTTGCATGTAGAGTTGTCTGGTTCGAAGAGAGTGGGGAGTTCCAATATAGCGGCGAGGCAGTCGGTGCATTGGTTGTGTCTGCCCTTGTGTTACTGGCTGCAGGTCGAAATTGGTTGGGTGGGTAGATGTAGACAAAATCGTCTATTTTGCCATCTTCTACGAATTGGCGAAAGCACAGCAAATAGAGTTCGAGAAACTGTTGAGGGATCAGGTCGGAAGTTGTTGTCTTTGTTTCTGGCTCGGGGTCTATACCACCTCAGACTCGTGTATATCTGGCTTGCGATATGTGGTACTTCTTCTTCGCTTCCCGAACGGACAAACGACCAGATTGGATCTCGGCATAGGCTTCGCGTGATAGCTTGGTTCCTGGCATTTTTTCTATATCCATATACAGTAAGACCTCGGATATCCGGACACATTTGTTTTTACGTAAATCGTCCGGATAATGGAATATCCGGATATCTGGATTTTTGGTTTTCATACACCTCAAGGAAAATCCAAAATGTCTATAATCATCAAGCCTTTATTGTACATGTATAGTCAATAAAAACAGCATCGCAACATCACAACATAACAATCATACCTTTACAATTATTTAGTTTTAAAAAAGTCTTTCATTGAGGACTGCTTACACTGGGTGCCGCTGCTTTGCAACACGACGGACAACATTTTGTCCAGGTTTTCACGGTCGCCAATGTTCTCAAAGTAGCTGACCAGGCCTTCGTAATATTTCTGTGTGTCGGCAAACGAGAAGGGTAGTGGAGCTGACTGATCATCCGTGTCACCGCTACTTTCTTCTTCGGTATCTTCTTTATTGGTAACCATGTCGATAATTGAAGCATCTGACAGGGCCTCGCCAGTCTCAACCTCGATGTCAATATCAACAAACTCCTCGGCAGTGGGCGTGGCTTCTGTGGTGTCTGTATTGCTGGCATCGGCAAACTTTCTGAGTTGTTCGGCCAGCTCAGAAAGCACCATGTCGTCGTCTGAGTCTTCCTCTGTATGATAAGGCAGGATGTCAATGTGGCAGAAGCAGCTGGCTATTGTCGAAGGTTTAACTGCATCCCAGGCTTGTTTGACCATCCTCAGTGATTGTCGCAGGTTGACCACCGGGGCTCCGTCATTATCCACACAGTTGAGGAGATGTCGGACGAGGTGTTTTCTGTAATGTGCCTTGAATGTCCGAATAATTCCGCCATACATGGGTTGAATGTGGGCCGTAGTGCCCGGGGGTAGGAAGTGCACCGTGACATTTGTTAATCTCACATTAGCACAGTTGTGACTAGCGGCATTGTCTAAAAGCAGTATGACACGCCTACAACGCGACCTCATCTGTCTATCAAAGTAGATCAGCCAATCGCTGAACAGGTCAGATGTGAAAGACAATCAACACCAACTGACTTGAATATCGACACACTGCACTCTTATTACTTTGATTGAATAAACAACTTAACAGTTAGAACTCAATGGTTAACTCAGTGTCATCTAGGCCTACTAATCACCACCAATACCTTGCTGACCGGTCATTAATCCGGTATAGCAGACCATGTCTCGTGTCAAAACACATGGGACTCTCGTGCTTCCCTGCACACGGTCAGCCGGTAGATCAAAGCTTCATGCGGATACGCGAGTCAATTTTGTGTTGATTTAGCCAGTTGGTTTGTAAAATATACCGTCCGGAAACGGAAACCGAATATCAGTTATAGACAGTCACTTTTATAACGTAAGAGATTGTTTTTTTCTAATAATTGACCGGAAGGCGAGGTTTCCGGATATCTGGGGTCCGGGTATCCGAGGTCTCACTGTACCCGCATATCTCTAATTGGAGTGCATTTACGTTGGGACACTTTTCGTCTACCGATATTGTTTTGTGAAAAACACTAATTTTTTAGTGGCTGTGGGAGCCGAATTGGCTTGTATGGACCTCCTAGGCATGGTGCACCTATACAGTCTCGGACTATCATTCCCTATACTACTGCATTTATTGTTGATTTACACCATTCTACAAATTTTGAAATTTCAGCTCTGTAACTAAGTTCTGATTCCCCGACAAATTTAACTGTAAAACATCTTTCTGCGTTGGATACACAGTCATTGGTGTACATAAAAACAAAATTGGTGAAATAGCGACAGTTGATGTGTTTACAATTGATGATTTCAAATTATTAACCTGTACAAATTGTTGTCTGTTAACTAGAAATGAATTTATCCATTTGATGATGTTAGAATATGTATTGTACAGATTTGTCTTTCTGGTAAGAGTCATCAAGTTGATAAACTACAATTGGGTACAGGTTAGCTAACATTTGGGTACAAGTCCACCCAAACTTTCTGTAAAGATTGTTCAGTTCCCCTCCAGTTGAGACTGTCCTCATGAGAAGTTGCATTACAGAATTCCAAAGGTTCTGTAACCAGGCACTGATCACTAGGTTGCCTAAACCTGCATTTTTGTAGTACCTGTGGTCCACTTAAAGGTAACTATTAGTCTTAACAAACTTCAAGTGGACATGTGAGTTCAATCATCCACAGTGCTCTCGCCATTAGAAAGCAACAGAATATACTTTGGGATGTCATACGTTTTCAGACAGTTGTGTTTCCTCTTGCTACAACCAAGAGGATTGCATCACGCAGGCATTGTCAACTTGTACTCGGATGATGGTGTTTAAGAAGTAAGTGACACTTTTACAAATGTTCATGGGATAATCAAGGAAACAACAGATGTTCTTAAGCTTCCAAAACCCATAACATAAGATTACTAGCAAGATAAAAATTGAGTCCTCACGATTACTTTCTATTTGTATCTCCTTGAACCAGTTATGTACAGTTCTATTTATCCACACCATTGATACCTTATGTGAAATCTATCATTTTCACATGATATGTAAGTAAAGATATAAATTTACTAACTACACACTGAATTGTCTGTCTCTTAATGCTTGGCAGATAAAGGTGTTGATGAAATAATGATGGTGTTCCAAAGATAAGAGTAAGATCACCAAATACTGGAGCAGATACGTATTTGTCAACTATAGAAAATCAACACTGGTGTGGTAAATAACGAGGAAATACGCCTGCTTTGATAACAAAACACGAACGAAGCGTTTTCGATTTAAGAATTTCTGTTTTTCCATGAAGACAAGAATCTGTCACTGACACTGACAGCGTACTCACCTGGAACTAAGCTCAGCCTTCCTCTGACGTTTACATCACTTCACCTCTTAACGATTAAGGATGACAACCATTCAGACTTGTTACTTCCAGTTACTTTCGTTCTCTTCGAAAAAATGTCTGATAAAGTTATCGATAACAAGGCATAACTTGAGTGAAATTAGTTTCAAACTTGTCCTCTCACATGTAAACACTGAGCCGAATATCTGGTAACGCATGCGCATAAACTTAACTTCGGCCATTCCGGTGCAAGAAAATATCGTGGATCATATTCGTTATTTTCGCCTAAAAATCGGCCTTGAGTAGTTGTAATTTTAACTGCAATTAAAATGTCCGTATAAATGACAAAAAAAATATTCAATTTGTATCATTTCATTGTTAATACCCAAAAACGAAAATATCACACGGACCTACTTCTCATCCGAAGTCGCGCAAGCACTTTTGTATATGTGATTTGCCTGCGAGTGAATAGCAGCCATATTGGTTTATCTTAGTAGTCTTTTGACAGAGGATTTCCCACTTTTTGTCTGTCTTTCATGTCAATTTGGGATATTTTGCAGCAGTCGTAGCATGCCCACATTACTGTTCTACTGGTATTCGTAGCTATGGCTGACAGGCGAAAGCTTCAAGGTGAGGAGATATCTTAAAACAGCAAGCACTTGGCACACTCTGGTTTCGTTATAATGAAAGAAGATTTGTGGTTGCAAAATTCTAATCAGCTGCTGAAATAACATCGCTGTAATTTATCTGCACACTCGATTCACTTGAAATTAGAGAGTAGATACATTTGTTTCAGCGAGATCATAACTAAGTGATGCACATATGGAAACATGTTGAATCTTTAGAAGATGCACCAGCGAAAACAAAACATTTCCTGTCTGAAACCTTCAAATGTTATGTGCATATGCCGTATACAGCGTACTCAGACGCGAATATATCTAATCAGGAATAGCACTAACTAAACTTCACCTCAATTTGGATATTGAAGGTATTTAATATAGCGAAGTAAAAGTATTGTCAACCACTCAATCTGATGCTGAAATAGGTAATTGTGGTCCTTTTCTTCCACATGGTCATATTAAGTCATAAGAATTTCTGTATCGACAGTGGCAATGGTATTCTTAAATCTGATGTTTTTCATTAGCACAACCAGATCAGGTGCATGTCACTTTGACAATCCATTTGATTCCACAGGAACTTAGCCAAACTTAGCTGAGCACATTTAACATGTTTAGCACAAAAGAAAAGTTTTATTTTTGCATATATCATATGAAACCAGTAGTGTTGTAATTTGTTTTAGTTAAAAGGTTGAATACATGCATTAATGAACCCAGTGATTAGATAGTATCTTATCAGAGATAGCAGTAAAGATTCCTGCAAAGCATTCAAGCATATTTAACACTCAGTGTTTCAGCATCTTTTGTTTGATTAAACACTGTAGAGTTGTAATTGTGTTAACATAGGTAAGACAATGGAAAGAACTCTACATTTCATAACTGCTTGCATGTTATTCTTCCAACATTACTGTTTTAGTTAGGCATCAAGGTTCAACTGTCTGTCTCCTCTGATTCCTTATCATGCTTATGTCATGTATATGTCAGACATTGGTCTCACAAGTTTATTGGTAGAAATTAACCTGAATGATTACAAATGAAAGTCAAGACAGATAATTTATTAGGACACTTCCCAAATGCTAAATATTCAATCCCATAGGATATATTTCACATATTGATTAAAAGTGCCAATTGATATTCCTAGAACATGTTGGAGAATGAAGTACTATATAGAATTTCTTGCATTAATGGGTACATGGATGTTTGATGAACAAAACATTTAGCATGTTGAGAAGAAACCATGATCACCAAACTAAGTTGTCATAATTCTATACACAGAACTCTTGCTGCCTCAAACTCAGTGCTGCTCTCAAGTGTGTATTCACAGCAACTCAAGGAACATACACAGTGATTATTTTTCCATCATTACTCTGTTGCAATTACAAATTACAGTATAAACACAACATCAGGATCATGTACATCAAGATAGTAATTAATAACTGTAGACCAGTTTCTTGTGCATGTATCTGGTTTAGTCAAGGAAACAATTCATGGGAGAAACTCGCCTGTTGCAGAATTTATTTGATCTTTGATCTGGAAATGTTTGGTCCACAACTGTATATCATGGATATACATGATAAACCATTATCTTTCAGCATATTGACACTTTTAAATCATAGATTTTCATCGCAATCTTCTGAAAACCAAAAGTATGACTCAGTTATTTAAACTTATTCAAAAAAAATATTTGTGAAATGTATCAGAATTTAAACACCTCCTTTGTAGTCCCGTGTGTCAAGTACATGTATAAGGTGCATTAAAGAACTCTTGTACTGTTTTGTATGCATGTTTTGTATCACATATGAAGCTGATATTCTATGATAACCCTTCAGTCTGTGGGAGTGGTCCTTAATTGGCATATTTAGGTCCTTAATTTGCATATTTAACATGTTGAATGTGATCCAGGGTCGAGTAAAAGCTTTCATGACTCTCTTATTTTAATTATTATCTAGCTGCTAACTGCATAGATTATATTAAATCTTCTTGGTTAGCTTTCATTGAGCCCCCTCCCACATCTGAACTCCTCATGTATGTCATCATAGTATATTTATTTTGGTTGCAAATTTGTTAAATTGCTATTCTTACAGCATTGAAGCATCAGTTAGATTTAGAAATCCCCGAGGCTTATAAACATCAGGATAGTGGTATTTACCATTGTCAGTTATGATTAATATGCTCTAACTGGCATCAGCGGCATGATGTACCAATAGTGTCCTCGCTGCAAAATTGCTGATGCAGCATTAAACAATTTTTACCCACTTACCAATATTTACCGACTGCTAAATTCTGTTTTTGTCTCATTGTGTTGTATTTCTTAATGCAAGATTGACAAATATATTTCAAAGATATAGTGAAATCACATCCGCGTGTGATTTTTGAGGTATTGGTGATGAGGGCCCAGAGGAGGTTGTTCATGTGAGAGGGATGTAATGATGACATTGTGGAGTCAGTCTGTCAACATCCAAATGTGATCACTTATTTCATGTGACAAAGATGCAACATTATATATTGCGTGTATGATTAAGTTTGGCTCCTCAGAGCTCACCTCAAACCATTCGTTGATTTCACATTAATTTTCGACTCGCTGTGCGCATGTACTATCGGTAATAGTACTAATACGACCAAACCGGAAGTTGACCAGTGGATATTTTTACCCGCTTTACTCATGCACACAGCGAGTCAAAAATTAATGTGAAACCAACGAATAAGCATACTGTACAGGCTGTGATTGTGCAATGCTTTTGGATGGTTACTACATTATGGAACCAGATTACTTTGTGTACAACATAATATTTATTAAAAAATACTCAGGATACTTATGCATTTACCATACTTCACACTTGCATTGCCATCAACAGATTTGTTATCAGGCTGTCCATATATTTTCCTGTGTGTCCAATCTCACCCTTAGTTTTCATTCCAGTGAGAAATAATAAAAAGTTTTCTTATCTCAGTCGGAAATGTTTTCTTTGATGTGATAAAAATACTCTTACTATGGTTATCAGCTTGATCTATATACATGTTTAAGAAAATAAATATTTTTGTTGTAGAGCACCTTGATCCACATAAGTTCATTTGAAGACAACTAGAAAGTGATCTAAATTTGTAACTTTCATGAAATAAGTGGCACTATTAGTTGAAAACATATTTTTCTAATTATGTCTTTTTGCTAGCTGCTGGTTGAGAATGGAGATGGGAAATGCATAAAAATGTATGGATGGCCTAAATGTCAAGACTTTAAGAAATGACAATTTTGCTATTTGTTACTGGACTTCACACAATGTTTCTCCTTTTTTTCTCAGGTGAAATTGACAGATGCCTTAAGAAAGTTAGTGAAGGTGTTGAAGTTTTTGAAGACATATGGAAAAAGGTATACTTTATTTATATCACGAACATGTTTGCATATTTACTTTAGTGAATCGTTTTAATGAACATAAAATATACATGATATATAAACCCAGACCCAACATTGTATGTGTCAAAAATAGCAATTCTGTGTACAGCAACAGATTTATCAATTGACATGCTGTTCAGAGATCCAAAGTGTAATTGTTTTATATATCCTACTCGGTAAACTAAACTGACCGGCAAAAGAAACTTTGCACCAGATTGAAAACATTCTAATTCCAAAACTGAAAACAATAGAAGATTGAGGTAAAGTATATTTAATATATCAACAATGCCAGAAAGCATTGAAGAACAGAAAATTGGCGTTCTGCGATCACATATTGCACTACAGACATCCAAAGCCAGGAGGGGTTAAAATTTCGGTTATCCAGATGTCCAGTACAATTCATTCAAACCCAGATAGTGGTTCCAGTCACAAAATGTGTCACTTTAATACCGTGTATGGCCACCCGTGCAGCCACACATGCAAGAACTCAACGTCGGACCGAAGACGTCAAACGTCTGAGGTTACGTGGCAAGCGGTTCCATTCTGCCTGTAGAGCTTGTACCAACTCTTGTCTGTTGGTGGGAGGGTGTTGTTGGAGCCTAACATGCCTGTCCAAGATGTCCAAGAGGTGCTCTATGGGATTTAGGTCCGGAGAGCATGCCGGCCACGGTAAGACGTCGACGGTTTGCGACAAGGAAGTTCACAACAATACGAGCTGTGTGAGGCGGCCTGACATTGTTGTGCTGGTACAGAACACCCGGGGCTGTTGCTGAAAGTAGGGTAGTACCACAGGACGAAGGATGTCATCCCTGTAACAATGATCATTGAGATTTCCATTAATGACGACTAGTGGCGTTGTCTGGTCACCACAAATGCCACCCCACACCATGAGTCCACCTCCACCGTACGGAACGACTTGTTGTACGCAGCAAGCGGCTGTACGTTCACCTCTGCGACGGTAAACACGTCTGCCATCAACAGTAAACAAACAGAACCTGCTTTCACCCGTAAAAATCACGCATTGCCAATCCCGATGTTGCCAACGTCGTACCGTATTCGTCCATTGTAGTCTCCTGCAGTGATGTTCAGCGGTCAACATCTGTCCAGTGAATGGTCTATAAGCCCTGATACCCGCTGCCCAAATTCTTCTGGTCACCAATGTCCGTCCAGTCTGCCTGTATTGTTGCAACAAGTTACCAATGGCAACACAGGAACAACCAAAGGTTCATTGCAACGTGGGTATGCGTTGCCCCCATCTGAATCATTCCGATTGCTCGCTCGCGTTGTTCTGCTGTCAGTCTTGCCATTTCAAAGGTGTTTTTTTCCCAATGTGAATGTCTAACATCGGTGCTGTGCAGTATTTATACCCATGTGGCATGTGCAGTTCCGCCTTTAGTGGGGTCGCATGATTTCCAATATTTCGCAATTTCAACAAGACACGTGCATATTGCCGGTTCAACCTTTCACGTGAGCATAGGTTGCGTTTGGGCTATGTGTTTATGACCATTTGGGTTTCAACCTATCTTGCTCATTTTTCGTCATATTATTTTCAAATGTGCAAAGTTTCTTTTGTGGTTCAGTTTACATTCAGTTGTCTGCTCTAAGCATTTTGATTGTGCATGTACCGTATATGACTGTAGACAAGCTGAATATTGTGGGCCACCCTCCATCCCCACCCCAAAAAACCCAAAACAGTCTGTAGAAAGTGGTTGGCATATATATGGGTTAAACTCAGTTTTCTGGTGGTAAGAAAACAACATTGTATCGCTTCATATAAACGAACAAGAGAACATGAATTTTGTCAGTGATGACGTCAGATTTGCAATTACATGTAAATATCACTTTAACCATAACAGCAGCACTTTTGTGTATTGTTGGATATATTTTATGTATGGAACAATTTCATCTGTCATCGCTGTGGTTTGCCACGATCTTGCTATTTCTATCATGAAAACAGTTTGTTTACATGTGATCGTCCAGCTACAGTAAATGTGATTTATGTCGAAACAAATTATATATACATATCCATTTTTTGTCAACTACACTTTGTTTGGAGGCGTGAGTGGATGCAATGTTGTGGTTGCTTTGAATAAGGTAAACTGAAGTTGTAAGCTATGGAGCACAGGCAAACTGTAGAGCAAATAGGGCTGCACAACAGAGGGAAAAATGACCAGTCTTTCTATATGCAAGCAAAATGAACAAAGGTTGGCAACGTGCTTCCCTTGTTTCGGTTCGAAAAATATTGTAAATGTCAAAATAAAATATCGCCACCATCAAAGGTAGACACCCATTTCCTCACAGGGTTGTGCTCTTAGATTTCCAACCTCATATTTAATAATTACTCATGTAAAATATATTTAATTCAACATTTTAAGCGCCACTTGTGGCACATCAAATCATTCTTCTCCTCCATTACCCCTGCCAGCTTCAAGTTCAACGGGGTGAAGGAACAGGGGAGTTAAATCTAAATATACTTGTTGAATCACATGTCCACCATATGGAATACCTGCGTAGTTACTTCCCTTGCTTCATTCACCCACTACGCCAGAAGTGTGTTTTGTACAATACATGTTACTAAAATTCTAACAATAACAATGGCAGATAAAAAAAATAATCTCCTATAGTTCAATGGTAAAATTATTTTACATGAGTAATTATTAAATATGAGGTTGGAAATCTGAGAGCACAACCCTGTGAGGAATTGGGTGTCTACCTTTGGTGGCAATATTTTATTTTGATACTTAAAATATTTTTCGAACTGAAGCAAGGCAAGTATGTTGTCAACATTTGCTCGTTCCTCTCGCATATAGGAAGACTGGTCATTTTCTCTTTGTTGCGCAGCCCTATTTGCGCTACAGTTTGCCTGTGTACGGAGGGACACACAATATCAGGGCAATTAATATAAAGATTATTGAATGGAATTTTGAGTAAAATTATTAAGCTATATTACAAACGTAAGTCCATATATGCACAGAACATGTTTTATTACTTGATGTGTAACAACAGGAGTTGCTTGCGTAATTCAATATGGATATGTTAACACTCTATTTCCGAAGACTGGTAACAATGAGAAGATGAATGAAGGCTGATGGTTGGGCTTATTATGGAACATGCGATTTTATACTGATTTTAAGGGTCAAACTAGGACTCTCGGCTTATCTGCAGTCATATGGTTTGTCTAATGGGCAAAACTGACCCACTGATACTAGATCTATCCATGCAATTCATGTTGTTATGTTAAGGAAGAACACTGGGATGTTAGCTTTCTTTATTTACTGTAGTCATTTATGATAATTTATGACATTTTGAATAAACCTTTGTGCAGATATGTTCAACTCCTCAAAAATGATATTCCAGACTGCCTATCCTTGGATCCCCCATAATCCAGTAAATGAGTGTGGATTAACTTCTGATATAATAAGTAATTTTAATGCTCTAGTGATCATAAGGTACTGAGTTGGATATTTTTCTCACATGCTGTGTACAGTGTGCTATTGAGCAAAAATGTCATTGTTTTTTTCCAGGGTTTACAAAGTCATCACTAGTGCAGTTATGTTACTTTCTAATCCTTGGAGAGGGGATACCTTAATGTGGTCCTTTTCTGAAGTGATTACATAGCATGACAAGAAAGACACTTGACTTAGATTTTGCTGTTTTTTAGTCAGATTTAACATTGTTTAAGTACATGTTTGACTCCTGAACAGAATATTTAGAATACATGAAAACAGCTCAAACCTGGAATGGGGTTAAGCTGATATGGGATATGGACTGTTGTTGGTTTTGAGTTTGTAAAGTTGTTTTCTCTTTAATAGGTACAGCAAGCAACTAATAGCAACCAAAAGGAGAAATATGAAACTGATCTGAAAAGAGAAATCAAGAAGTTACAGGTTGTGTATTGAAAACTATTTTCATTTTTTGTTTTCAGTCATACACAGCTTTGCTGCCTTAATGTTATGTGTACCAACCATACATAATATTAATACAGAAACGGAAATTTACTGCAAGTTACAGTCTATGTAAAACACTTGATAGGTAATGCTAACCTCCCTTGGAGAGAGTTCTTGTGGACTCTGTCTTTGGAAAAGTAGCTGAACATGCTAAAATTGGAGTTTCAAGCCATGGAAATATGAATTCTTGGTGATACATTCTGTAATTCTGTGACACTTTGTAGTGTAAAGTTACATTTCACAGATCGTATCTGCTATTTGCAACACAGTTTAGTTCTGAATAAAGATGGAAACAATTGTCTTCTTACAGCGATTGCGTGATCAGATCAAATCATGGGTTGCCAACAGCGACATCAAAGACAAGTCCACTCTTTTGGACCACAGGAAACTTATAGAAACAGTAAGTAACTGACATTATACTTCTCTTGAACTAACGTACAAGCTGTGATGTGCACAAGAAGTACCTGACATTGTACCTCATCTTGAACTATGTGAAACATACTATGAGACGTAAATAAATGACATTGTACTTTTTCTTGTGAACTGTGGGGTTCCATTCCCTACATGGGTACAATGTGTGAAGCCCATTTCTTGTGTCCCCTGCCCCCGCCATGATATTTCTTGAATATTGCTAAAAGCGGCTTAAAACCATACTCACTCAATCTTTCACTCACTTTTCAACTGTGTGTACAAGTACAATAATATACCGAAGTAGTGCCTGAAATAGGCTTCCTCTTGAATCATTTGTATGAAGTACGACAAAAAGTTACCAAGAATTACTTGATAGAAATATGATCTCAATGATTCAGTTTAGTTGCAAACTACATATTTAATGCTATGCACTATCAATAAATCGGTTTCTTTGCAATGGTAATAATATGCATGATGTTCTTGTTCACAGCAAATGGAAAGGTTCAAAGTAGTGGAGCGAGAAACAAAGACGAAAGCTTACTCGAAGGAGGGTCTTGGGGCAGCTGCAAAGCTAGACCCGCAGACAAAAGAGAAAGGAGAAATCACAAACTGGTTATCGGTTCGTACTTTCACATATCTTGTATTCTCTATCTAGTGCATAATGCACATATTTTTCTATTATTACCCACATGGTCAACGTATGGGTAGTACTTATCTCGTACGTCACACGTGACGTATCACGTTGACCTGTGTCGTAACGACTTGACCTGAGATTCTAACTATTTGATTCGATAACCGATGACCTCTCAATTAGGTCACATTCTGACGTAACTATTTTTTCATTCATAACAAACACGTGAATTCATTCATTCTACAACTTAAATGCCTTGTGGGAATGTAAACATTGCGAACGTTGCTGTGTCGCTGTTTAATTGTGAGTCGAACTGAGACATTATATCCGTCAAAAAATATAAATGCAATGTTTCCACCAGTGATGCTAGCCGAATGAAGCAACTGCAAACCAAGAAACGGGGTGCTACGGAGTAGTTTACTGTAGGAAGCTGTATGAAGCGATGACAACTGACATGCATCGTGACGTCAGTTACCAAGGCAGTGACGTCATTACAGTGTGAAGTCATGCAAATATTGTACTACAGTACAAAACTCTTCCGCAACCTCTTTATGAAACCGGTTTCAGTTTGAAACAAAAAAATAACAAAAATATGTTTTTTTGTCAATTAAATGCATGTAAGACGTGGGTAATAAATAAAATACTACACTAGGTCTCATTACATACGAATTATACGAAACTTGTGACCTTCCTATGTTATCTGACCGAGCGAAAGCACTCATTTCGTATAATTCGTATATAATGAGACCTAGTGTAGTATTCTCTATTTAATACACCCTTTCAAAATCTACAGTGTCACTTCAAGAGAACAATCAGGAAAATACGAACTTGGTCCATGAATATATAGAATTTGTGGTAAACATCTGTCGACATGATGATTAAAGATCCGATGAAAATGCAAAAACTGGTCTTGCTGATGAGATAACAAACTTGAAATACTCAATGTCGGCTAGGGAGTTAACACCTGAAACTTTTGAAGGGATGATACAAGGTTTTTGGAGGTGTCAGGTTTGAAAATGATTTGGTTATCTTAATTAATGACTTATGGCTGGGTCATATGTATAAAGGATGCCTTATACTTAGGGCAGTGTATGAAATAAGCCAAAAAAACAGCCAGACATCAGGGCTGGTAACTCCAAAATGTTACCAGCCCAAAATTGATTTAACCAGACCAGACACCAAGAATTCACTGAGATGTATGGAACATCTTAAAATTTGCACCAGACTGTCGGGCTGGCTAGCTGTAAATTTAGACCATCCGTCAGAAATCTAGCCCACCATGGGCGGTCGGACGGGCCTTATTTCATACACTGCTTAGGGTCATGGACTTTGAATACTCAAGAGTATAGGTAGGTTTCTAGGTGAGTTTGTCAACCACAGGATGTCCAGGGATAGAGAGTTTTAAGAACGTCATGTACTAATGCTTTTAGAGAACTGTTTCGTGTTTTCAGCACATGATTGATAATCTCAATGTCCAGCTTGATCAGTTTGAAAGTGAACTGGAGACATTAACATGCACATCCAAGAGAAAGAAAACAGAGGTAAGTCCAAGCTGATAGTATTTATCTTGTTCCAAATTTAAAATTTGCAGTGACAACATGAGAGGGGGTATATTTACCCATGCCTTTTGAGTGTGTAGCTTTATTACCATGGTTACTGAAATGAATAACAATTTTGTTAATGTGAATTGGAAATCAGTAGTAACAATATAAGAGACTTAAATGTAGAATTATCCTGGAATTTGTCTGTTCTCACACACTTTTACATTTATGTGTAAGTTAATATTTTGTTGATACCTTAATGAATGTTAAATTTTGCCTGCAGCATGAAAAACTGGATGAGTTGAAGAACTGGCAAGACCGACACAAAGTCCACATCCAGAAACTGGAGATGGTGATGAGGATGGTGGATAATGATGCCATCACACCCGACCAGGTTAGAGATCTGTGGTGTTTCAGCATCACTAAAAGTACTCTCTCTACGTCAACCAACATATTTCTAATGAAATATGCATTGTAATTACTTTTTTAAGACTAACATGAAAGGTAAATGCCTACTCATTTCAGATTAAGAAGATCAAAGATGATGTTGAGTATTATGTTGAGTCCAACCAAGAACCGGACTTTGAAGAAAATATGTTTGTCTATGATGACCTAGATCTGGAGGAAATAGGTGAGAATGGTAAAGTCTTTGTTGAGAGGCTCAAGCTGGAAACCTGCCCACAGCATGCCTTATTTTGTTAATCATTCTTAAATCAATGTGATAATGAAGTATACTGGCCACATAAAGAAACTGTGCATACAGAAATATAAATATAGGCACACAGCGTCTTTATACATAAATACAAGTGTGAACATAGCAAGTGTTGGAGACAATCAAACGCTCATGAACGTGCCAGGCGATGTGATCATTGATGGTGGCCTATGGACTTGCAATGTGTTACTGCATGTGCAGCCCATGCATCCGCACAAAACATGTGAAACTCAGAAATTGCAGTCACTGTCAAAAGCTTGATCTTTGGTCATTCAAACGTTCACAAATTCCCATGAGAAGTCACATGCATGTCATGGCAAGATTAACATCTGCTCAACGTCAAGAGCTATTGGAATGGTTCGAGCAAGAATGAGCCAACAACAGGTGGCAGCACATTTCCAATGCCATTGTAACACGATATCTGCATTGATCAGGCGTTATCGAAACAGTAATGACGTAACCGACCATCCACGTTCTGGGCGTCCCCGACGTAACGACGCCAAGACAGGACAGATGGATTCGGGTGACTCATCTCAGACACAGGTTCCAGACGGCAGTGACCACATCCCAAAACCATTCCGCAGGCCTTCAATGCTCATTTGGTAGCCTCTGTGCGTCCGCGATGCACTGCTGTGCTTCACGCACAGGGTGGTTATACCCGTTATTGACTTTGTAACTTTTCGTCATGTGACCACCTACTCGATTTTGAACTTCTGACGTCATCGTTACGGATTTTGTTCATGTTCTTGTGACATTATGTTGTGGTCCGATACTTCAGCTTATAAAGTGTCTCTATCATTTCGTCTTTTCTGTGTTGTATTCTAATTCTGAAGGAATTTTCTGTGTGCACGGTTTCTTTATGTAGCTAGTATATTTTCCTTTTAAATGTGAGTTTTCGGTTTGTTCAGTCATTTATCTCAATACTGCTCATCAACCACAGATTTGTCCTACCAAGAACAAATTAATTAAAGGTTGATTTGCATTAGTCCATCTCGCCCAACAGGCTTGAGATTTGGGGCAATGCATAAGTGATTAGCAGGCTAAAGACCTGTTTTGTTTAGATGATTGGTTGTTTGGTGTTCAACGCCGCACTCGGCAATGTTCTAGCTATATGGCGACGGTCTGTAAATAATTGAGTCTAGACAAGGCAATCCAGTGATCAACAGCATGAGTATCAATCTATGCAATTGGGATACAATGATATGTGTCAACCAAGTCAGCGAGCCTGATCACCTGATCCTGTTAGTCGCCTTTTACGACAAGCATGGATTGCTGAAGATCAATTCTAACCCGGATCTTTCTCGGGTTGTTTGGTTTAGAAGCTGAACAGGGATTGCTGACAGCCAGGTGTATCATCTCAGTTAGGGAATTCATTTAACCAACTTCTGAATAATGATTTAATCATTTAACAAGTGAATACATGAAATAGATTAATTGAGTTGTTTTACACATTTGCAAACAATTGATTATATCCTGAGCTGGATCCCTGCAGTTTCATCTGTACCCTTTGAACATTTTCACTGAGTATGGGCTTGTTCCACAAAACACTCTTACAAGAATGCTTTCCCAGCCTGACCTGAAAGGGTGTGTCTTACACTATGGCCAGACTGTGTGGAAGTATGTCCAAAAGTATCCTGGTATACAAGAGAGTTGAAGAGACATTTTGTGAATGGTCAAAGTGAGATGTCAAGGAACTGGATGTAGTATCACACTTGGCACATGAACATTTTATAAAGTGTTCCTGTGTCTATGATGTATTTTGAATTTCTTTTGCATTGAAAACTAGTTAACAGACCATAGTTGGCCACTCTTAAATGTTGATGCATATCAGAAACCAGAATTTCTTGTAGAATTTGCATTTTGACAAGTGATGTTGTCTTTAGGTGCACTACAAGCATCATCAGCCCCCTGAAAACGAGGATGCAGAGAAACTGATGACAATGGCAATGAGCACACCGACATCAACAAACTCAAGTTCTCCTTCACCTAGTCCAAGTGTTAACCATTCCACAGGGAGTGCGCAATCAGAGGTATGAATCAATGACAGCTTAGTAATGACAAACAAACAGTTGATCTTTTCTTGCGTCATTTTCCTGGTATAAACCAGGTACTTATTAAATGTAGGTGTGTCTTTTTCAGGACAAATCTGAAGAAGTTGAGAGGAAGAGGCATAAATCACAGCCAGATGAGGTAGGGGTCTGAACTGTCAACCTTTAAATCTTAAGCCTAACACTTTATTTTTTACCGTAATGAGCAGTCTCATGTAAGGTTTTGACAGTTTGGATGTTGCCACTCTTATTTTGAATCCATACAGTGCTTGGACATCACAGGGATACATATGTGGAATTTCCTTTTAGCTCTGGGAATTGAACAATCATGTTAAAGGTTAAGGTTGTCCTCAAGGGAATAGCCTAACCATTTGTTTACCATTTAGGGAATCATTTTTTGTGTGTGTTTCTCTCATTTACTGTAATTCTTATTACAATTTATCACGTTAAACATTTTAGATAGATAAACATTTTATGACGTGGCGGTACATTTTAGGTTCAAGTCGGCGGTGTTGGAATGAAAAAGAATGTGGGGTGTCGGCAATAAAATTAGAAGGGTCGGTCGGGCAATGAGAAGCACAAAAAATAATATGTAGGATGATTAACTTATGCTAAGTGCATGCCATCCTTAGGGTGCGAATGTGTACTGTAGGGAATATATTAATGGGAATGATAAAGAAAGAACAGCGGGTATATGGTTATTTTAGACATTTAAGATTTCCTGAATGTGAAATGTAAACATTGTGTTTTCAGAAGCTCAGAAGCAATCAGTCGTTGACACCAACAATAACAATGAGTAACAAACAGACCACGCCTTCAAAACAGACAACTCAAAGGTGAGTGATGAAAACTTCAGCCTTAAAGAACAAATAAACTTTGTTTTTTGGTACTTTTTTAACTATTACATATGAAAGATTTGTGGTTAGTCTAATGCGGAACACCAAATTCATTCTTAAAAAACTTGTGGTTAATTAATACTGAGCGATTAAAAGTTGTCGAAAAGTCGCCTGCTTCACTCTCGCTTGTCAACGAAACCACAGACAGGTTACGTAACTCTGTCGCCAGAGCACTGCAGTGACGTCATATGAGGAAGGATTTTTAGTTAGTTGTATATAAAGTGTGTAGCAAGCTCGTCATTTTGATGATTTCTCGACATCAACGAAGACATGCCGAATCGTTGCGTTGTTGTCAATTGCTCTTAGGGGTTTGGTGATGGTGTCACCATGCACAGATTTCCACTGGAGCCCGCAGTTCGTGCTAAATGGGTTATGTTTGTGAGTGCGAAGCGAGCATTGTGGAAGCCTAAAACGATATCTTACTTGTGTTCAGATCGCTTCACGGAAGTTAAAGAATCAAAACTACTTACTAATTGTAGTAAAATATGTATATGATTGATGACCATAAAGATTTTCCATGACACAACTTGTAACATAACGATTTCTTCCTCGGAAGCGAGGTTGTGGTCGAAGTAACAATAATACTGTAAGTAGTATTATATTGACACCCACCTCACTTCCACAAGAGAAATTGTTATGTTATAAGCTATGTCATGCAAAATCCTATTGGCCATCAATCAAATACATATTTTACTACCAGTAGAAAGTAGTTTTGATTTTGTAAGTCGGTGAAAACAAACGTAATTATAGCATTTATCCTCAGAGTGGCGGATGTTCGCGACAGGGCGCCGCCATTTTTGAAAATTGTAAAGTCACGCGCTAAAGTCTGTTAGAAATAATGAGATTATGGTTTGTTTTCATCAAGTTAGAAAATCAAAAATATGTATTTGATTCATGACCAAAAGGATTTTGCATGACACAACTTGTAACATAAAGATTTCTTCCACGGAAGCGAGATGGTATTGTCGAAGTGACAATACTGAGCCATAAATTTCTTGCTTCATTCACGTGGTTAACGTCAACTCACCAGTATGTAGATACTACTCAATGTACGTCTTTATATTTGGTCTTATAATCCTAATTAGTTTATTATCATACTTGTATACATTTTGAAACTAAATAGAAAGCAGACGATCTGCTGATACTTTTTGATAGTGAATTTATAACAGTAATATCTAGACATTTCATAGTTTGCCAATGTGAATCATTATTCGCACACAGGCCCTAGTGTATGTTGTCTGTCTCATTACACTTCACGGCGAAAACAATGATTCTGTTGAATGCTACGACAAATGAATGAAAACAAAATGGAAATATTAAAATTAAAACAGATTAAAGTTATAGGAACAATGTCAGGCTATTACCTTGTTCAAGGAATGTATCCATCAATATCCACAAAAACGAGTGATATGCCATTCATCTGCAGCTGTTCCAAGCGCTTTGTCTAATATACGAAAAAGTGATATATCGTTTCAGGTATTTCTTATTGGTGTATAGTCTCATTGGTCACGCAAGAAAGCACACCTGGCAATTAATTGCATAATGTCCACTATTGTTTAAAAAAAGGTAATTTAGCTAGCCAATAATGAGCAATCAATCAATGTATTGGCGGTTAATCCTTTGAAAGAAGGACGTTGTTTTTAACGCGTACACAGACACAACAGAGTGTATTCAGTATAGATTAGTAAATCTACATACATAAACACTACCTTTTGACAAATCCGCTGTGCAAGATAACAATAATTAATCAATCAGCGTGTTATCGGTTAATCCTTTGATCAATGTTTATAATGTTGAGTATTTACTCCAGATACAAGAAATGCCAAATGGGAACCTTTGTCGGGTAATGTAAGTGGTGTTACCACTAATTATACCTGTTATAAATTCATTAACTGACCATCAAGTGAATGATGACAAATAACATGTGTAGGTTTATACCACCTAACACGGGTTACAAGAAGTGAGTATTAATTGCTGTATTGCATGCAGTTTTAATTGCATGTGAAAACTTATGGGCCGACACTGTTTTGAGAATACGAACATAACTTCATTGTTGCGTAAGAAATACATAAAGCATTTGCTGTGTGCTAAAACTGTGTGTACCTATTTACCTAAGTACATTTTCAGATTCTTCTAGCAATGGCAAAGTAGGGTTGTTTAGTTTACGGATTCAAATAAATCAAATGTCAATTTTTAATATCATACGTAATAGACGTCATATTTTTACATGACATGATTAAATCTTGAGGTAAAAAAACACAGAAATGGGATCAATTTGGATCAGTCATTATACCACCCAGGCATTAGAAAACCTGAAAAAGCCCCCACTGCTTTGATACTTTATTACAATCAGACAAGAACTACTGGGGATATTTTCAAATAACTGCATCTGATGGGCATCCACCCTTCTTAATGTTGCACTGTTTAAGTTGAAGAAATCAACCGTAACCGTGATGAGCGAGGCTGATCACCGTTTTCGCTATCACTAAGGCCTAATGACACCAATCGATTTTGACAGAATCGTCTATGAAAACAAGTTGTAACTCGGAAACTAGGCAAAGCAGGAGACAAAATTAAATGTCAGTAGATTGTGAGAACATATAGCTTTCATTTTTCACAACAGTTGTCACGATTTCAGGTTTATACAAACCTGTAAACAAGATAATTTACCCCCTGAAATGTACATGAATTCTGCATCATATCTGTTCCTCATATGACATCACAGAGACGTGCCGCTCTGATTGGTTGAAATTGCGTTCGCGGGGGAGGATTGAGCACTATTGTCAAAAAGGTCGATTTAAGTTAATTAAAGATCGAAATGAGTAGTTTTAGTGACGGGGTTTCATTTACAACAATGCCAATTAGTGATTTATGTATTTGTACCCCCCTAGAATATATGTGATCTTTAAGGATTGTTATATTCACCGTTCATTGACAAGTTATCTCCCCTGTGTATATTTGGGAGAGAACCTACCAACATCAAGTAGACAAAGTAATCTTGGTTTCCTCCTGTGGCATATCAGAAATAAATGAAGTGTTTTTAAATTCTAGATTTAATTGATCTGATTTCTGGTTTTTAGTTTTGTCTTTGAGCATGGGTTTCAGTGCATCATCTCAGCTGAAGTTTTCTTGTAAGTTGACACCACAAAATTACCTGGTTTTCATGTGATATCTTTTAAGTGGACAGGCAAGGTGAGTTGGCTGACTTGTCATTTTAGCTCAGTGGGAGGGGTCTTTGTTTATGTTTTCAGTCACTGATGTCTTATATCCTAATTACTCATTTTAAGTCAGGGGTCTTCTTTTTTGTCTCCTCTCAGTAATACAAACTTATTCTGTATGATGTATGTCTTTTTACATTTATTGTCTGTCAGCATGTTATATTTGTCTTTCAGCAACCCCCATTCTCAAAATTCTGACAGTAGTTCTAGCAATCACCATCCTACGACTCCAACCCCTCCTCTCACAGCATACGCAGCTGCTGCCAGCAGTCAGAACAGTGCACCGGGTAAGAACTTTCAGCTAGTTTCAGCACAGTATTGGTACATGTTCTCATATAGTTCAGCTTAACACAGGTTTGATTTTGTGTTCAAATCCTTGCTTTTAACAAAAGGTATTTGAAAAAAATTATGAAAGAAATGTTTAACTTCCTGTTTGAGGTAAACACATTCTTTTCGTTTATCATTTGTCAGCATATATGAGCTGCTTTCATTGATTTTGTTGAGCAAGGATTTGAAACACACTTGTCAAATCTGTAGTTCTCAGTCTGAGATTGCTGATTCTTCTTTTTGAAGAAGATTGAAATGTTCTGTTTATTGTTTCCCATATCTCTGTGAGATGTAACTGATGGTGGCAGCTTAACACTGTTGTCTGAGCAGTCTGTCAGTATGCATGTTGGAAACCCTCTACTACTGCTCAAGTAACTTGGTGATGGGAAATAATTCTTGTTGTTCCAGTTGATTATTCAAAGGATGATCTTATTAATGAAAACTGAAAGTTTTATTGCATAAATTTAGGCACCTTAAGCCAACCATCTTGAGAGAGAATAAGAATATTGCTTTGATGTACAAGATTATTCTGGCTTAATTCAGAAAGGAAAAGAAATATCTAAAACCAAATTTACAATTGTTTCTGATATTGAAGTGTATTTTGAGAGATTCAGGCACATTGTTACACAAAGAATTGTCACTTTAATCCTTTGAAACTTGTCTGGAATTACAAGGCAGGCAGTAAAGTTCTACCTCTGTTTACATACTTTACTAATATAGCATCTGGGCTAAGATTTTCGAAGCTCTCTTAGCGCTAAGATAGTTGTAAGTGCCATACCTTAACATTAACTTTCGACTATCTTCGGGCTAAGAGAGCTTCGAAAATCTAGGCCCAGGACTGGTAGCTAGTTGACTAGGTATGTTATGGCATTGCATGTCACTGACCTTTCTTTCAGCAGTAACAAGCTTGAATTATTAAGACTACAGCAGTTGTGAATCTCCCTGACTCTGCTACTACTACTTAAACCAATACCTGCTAACATTCTGTGTAACCTACGTGCTGACTGCCTGCCTGTCTGCCTGCCTGCCTGCCTGCCTGCCAGCCACCTAGTTGTTTCAGTTGTGTTGACACTGAAGGGCCCACTGGGAGGGAGAGCAGTACAAGTACAACAACTCCACACTGACTGACTCCATTAACACTAGCACTTGTATCTTGTAGGTACTCCCATTCCACGGCTCTCCCATTCCATCCCTTCTGTGTGGGGGCAGCGAAATGCCTCTGCTCACAGTAGCTTCCTCCAGGGTAAGCCATCTGCCCGTCCATCAGTCTTGTCTGTCCATCTGTCTGTCTGTGTGACCACCCTGCCTGATGGTCGGGACATCCAACACACTGGCAGCTGTCACATGGCCTGTTCTCTCTATTATACTGCTGGCTTATGCTCATGTCCTTTTGCTTACATCTTGCTGTATTAAGGGTACAAATATCTAGGAATGGCTTTAGATCTTTGGTTTTCTTTCTTGCTATTTTGCTGGTTGGGAAATAAGACTGATGGTTGTTGTGAAAATACACTTTGTTTGTGTAGTCCCTTTTGAAAAGATACAGTTTCAGGCCAAAATAGTGTAGAAATTGCCAGAGACAACTTGCATTAAGGAATTCTTGTTATCAGCAGTTTCTCTGCAATGGTCCATGCTATTTGACAGTTGTCCAGTGACTGTTGTGGTAATTGGCCTGCCTTGGCTTCTGTTCTGTGAAGCACTTTATTTGGTGGATGATTCTCACACTGTTCTGTTAATGAAAATGCACAACTTATGAAAAAACAATCTGCAAATTGTTTTAGATGTTGTTGTCCATCAATCAGTTTACAGCTAATAGGTAAGACAGATTTAATTTGACATGTCAGTTCCTTTATAATTTGAATGTTGACTGATATATTATGTATTCTGTTTTGAGGATATGGCATGCTGTTGTATTGTAGATGCTAAGCCCACAGGCAACTCTCTAGACCATGTGGCAGCGGCAAGCAGTGCAACAACAAATGGTACCCCTAACTCAGTATCAACCAGTGTCAACTCTGTCTCTGTGTTAAACTCATCGGGAAATCCGTCTGTACCATCAGCGCCATCACCGTTAATGAGTGGCGCTGCAGCACCTTCACCCATAGGTTCCACCAACTCTACAGCATCATCAACGACATTAATCTTGTCACAGTCACAAATTAAGAGTGATGCTCCATTGACAATGAATGGTCCCCTTACGGTTGTTGGACCATCATTACAGGCAAGTTAAATTATTCAAGTTTCAAGTTTCAGTAATTATGCTTTGGAGATGCCACAGAAGAATATTTCCATGATACACCTTGCTTGAAAGTATTACCTTTTCGAGGATCAGGCAATAACTAGTATCAATGTAAGATCTATGCAAGACTTTATTCACATACTACACTTACCTCCTATATGTAGGTTGGTATGTTACCACCTGACAAGCATATCAACATAAGCTGAATTTGTAATTATATCCCCGCTACGAAGTAATGGGGGGCATTGATGTGCCTTTTGCTATTTTAATTTTTTTTCAGAATTTTTTTTTTTTTGCTGTTTCAATGGAAACACGACTTGGTGCCAAATGTGCTAGATGGTTTTGTCCGGAGCATATCTCTTAAAGTTACATGCTAGGTTCACCAAACTTCACACACATGTTAATCATTACCCATTGATGTGCCTTTTGCAATTTTAATTTTTTTTCAGAATTTGTTTTGTTGTTGTTTCCATGGAAACATGACTTGGTGCAAAATGTGTTTGATGGTTACCTGGCCACATCATATCATCGAAACTATACATGCTAGGTTCACCAAACTTAATACACAAGTTAATGATGACCCACAGATATGCCATGTGCTAAAAAATAACAATCTTCATCTACGTCCACTTCATTGTGTGCAACAAGTTCAATTGTATGTCAGGTTTCCACGGAAAACACAAAAAAGATAATGTTTCCATAAATTATTACTGTAATCAGTACATGGCAAAACTATTATCTAACATGTATATAAATTTAGTAGAGTCAAGGAGAAAGTCTTGTGAGCTGCTGATCCTTGTCACATTATATATATCAATATCAGTCATGTCCATGTCCCAAAGTGGGAAGCAGGGGTATGTGAGCTGTGCTCACTTCTACACTTGTTATGATCTATGTTACTGCAGATAGTATGGTACTAGTGGTAGTAGCATGACCACTAGTGTGGCATATATCCATCAGTTTTGCTGACAGAAATTATCTCTTATATTTCAGAGTCCTGAATTGATGTCTTCGTTAAAATCAATGGCACAGCAAGCAATTGTTGAAGCAGGTTTAGAGAGTCAGATACCAACATCTCATGTCACAACAGATAGCAAAGGTATTTTTCAACCACTTCACAAGCACATGGCACTAAAACTAAATTCAATTTCATTTCAGAGCAAGTGTATTTCTATTCAAATTCTTTAACACCAGACTGAAAGTCAAGTGAGCTAGTCTGTTGTCCATCGTAAACATCTTTTCTGATGCTGGACCAAGAAAACTTTGTTCACATACTTGTTCCCACCAGTGGTGATACACAAATTTGTTCGAGTGAGTGAGTTTTGTTTTACGCAACACTCAGCAATATTCCAGCTATATGGCGTCAGTCTGTAAATAATTGGATCTGGACCAGATAATCCATGGATCAACAGCATGAATATCAATCTATGCAATTGGGATACGATGGCATGTGTCAACCAAGTCAGAAAGCCTGACCATCCGATCCCGTCATTCGGCTCTTTCAACAAGCATGGGTTAGTGAAGATCAATTCTAACCCGGATCTTCACGGGTCGGTTTGTTTATAGAGCTTTGAAATTATGCAGAAAGTATCTGAGTAACAGTGCGAACTTCTTAAGTGACATCCGCTGTTGATATTTGGACAGTGGACTACATGTGTGGGGCAACTACAGTGCCATTTTTTAGTACCAATTGTTTCTTTCTCTGGAGAAGATCAGGGTACTATCCCCACAGGGGTACAATGTGTGAAGCCTATTTCTGGTGTCCCTGCCGTGATATTGCTGGAATATTGCTAAAAGCTAAAAATTCACCCATTCTTTCTCTGGAAATTCTGTTAAATGAAACAGTTACATTGAATATGATTTTAAATGATTTATTTTTTTTCAGCAAGAGGTAGGTTCTGGGTTTGACCAGAATCTTACAATTCAGATCATTGATCTAAAATGGAAAATTTGTTTTTCAGGTGTGTTTCTCAGCTCCACAGTACAAGCCCCTCCCTCACAGCCCATCGCCCCATCACCTGATCAGACCATACCCAGTCAGCAGTCACAGTCGGTGCCAACATCCACAGCACAACAGCCATCGGTCCAACAACAGCAACAGGCACCGCAGACCACTACCATCCACTTAAATCCATTGTTAGGTGTAGCACCTCTTGGACCCATGCCTCTAAGCAAAGAACATTACTATCAGCTCTCTATGTTAGAAGCTGCTTTTCATCATTTGCCTCATCCTTCAGACTCTGAAAGATTAAGGTATGTTAACTGTAAATCTACATCATATTGGAACTTTCTTTTCTATGTGGACCGCCTCTGTGGTGTAGTGGTTAGAGCGTCCGCCCAGAGAGCGGAAGGTCGCGGGTTCAATCCCCGACCGCGTCATACCAAAACACGTTAAAATATGGTACTTGTTGGTCCCTGCCTGGAGCTCGGCATTAATGGGTACAACAAGGACTGGTCGGCTCGGAGTCAGTATAATGTGTCTGAGGGGGGTATTCATGCTTCACTGCGGCATGGCATCTCGGTGGGCTAGCACTATAAAACCAGCTTCAGTCTGGGCTAGTACAAGCAGCCGCACATACACATACACACGCATGCACGTCGTCATATGAGCGAAATATTCTCAAGCCACGACGTTACACCCAATTTCACCTCACCTCACCTTTTCTATGTCAGACCATAAGAAAAATGTTAAAATAAAATGAACATACTGTAATTTCTTCATATTTTTCACACTTATGAAGAAGACTATTCATCTGTGCAACATTTCCTTAGGCCGGATTTATAATTCTTGACTTACATAAACGGAATATTAAAACCAGATTAAAACAAAAGCTCAAAATGTGTTTATTGCCCCAAAACATTATTGAATTTGTTTAGTTGGAAATATTAGCGTGACAAGTCTTGAAAAACTTTGTCTGGACTAGTATCTCGTACCTCAGTCAGTGATGGTGTTTCTTTCAGGCACTACTTGCCAAGGAATCCATGTCCTACACCTTCGTACTATCCCCAAGTTCCCCCCTCCCCATGCTGACTCCGTAGAATTCTTCCAAAGATTGTCAACAGAAACCCTATTCTTTATCTTTTACTACATGGAGGTAAGTATATTTTGTTTTCAGTACTTTTCTTGCACTGTGTATGTCTTGTGCCATGATTAGTTAATGCCAGTTGTATATTGTACGACAGTCACTTATAGTCTGTTTGCAGTGAAAACGTACCGATGAATTTCACTATCAAAAAAGTAAATCAAATAAAGTAAAATTAAGATTGCAAATCCTCACAATTTTACCTTGCCAACTGAACATTTCAATCTCAGAATTGTATTCAACTAAAGACAAAAGATGTTTAACAAACGATCATCATTTCAAATCGTCATATTGGTTTGTATTACAAGGGGGGAATGCACATTAAATGAAACACCAAGAACAAGTGGTGTTGGTGTGAGTTAACGCTCATCACGTACTGCATGTGCATTTGTTCCTACTGTTCTAACTACTGCGCTTACCCCCTTGTAATACAAACCAATAATAGCGATTTCAAACTATGATCGTTTGTTAAACAACTTTTATCCTAAGATTAATAAAATTCTGACTTTTCACTCACCTAGAGTCTGTACCAACAGAGTTCTGTTTTCAGAGGACCATGTGATGATTAGAGCTGTATTGACTGGATTGTCTGGTTCGGACTTGATTTAATACAGATACTTTGTTTAAAGCTGGTTTATTGCTTATTGAGCATTAAACATCAATCAAGCATAGTTCATGACTTGAAGTGTAACACATAAATAAGCAGTTTCTTATCTAAATTTTGATAATGTTTGAATTCAATGTATTTGTGTTTTCTGTTGGTGTACAGTGATTTGCAAGCTTTGACATTTGCAGGGTACTAAGGCTCAATACCTGGCAGCAAAAGCATTGAAAAAGCAATCTTGGAGGTTCCATACAAAATACATGATGTGGTTCCAAAGACATGAAGAACCAAAAACTATTACAGAAGACTATGAACAGGCAAGTATTGTGACAGTGCAGTGAGTGAGTGAGTGAGTGAGTCACGTCTTAAAATAGGCTTCATATTGAAGCTGACTGTAGCACTGTAGCAGTTAAGAGTTCAAAATCTTTATCACACAATACAGGCTAATGTAGTATAAGGTGTGATAGGATATACAGTGCTAATCATACTGATGTTGCTTCAATTATACTGTTGTTTGTTTGTCATGATTTGAAATAATAGTACAAATGTTGATACAACACAACAGCACAACTATTTTAAACATTATTGTGGCTTGGTTATAGAGATATGCTGTGAATACAGTAAATCTAGATGGCTTGGAAGGTTAAGAGAATGGCATGGTTTGAAAAATCAATTTGAATATGCCAAAAGATTTATCATTTGTTGATCTGTTTACCACATGCTTACTGAAAGACACATGGTTTCTATTTGTGCAATTAATTTCTGTTGCAGGGCACATATATCTACTTTGATTATGAGAAGTGGGGCCAAAGGAAAAAGGAAGGTTTTACTTTCGAATATCGGTACCTTGAAGACCGAGACTTGAACTAATGTTAGTGCGGAGAGAGCAATGTGATGTGGATCTGCCATTTTGTTACCTCTCGCTTGCCAAGCATCGAGAATGGACAGACTAAAAATGCTGGACATTGAAGTTACTCTTGAGAGCAATGGAGGACCATGTGCACCACATGACAGTGGCAGTGAACGAGTTGATCTCATACCCTCAACACTGGAACATCCATTATACTTATCCACTGCCTCATTGGCTGACTGGCTGGCTGGCTGCCTGTCTGACTGTCTGACTGTCTGTTTGCTTGCTGGGTTGGTTTGCTCGTAGTGCCTGATGGGGTAACAAAGCTTGGTAACTTTGGGGGAAATACTTCACACCATTGTCCTGTATCATGCTGCTAGGTTCTCTTTTCATCATTGACCAAAATGGAAAGTGCTATAATCAAAATTGTCATTATTTTCTTATTCATATGAACTTCTAACCCAACAACAGTGTTATCTTTGGAACCTGTTACAGAAGATTGTGTCTAATATATGAAGCTTATTAATCTGTCATAATGTAATGAGTTCTTAGAAAGTGCTATATTTCATGTAAGTGCTGCGAGTTATATCAGATCTAACTTCATATATTGGCTCAGTTCTGTATCAGTACAGGTTGGTGTGCTATACTAAAATAGGCTCAGATATGTTTTCATCTGACATGATTTATAGGAAGGAGAAAAGTTCTAACAGGAAACAGTTAGATGATTTTTTTTTTGTGCTGTACACTGAGTGTATGTTTCTTTCCTTATTGATTTACTGTTTCATGTATGCCAACCGTAGCCACCTTGTAGTGGGCCCTTTCCAGCTCCTCAGCATGTTGAATTGTCGACAGTTGTTCAGTAGGATGTTTTTCACTCATTCCTATATGGCAATGAATGTATGATTACATGTGTAGTTAATGCTGTATTGGAAGTAGATAACTTTCGATCAGCCGTGGGCAGGCAGGCAGGCAGGCAGACAGTTTGACCCAGTTAGCATAGTCATTTAGATACGTTTAGCACATACTACAATGAACCGAGTGAGAGCGAATGAGAAGTTTGTTACACAAAGTAACACTACTGTGCCCTGTCTTGTGTGAATGAGAGCAGCACCGATGACACACAGCATTCTTCATGGTCTGATGAGATATGGTGCTATTATTCAGCACATCATTTCTTCACTGTTTTTGTGCAATGTTATTGTGGTTACGCCACTACATTAGATTCCACTGCTGTCATCCCTTTTCTGTGTGTGACGGTGACTGAAGCAGCCGATGATGTACACGAGTCATGATGTCACTTCACCTGTGTCATACATTCATCCCAAGCATGGCGACTCAATTATGCTCAGTTATGATTTTGCAGGTAAAACATACATTTCTATGTTGTTTTATGAATGTATCAGACATGTGGTATGAGAGTTTTAATAATCAAAGGGCAGTTCTGTTACAGATGTTGCATGAAGGACTAAGAAAGTTTCACACTTATCAGTATTCCCTCATATGTAATAAATCAGTGAATCAAAACTATGTTGTATATGGAGCTCACCGTGAAATTTGTCATATGGTGTTAAGGTTATGTTTTGGTCTATTTCCTACCTTCACCAAATCACCAAGCGCCAAAGGTAGTTCAGCCAGATAAATTATTCCTTATGTTAGTACTGGGATAAGAGTATTGTTAAATCATTATGGTGTAACAGCACTAGTGTGGATGATGCCTTTTACATCTGTAGTTGGGTTGCCTCACCCCTATTGCAGGGTGTCAGTAAATCGATACAGCTTGATAAGATTACTAAAAAGACAAAATGCTTTAGATTGAGAGAGATCATTGGTCTTAGCTGCCAATCTAAGAATGTTATGTGCCCTTTGTAAACTGTGATATGGATGTACATAACACTTGTTCAGAGAGGTATGTTTGTGTGTGCCATTATGCATATCACACTAAAGGCATTTGGGTGGCAGGTTAATCATTCACAGGTTGTTTTAAGCATTTGCCTCGGGACCAGAGCTAATGTTTTCAGATCTCAATCTTCGTGTTAAAAGCTTACTGCCACCTGACTTTGTATAACAGGGTGCAGTTTCTAGTTATGTATATTTTAATGACAACAAGATGATGAATCAGGCACTACATGATTTCAGTCTTTTCTTACCTTCTGAGACCCATATTACTGTAGCTGTATGTTTCTGTATCTTAAGTCTACATAGCAATGCAAAAACAAAATTAGCATACTTGTCAATTTTTCTTCTGTGTAATGTCACTTGCTGTGTAGAGTAATGAGGTCGCTGTTTTGAAAGTTTGAAATGTGCATTCGAATATCAGACTTGTCAGCTGCACACAAACAAGTTAGGAAGCACCCCAAATATTTTTGCTTGAATCCTTTCAGTTGTAGGTCACATAACTTACAAGATTTAATGCAATTATTACTGTGCCTATTTCTGACAAATCTTGAGATTGTCTTGTCACAGCCCTTTACTTGTATTCCCTGTATAATGTCTGTGATAAACAAAACATATCATCAGGATGTGAGAAGCCTTGGTGATTGAGGTGGAGAGGTCTAGCTAGACACCAGATTGTATTTCATCACTGCCATGATGTGATGTATTTGCTCAGGTTCTCTAAGCTTCTCTGTCAGATAGGCTCCAAGAATAGCCCATTTGTTTTGTCCTCATTAGTATGTATTATGTTTATTATTTCACAGCATTTGGCTTTACCTGTTGTATCCTTCTAATATGTCATTAACTGTTTCATGAATAACTATCAACAAGAAAGATCTGTTTTCTTTTGATGTGGCATATTATTATTGGTGTTGGAACATTTGGAGATGAAATACCTGTTCATTCATTTATCAGAAATTTGAGGGGGGCCCTAAGATGGGACGAAAAGGGATTCCAGTGTTTATCGTTTTATAATTATGATTGTCATTTTCCAAGAAATCTTAGCTCAAAAATAGTAAGTTACACTTGTCCAGTTCAATGACAGACAGTGAACAGGTGTCAGTTGGTGTGAAAATGTAAACCCATATACATTATTTGTGTAATGTAGACAGTTTTTCACAGGAAGCCTATTATCCATACTAGTTGCCTTACTGCATATTTGATGATTTCGTTAATTCTGTTGGTGTATCCATCATGACCCATCTCATTCAGAGTCCACATGGGAAGAGTGTGTTGCCAGACTGACTGTGTCATTTGGAGAGCCTGTGAGTGCGAGTGAGAGTGTGACTGTGTGACTGTGCGAGTCCTCGTTCAATGCAACAATGCCAGCTGCCAGCCAGTTGGTTCTCCACTCTCAGCATCAACGATGTGCAAGTCTAGGACAGAACAAGCTGTTGGTTTTTTAGTCTGAGGCTGTGTACACATGTCCTTATTTTTGTACAGCATGTACAGCGACGCCTCGCATGACGGCCCTTGTGCTCCTTGCTCCAGTGTTTCCACACTGGTGAGGGGGTTGTAAATATAAATATAAGGGGGCAACATGCATACTTGGGTGGTCAACACATGCAGAAAATAAAAAAAAGTGATTTTGTCTGTGCACCATGTGTGTTTGTCTTTTGTTTTCAAGTATTGATTTTCTCTAAATTTTGCTGCTTATTTTGGGACTGGTGCAGGAAGCCTTTTCTGTGAAAGCCTATGTTTAACAAGCAAACACTTATACACACATTTGTAAAGGCCTCTCAGATTTCAGGATGCAGTGTACACAGATATGTTTGAGCCAACTATTGTAAAAGTGTACATTTGTGAAGCACTAATTCATAAGCATGGACTCCGTTTTTTAAGGCCATTTAATAAAGTCATGACCATCAGAAATACATTTGCAATCTAAAACCTAACCCACATGTGTTCCCACAATAATCAATACATTTCATGAAGTGATTAAGCAGCTCACTGGAAAATGCTTGCTAGAAGTGCTTGAAGTTGACTGCTACAGTGGTTGGCCATAAGTGAGTCCTCACTAATGATTACTCACTTACGGCCAACTACTGTACAGTCAAACAAAGTAGGGAACATGGTGAATGTAAATACGCCTACAAGTTAATGTTAATGCATGGCACTTACGACTATCTTAGCGCTAAGAGAGCTTCGAAAATTTAGGCCCAAGACCCTCATCACAAAGCTATCTTAGCCTTACTAAGACCGTTGGCCTACGGTGAAATATGAGCGTTGTGATCATCTTGGCGCAAAGATCGTTTTGTGGAACGGAATTTGAAGGATTGGCTGCTAATATACTGACACACATTGAAAACGCAAAACCCATTTTGGCAATTTCTAACAAAGTTTTGTGAATCAATTTCATTTACCACACGAAAATATAGTGATGTGAGGTTGCCGAATAAAACCATATGCACATCTGGGTTCGAACCCTTTTCGTGTTTCTGGCATGGGTACAGTTCATGAAAACACAACTCTGGCATATTCTTTGGACCTGTTGGGGTGCATGATTATCATGACATACACATGCAAAGCCAGGTTTTGGACGCATAAAAGGCACTATGGTTCAACCGTTTCACTAGCAGTCACAAAATGCCACGGCTCAGTGAACAGCAGAGGGAACAAGCTATCGGGGTGCTGTTGGTGGGAACATCACAAAATGAGGTCACCCACCATCAACAGACTCCAAAATCGTCATCAGCAAACTGGAAGCGTCCGTGACCGTCCCTTACCAGGACAAACTCCGGTTCACGACGACACGTCCAGACCGGCACATCCGACGAGTTCACCAAAGAAACCGCTTTCAGACAGCAGCAAACTCACCTCGAAACACCGTAGGACGTAAAGGACGCCACATCAGCGCCATGACAGTCATTTGACGTCTGCAGGCTGTGGCACTAAGGGGCCATATCGGGAAACGTCATTATGCAACGTCATCGAGTCAACAGACTCGTGTTTGCACGGCAACATAGCCCCCAACCACCATGAATCTCCAACCAGTTGGTGTTTTTCAATGGGTCCATGTTCTGTGTGTCATTTGCAGATGGCAGACAACGCGTCTACAGGCAGCAACATGAACATGAGCTTGGTCGCCGGATTCATTAATGTCAACGTCAACGTCAGCCAAACAACGTCGCTGAGTTGACCCTGGCTTTACAACAGGAGTGGCAGAACATCCCCCAAGCACCTGTTCAACGTTTGTGCGAATCCATGCCACGTCGACTCCGTGCATGTGTACAGGCTCAGGGAGGTCACACTCGCTACTGACGGACGTAAGGGGGGTCTGTGTGTTACGCTTGACGTGTCAGTCATATTGGCGGAACTCTTGCAATCTTTTTTATGAAAATGAAGCACAATGAAATTCTCAACATAACTAGAACAATTTTCATCCAAGTATTGTTGTTTGTTAAGTTTTCCTCATTTGAATTTGGTTTTGCGTTTTCAATGAGTGTCAGTATATTAGTTTGAGTTGTTGTACATCAAAAGTTCCATAATTTAGTGCAATAATCACTTAAATCTGTATGATCTCTAGTTAGGTGTGGACTTTCCGTCAAACACAGCTCGGTCATTAGTCATGAACAAACGAATCTGCTTTCGTCCGACCAGTGAACCCTTCGCCCATGACGTCAAATTCCTGCGACACCGAGCTTAACATCAAACTGGTCGTGCTGCTTTGTGCTCTGGGAATAACAACTGTCGTCTGACATGTCGTCTGGTTCCATACCCGACCGATTTTAGGCGATTTCGGACGACGATATGAAAGACATACTACTCAGATGTGGATTTGTCTGTCCGGAGTGTGTTTCCTGGAATAGGTGAAAATATGAGCGGCAACTGATTTTCAGGAATCCATGCCTGCCTGCAGCGACATACGAGGCAACTTGCGTGATTGCTTGATCAGGTTTGGTTACTCAGTTGATATTAATAATATACAGATCGATTTTCATGAGTATGGGTGAGTATGGTTTTATATCGCTTTTAGCAATATATTCCAACAATATCACGACAGGAGACACCAGAAATGGGCTTCGTACATTTTTGGGGATCGAATCCGAGCCGTCGGCGTGACGAGCGAACCACGCACATCACCCCTTCGATGCTCATGGTGTCTATTAGTGTTCGGAATTGGTTGAAATCTCACAATTGATGATTGGTTCAATACCAACGACAAATCATCGAAAAATATTGGTTAGCGTCATTTTTTAGATTTTCCTATTCAGGTTGTAGTTGCAGATAAGTATAAAGAAAAAAGCATTTGGTTTCTCTGTTGTTGTTTTTTTGTTTTATTTAGAAACTGCACAAATTACATTTGCAAATTTCACATCCAGTGGAAAATGATTCAGTTCCAGTGTAACATAAACTTCCCAGATTCTTCAAGAAATATTCAGTCATGACTTTTCAGAAAGTGAAGTGAGTTTGCTAAGAATTAAACACGTTTTCCGGCCCTGACAACGTCCTATATATGTTCCATCACCAAGTATTTCAAACTCTGTCACAGCGGTTCCAAAATCGTTTGTGTTCGATTATGAGAAAATGTGATCGATTGCTTGGTCGTTTGGCCACTGCGACCAATCTTCGATTATTTCAATTAATCGGACCACCACTAGTGTCTATTACTGGATTGTTTGGTTCTGACACGGTCACCAGAGACCATCGTCACTGAGTTGGAGTAATACTGAGTGCGGTTTTAATTAATAAAAAGGCCAAGCATGTCTGTTTCCTAGAAAGATGCATGGATGACTGAATCTCATCCATATCCTCGTCTACAGGTAAATATGTTTCTTGCAGTTCAATGTTTGCATGTGATAGCCTTGAACTTGAAACCTTGTTCGGGTGTCTGTAGTGCAAAACATATTTGCTGTTGAACGTATGTATGTTAGTTACTTTTACACTTTATCAAGACAACTTACATCACGCCACATTAAACTAACTTTGCCATGTGTATAAAATTGAAATGTCCATTTTATTGACATATATTGGAGGATAGGTGTGTTCCCTCTTGCGGACAGTCCTTAGCAATCCTCGGTAGTGCATCCTCCAGTGAACCAACCTCTTCTACCTTTGTCACACCTTACCTTTTAAACCCCCTCACCAAACACATACTAATACATATCTATTTCTCATTCCCTGTCAAAGAAACTGACCATTCACCCTTTTCCCTCTGTGATCGTATTAACTGACCAGGGTGCCGTTGTACAAAGCAGTCTTGGCGCTAGGGTGACCGTAACATACCTGAACATAGACTTAATGTAGTCTTAGCGCTAAGGTTGTTTTGTACAACGGCACCCTGGACATGAGCAGCGACATTAGAAGTACAATCACGTAAAATAGTTTTGCCAAAGCCTGATGGCCTGGCTCTGTCAAATTCTTTTTTTCAAAATCTACAAAGACACAAAATGAATTCCTTTTCCTTTCTTTAAAGACTCCCCGCAAGGTAAATGTGACCACTGGTACTATATCCATTTATTTTAACAAATGAGAGCGGATAGTGAACAGTTTTCCAACATATTTTAGCAGTGTAATTGGTATTGGCTTAATTACACCTATTCACAGGAGACACCGATGTCAAGAACGATATTAAAAAGTTTCACATGTCAGTGATTTTTCATGTCATCAAGACCCGGATCCTTGTTATTTTTTAAGTCAAGAACAGATCCCATCACTTCCTTTGTTGTTATCGGTATGTTGAGCATTGTTCTATCTTCCGCGTCACGAAGTACTGTAATTATTTGAGGGCAGCTCAACTCTATGAAGCAAAAAAAGTGCCCCGAGAGCCCCCATCCTGAGAATACTTAAAATATATAATCGCCTTAGGCAGATATATAGTATTAAATAGTGTATACCCAGAAACTGATCAGATAGTCAGTTGAGAACATGACTCATTCAAAGTGCCCCTGTTACCGTTATGCCTACATTTTTACTGGCAGTCACAAGGAAGCTGAATAGACATGGGGTTCAGTTATCAGATATATTTCATCAATACATCAGATAAGATTAGCTATCCGTTTTTCATAACCCAGTCTTGTTCTTGTCAATTGTTCTATGACACTGTCCATGTTGGGTTGTGATGGAGTGGTATTAGATGTCAGTAAGCCCTGACGAGTGTGATAGCTGTGTGTATGTTCACAACCGTCCACTGATAAATCTTCCGTTTCGTGACACAACCAGGAAGCTATGCTCAGTCACGTGACCACGCCAGTAAACCCACATGCACAACAGTGGGCAGGAACTTGTTCGTGTTTGACAATTTTCAGGTCGTTGGTGTTGTGTACAGGTGGAAATGGCGTCCCTGGACACACCTGTAATGGAAGGTTACCTGGAAAAGCAGAGCAGTGGCGTGTCGGTAAGTGTGGTCGAGTCTGACAAAAGTCTGTTGACAGGAAAGGTCATGTACTATGATATAGGAAGTGGAGTAACGCTGTGTTATATGGACAGAACATATATCCCTGTTGATTTATTGTTGTGACCGTTTTACTGTTATGTCAGTGAGTAAACAACACAGTAGAACATATCTGTCGTATACAGCCTTAGTCGCATAAGTAGGTTATGTGAAGTCAACCATGGACACGAGTCTGTGAGGACGACCTGATCGCAAAGGTATGTAGACACGAACAACGAGAGTGAATATTAAATGATTACACATGTCTTTCACAATGGGATCAGTACACTGTGTACTCCTTGTATGAGTTCACGGTTGTACACTCATTATCGTTATCGGAGATAATTTAGTGTTGGCAGAAGGTGCAATCTGAATAATTGTCTTCTTTAACCGTGTAACAAGTTTTTGTAGGCGTTTTCTCCAGGTTACTTTAAGGTGGCCTCGACCTTCGCCGAACACTATCGTAAGGCCTTATGTCATCTGGGGCTGGGGTAGCCTAGTGGTTTAAGCGTTCGCTCGTCATTGCGTGAAACCCATTTCTGGTGTCCCCCGCCGTGATATTGCTGGAATATTGCTAAAACCGGCGTAAAACTAAAGTCACTATCTCGTGTCATCTGTGTAGGCTACTCTGAGACCATATGTCGGTATATATGATCACTGATGTCAGGTTTTATAGTATGACCAGAAATTATTGAGAATTTTAGGAATATGTTTAATTGGATTTCTAGTATAAAAACCTTGACCAGCTATCAAGTGCTTGGTTTCATTCAAGAGAGACAACTCCGTTAATCCTTTTTCATTAGTTTGTGGAGAGTTATCCCCCTTTGTTTACTTGCTAGCAGACGACATTTTCAGTGATCCTCAGTATGGATGATTTAGAGAAGAGGAAGTTGATTTTAGAGTATTATAACAAGGACATCAGATCAGCTAAAGTGATTTCAAGTAAAACAGGCATCCCTTTGTCCACTGTTTATCGTGTTTTGAAAAATATTGCAAATGGATATGGCATTGAGCACCAGGGAGGCGCAGGTTGGCCCAGAAAATTGACTGTCGGTGACAGGAGGCGGCTTGGTATTCTTGTTTCTAAAAACAAAGGAAGGAGTCTAGAAAACTTACGGCTGGATTTGATTGATAGAGGAACTGTGGCTGTCTGTAAGAACTGAGCTGCATGCAATGGGTTGGCAGGAAAGTCGAGGAATTTCATCACCGATCATGAAACCTGAACAAAAGGAGCGAAGGTTGAACTCGTGTTTACAGCAAAGAGATATTAACTGGGACAATGTGATTTTCTCAGATGAAAGTTCTGTGTGGCTGTTGCTTAATACACTGAAATTCTGGACCAAGCAAACTGAAAAACCTTTGTATCAGCGCCCAAAGTACAGTCCGAAATTTAACGTGTGGGGTGGCATATCTGTGTTAGGGTCAACGCCCCTCTGTGTATTTGAAGGGAATATGAACAGTGAGCGGTACACAGATATTCTCGAGGGACATTTACTTCCATCTGCTCACGTGTTATATGGAAATGTTTGGATTTTCCAGCAGGACAACGACCCAAAACATCGTTCAAAGCATTCACAGGCCTGGTTTCGGACCCAAAATATGACATTATTAGATTGGCCAAGCTATAGCCCTGACCTAAATCCAATAGAAAATATTTGGGGACTTATGAAGGAAAGTGTCAATAAGAAAAATCTGACAAATATTGCTGAAATGAAAAAAGAGGTGGTCCGATATTGGGACAGCATGGACCACGACTTTCTAACTTCTTTGATCAGTAGTATGCCCCGCCGCATTGAAGCCTGCATTGCTGCCCATGGTGACTTGACAAAATACTAACTGTTCACCTGTCTTTGAATCTGGAGTTATGTTCTGCTAATATTCACATTTAACACGTGAGTAATGAGTGAAAAAAATATAAAAATTACAATCTTAAATTCTCAATAATTTCTGGTTGTACTGTAACGTGTCGTCAGTATACAGACCTTCCGATCTAATCGAACTGAAAGAACACGCGGCACTGTCAGATCAGTTACAGCCTGTGTCCCTGCAAACACGAACGATGAATTGTAAAATAACCCCAAATAGGGTGCCATACACTGTATGGGCATTTAATATAGTATTCCCGATTCTGAGTGAGTATGTTTTTACGCCGCTTTTAGCAATATTCAAGCAACATCACGGCGGGGGGTACCAGAAATGGGCTTCACACATTGTACCCATGTGGAGAATTGAACGCGGTTCTTCTGCGTGACGAGCCAACGCTTTAACCACTAGGCTATCCCACCGCCCCGATTCTGAGTTACTTTGACATTGATCGTTCCCATTTGGTGACAAACGGGCTGTACTTTAAACATTACCTCCTTCGACTCAAAGCATGTTATTGATGACTTGAAATTGATATGTATCGGGGTAGGTGACGTAATACATTGCTAGATAGCAAAGCAAGATACCCATTGTGACGTAATACGTTGCGAGATTCCAAATGCCACAGACATACACTGCAAGATACCCACTGTGACGTAATACATTGTTGGATAACAAAGCAAGATACCCATTGTGACGTAATACGTTGCGAGATTCCAAATGCCACAGACAAACACTGCAAGATACCTATTGTGACGTAATACATTGTTGGATAACAAAGCAAGATACCCATTGTGACGTAATACGTTGCGAGATTCCAATTGTCACAGACATACACTGCAAGATACCCACTGTGACGTAATACATTGTTGGATAACAAAGCAAGATGCTCATTGTAACGTTATACATTCATCATATCCAGTGCCATATGAGCATACAGTGTGGTTTTCACAAGCTGTCGGTGATCCGTGCGCTTTTATTCTCATTTTTAAAGAAGGCTTGATCAGCCAAATTCAACGTTTTACCAAAATTGGACATCTACTCTTGAAAACAGTTCACGTTATAAGTTATATACAAAATATAAGAGCCTTCTTGAGCCAGAGGGGTATCTGTCTTCAAATTTGGAATATAAATTCCGTAAAGTATTGGTCAAATTCAGAGCTGGTGTCTTACGTTTAAAGAATAACGTAGGAAGGTGGCAAAATATTGATGTATCTCAAAGAAAATATCCTGTATGTAAAGTAGATTTAGAAGATGAATACCACTTCTTGTTGAAATGTCCAGCTTATAAAGAACTTCGGGGTAGATTTTTGCCTAAGAATTTGCAAGTTAATATGATATCGAATAGCAATATCCTTAAACAAAACTGAAGACATTAACCATCTAGCTCGTTTTATCTTTTATGCTTACAAAAAAAGAGAAAACTTTGAAAATAGAAATAGGTATGAGTCAGGATAAGTATAAAAATATAAATTTTACTTGAAAAATTACATTATTCTAAATAATTTCAGTATTGCTATGTACATGTTACTGATATTTTTTCACTTTTCGTAGATAGTCTACCCAGGTAGACAGGTAAATGCTAAAATTTTAAAGAAATTGTTTCCTCTTTTCGTTCACAACTTCATACCTGTTTAGAATATGTATATTAATATGTATATGGACATGTGGCCTTCATACGTAATAAAGATTTTGATGATGATATTGACATGTCTGGATAAATGCCTGTACTCTGTTACACACGGGGCGGTGGGGTAACCTAGTGGTTAAAGCGTTCGCTCGTCACGCTGAAGAACCGAGTTCGATTCCCCACATGGGTACATTGTGTGAAGCCCATTTCTGGTGTCCCCTGCCGTGATATTGCTGGAATATTGCTAAAAGCGGCGTAAAACCAAACTCACTCACTGTGACACACAGTCACGTAATCCATTGATAGATACCCGGTGTAACATACTACACTGTAATGTGGTGTATCTGCTACCAGACACAATATAACACAGTGACTGTTTCAGCGGTTCCTGGGCAAGTCGCGGTTCTGGTGTTCGCTTCAGGATGGGTGTCTGCAGTACTGCAAGGACGCCAAGGTGAGCCGAGACACTGCTGGTAGAGTGTGGCTATCACGTGGGTAGTATTGTGAATCAACGAGTATCACACAATCCACCTATCTCGCATTGTGTAAACAACAACGAAAATCCCTCTGCCTTCTGCTATGTTGCAAGCTTTATCTACATATTAAGTGAGGTCAAAAAGAGTTCACCGTCACGTTTCAGAATATTGCAGTCCTTTTGGGTGTGTATGTGCGTGTGTGCATGCATGCGTAGATGTGTGTGTATGTGTGTGAATTAGTCGTGTGCTAAGATCGGAATTGAGATATCAATTAATGTTCGTGACTGATAAATTTTTGTTTGGTACATAGACATCTCAAAATAACTTCCTCATATCTCATACCCATTTTAAGATATCTAAAAACAATTCTTTATGCTTGCATTGGTTTTTCAACAAATGAATTAAATGATATGTTAAATTTATAATCTAAAATTTATAATAAAATAAGGCCTCATGGCAGTGTGTTATATTACGCCGTAATACTGTGTAAACACGATGCGTTGTCAACCTGTCACGTCATGATATGGCGCCACATCGTGCATTCATGCTGTGTTGCCATGTTGTGTTGTGCATTCATGCTGTTGCCATGTTGTGCAGGACTTCATGCTCTGTTGCCATGTTGTGCAGTCATGCCACTGTGTTCCATTACGCTGCAGATCCAGGTTAGAATTGATCTTCAGCAACCCATGCTTGTCGTAAGAGGCGACTAACGGGATCGGGTGGTCAGGCTCGCTGACTTGATTGACACATGTCATCGTATCCCAGTTGCGTAGATCGATGCTCATGCTGTTGATCACTGGATTGTCTGGTCCAGACTCGATTATTTACAGATCGCTGCCATATAGCTGAGTGCTGCATAAAAGTAAACTCACATTACGCTGCACTGGTGTGTGTTTCAGAGGTCGTCAGTCGTGGAGTCACTGATGCTGAGTGAAGCCCAGATGGTCAGGAAAACCAGTGGAGGCAAGCAGGGGACCCAGTTTGAAATCATTACCAAGAAGCAAAGGACGCTGTTGTTTGTAGGTCACCTGTATTATCACCTGGATAACACGATCAATGACACCTACACTACAGGGAGCATAGGTTATCACAGATATACACCTCCACTTTCTGTGTACAGAGATATGCTTTCTGACGTCCTTCCCGGCCTTCTTACGTTAGCCAGAGGCGGTGGGGTAACCTAGTGGTTAAAGCGATCGCTTGTCACGCTAAAGACCCATGTTCGATTCCCCACATTGGTACAATGTGTGAAGCCCATTTCTGGTGTCCCCGCCGTGATATTGCTGGAATATGGCTAAAAGCAGCGTAAAACTAAACCCACTCTCTCGTTTTTAATGTATTCGCCAGTCTCCAAGGCAGAAGGAGAATTTCTATGCGATAGGAAGTGAGTGTATAGGCGATACGGAGTGAATGTGAATAAATAAATAAACAAATTAATTAATCGCGGTCTTCTTACGTTAGCCAGAGGCGGTGGGGTAACCTAGTGGTAAAAGCGATCGCTCCTCACGCTGAAGATCCGTATTCGATTCCCCACATGGGTACAATGTGTGAAGCCATTTCTAGTGTCCCCGACAGTTATATTGCTGTAATATGGCTAAAGCGGCGTAAAACTGAACTCACTCATTAACTCTTACGTCAGCCACGACATCTTTGTCTTTTAGGTGACTGATCATATGTTTCTGTTTGAGTGTGTGTGTGTGTGTGTGTGTGTGTATACGTATGCACGGAGTGAAGGTGTGTGTGTCCGCGCGCGTGCGTTTTTAGAGGTTATTGCTTCACTAATGAACTGAAAATAATAACCCTCCCCTAATGCTGTCATATGTTGTCATGGTCCTCCTTGTACATATATTTTCTTGACCCTCACTGAAAACACGAAACGTATTAGCGTTGTATATTTTATTAGAAAATCTTCTTTATTCAGTACCCTCCCCAAATATCCGTATTCTTGATTTTTACGCCCCAGCCTTAGCCACTGGCATGTTTTGATGGGGGATGGGATTGACAGAAAACCACCCCAAATTCTTCTGACCTCCTGCTCACTTAAGAGCCAGTGACTGACTGATGTTTTCATTCGCTGCTGTCTGAAGTACTGGTTAGTAAGTTGGGTTTAACGTCTTTGATCAACTTTACATCACGGCGTGTCTGCGTAATGTGGGAGGACAGCCCGGAGTAAGGCAGGATATGCACCACTTTGGTAAAATCTACGAGCACGGATATGGTGCTAGCAAACGTAGAAACTTCATCGTGGCAAATATGGATTCCAACCCCTCGGCAATATTACAACCCGTTGTCAATACTGGAGTCCGGCTGGACATAGTACACTAGTGGTGACTTGCATGAACAGGTGCGGCGGGGTATCCTAATGGTTAAAGCGTCCGCTCGTCACGCTGAAGCCCCGGGTTTGATCGTTGCCTCTAGTAAAGGCTATGCACGTTAATCATAGTGAGTGAGTATAGTTGTACGCCGCTTTTAGCAATATTCCAGCAATAATACGGCGGGGGACACCAGAAATGGGCTTCACAGATTGTATCCATGCAGGGAATCGAACCCGGACGCTTTAACCACTAGGCTACCCCGCCTCCCCTCATTAGTAGCACAACTGCTTGAAATCCACCTGTCCGTTTCTCCATTGCTGTGTGTTTTTAATAGGTGTCCATGTTTAATTTCATTTCGACTTGAATGCTTTATTATGAAATTAAATCGCTTATCACGTGTTTAGACTGCAGCATCGACTGAAGAGTGCAGCAACTGGGTACGTCATCTGCAACAGGCCATGATTCACAAGGGCAAGACGACTTCCGGTAGAAGGTAGGTACATGGACAGTATGTTGCAAAACGTCTTCACACGAAAATCCAGTTTGGCCCCTATATATTCCCATATACATAGTGTCAACTGTAAGTGGATGTTGTCAAGGTGTCCCCTTCCCCGTCAGGTTATGATCAGAAGTGCTATATGTCCAATAGGGGGTACCCGGTAGGAATGGGTACCCGGGAGAGTGAGATAACATGTTAACCTAGCCTCTGACAAAGCAACGAATACTGCCGGTCCCTTGTTGAGGGATTCCAGGCTTGTAAACATACCTTATTACAACAGGGTAACTCTGTATGTACATTTGCCAATGTGCCATGTAGACATTACTGAACACTTCTACCACCGAGCCTCCGGATATTTTTTTCTAAATGGTTATTGTTTATAAAACGTGTATACCTGCCACCTTATTAGTCACCATATCGCACTCACGTACTCATTATTTGAACGGAAGTGAACTATGACCTGTCAATGTCAAGGAAATGTACATACGAATTTATTTGTATATGGCGTATTCTATTATGATGTCATTTAAAATTAACGTTTTAATGAAGCTGTTATTGTCCGCCAGACGTAATGTCCCCGACGCTGGCTATGAGGAGATCTTCATCGACGACGAGGCGGCTCCATCCGTGGTTACAAATACACATCGGACTGGTTGCGGCAACAGCACCTCGTCTGCATTGTACGCCGATGTAGCAGACTGCCTCCCCCCTGGTGGCCCACCAGAAAGGGTGTTGTCGTCTTCATCAAACATGTATGCGGAAGTCGCTGACTTGGTTCCAAGGACGACAAACGAATATCTTAACCCTTCGGAAACACAATTTCGGGAGAATTCTCTGTATGTGATTAACAAGGCTAAAGAGGCAGCAGAAGAAAAAGAACGAGGCGAACAGACGACATCCTTTGAAGCAGACGACATGGCCATTGGTTACTCGACATTGGATAGTTACCAAGATACGGGGGCCAAAACCCAGGAGACGAAGAAACCGCCACTTAATACTGAAGCAGATGCTGTTCCTGACTATGCCACCGTGCAAAAAGTAAAACGGGATGGCCCAAAGATCACACTGACACAAGCTCTTTCCCTGGACCAGGAAACAGTAGAGGGCGCTGCTATTGAGATTCTTGATAGTGCATTGAAAAGGATTCCATTGGGACCTGATCTTCCCGTATTGAACTGTTTGACAGAATACGACAGAAAACCATTGGATGATCTCAAAGAATTCTTGGCCAACAATCAGAAATTGTGTCGCACATCTTATACAAGGCTTGATGACAGGAACGATCCTGTGGCGAGACTTAAAGAACTTCTTCAAGAAATTGGTTGACCTATTCATCGACAATCGCTTTACTTAAACACATATGTACTATATATAAAAATAACATGTTGTACATTTCATTTCCAATAAAATTGAATTTTAGTCACAGAAAGTGTTTATATCTTACGGTATATCAGTTTGTAAAGTTGCAAATTTGTTTTTTTCAACAATGATTTACTTAAGAAATGTTACTTTCATTCCATTTTATAAGCGATACCAAAGACACTAATGCTAATCACGGTATTTCATATGCATCATAATAGACAACTTACAGAACTGTGTCCTACCCGGAGAGTGGCGGGTCAGAAGGTCTGTGCCCTAGCCTCGTCCTACTAAAACACGTTTATTAACTGGTACTTGTTGTCACTTATATATGCATTGTTTAGGGTATAAACCATGCACATGTCAGCTATAGTGTGTCGGAGTGAGCTATCCATGTTAAACTGCAGCTTGGTGTCCTGAGGACTAGGACTATAATACACACAGACACGTTCATGTGGCCATATGATACTGTATCATATCACAGAACCCATGACAACCCGTTCTTTATACCTCAGTATAGAATATATGGGATAGTTAATCGTGGATCCACACATCCCTAAGCCAGAGCCATCGAGAAACGCTCACGGCGTACAGATAATGTTTTATCCATTGGTGATTTGCTCTCGGTTTATCCATTGATGACTTGCACACGTATTATGCTCCCGATTTATCAATTGGTGACTTGTTCACGTTTTATCCATTTGTGACTTGTTCACGTTTTATCCATTGGTGATTTGTTCACGTTTTATCCATCGGTGATTTGCTCACGTTTTATCCATCGGTGATTTGCTCACGTTTTATCCATTGGTGACTTGCTCACGTTTTATCCATCGATGATTTGCTCATGTTTTATCCATTGGTGATTTGCTCACGTTTTATCCACTGGTGACTTGTCATTGGTACCCATGTGGGGACTCGAACCCGGGTCTTTGGCGTGACGCTTTAATCACTACGCTACCCAACCGCCCCTGCAGTGTATAACGTATACCCATCTTCTGTTAGTCTGTCTCAGTCCCTGAACCACATTATTTACCCTACTGCCTTACCCTCTCTGCAGTGCTCAAGCCCTAAATGAAGCAAGTTTAGATGTCCTGAGGTTCAGACTGAATCTCTGGTCTCCCTGGGGCTCCTTTTCAATTTAAATGGGTTGTTTGTTACTATCAAAATTATATTATATTCAGAGACTAAGCGTTAGTCTGTGGGCGAATAGACATGATGTCCCGGGACAGTAGTGGACTGAAGCTCTAAGTGTGGGAAGAAGTAAAAAAAACTACCCGGTCTTGTTTTCCCAAGTTGAAAGATATCAGGAAAATGATTACTAAAATATGCAGTATTTAAAACCATATATTTTAATTCCTACTTGCGCTATGAGGAACCACTGATTGTCATGTTAAATTTAATCCGGGTTGATGATGCGACGTGGAGCAATGATCACGTGACTCATGGATATTATCAACACGCATTATATTTTATTAACATGTCAATACACAAACATGTTTATCATTCCCCGTAACTGTGCTCTTCTAATCATGACGTTTCTGAAAATATACTCGGATAATTATTTCACATAAAGAGGTATTCAGTCGACATCCATGTCCTTGGATCGGAACCCGACAGTATTATATACTGGACGAAATATTACAACACAACACTGTCCACGCACATGAGATCAACATCAGGCTTATTGTCCGCGGAGTAGCCTAGCCGACCAAATGATTCTCATCCGGGTGGGCTATGAGTGGGAAGCCGACCAGAATGGTTTAGTTGGAGTGAGTGAGGCAAGCTTACCAAGTGGTTATTCTCTGGATGGGCAAGCCTACCATGTGGTTATTCTCTGGATGGGCTAGCCGACCAAGTGGTTATTCTCTGGATGGGCTAGCCTATCATGTGGTTATTCTCTGGATGGGCAAGCCTACCATGTGGTTATTCTCTGGATGGGCTAGCCTACCATGTGGTTATTCTCTGGATGGGCAAGCCTACCATGTGGTTATTCTCTGGATGGGCTAGCCAACCAAGTGGTTATTCTCTGGATGGGCTAGCCTACCATGTGGTTATTCTCTGGATGGGCTAGCCTACCAAGTGGTTATTCTCTGGATGGGCAAGCCTACCATGTGGTTATTCTCTGGATGGGCAAGCCTACCAAGTGGTTATTCTCTGGATGGGCAAGCCTACCAAGTGGTTATTCTCTGGATGGGCTAGCCTACCATGTGGTCATTCTCTGGATGGGCTAGCCTACCAAGTGGTTATTCCCTGGATGGGCTAGCCTACCATGTGGTTATTCTCTGGATGGGCTAGCCTACCAAGTGGTTATTCTCTGGATGGGCTAGCCTACCAAGTGGTTATTCTCTGGATGGGCTAGCCTACCATGTGGTTATTCTCTGGATGGGCTAGCCTACCAAGTGGTTATTCTCTGGATGGGCTAGCCTACCAAGTGGTTATTCTCTGGATGGGCTAGCCTACCATGTGGTTCTCTGGATGGGCTAGCCTACCAAGTGGTTATTCTCTGGATAGGCTAGTCTACCAAGTGGCTATTCTCTGGCTTGGCTAGCCTACCAAGTGGTTATTCAGAGGATGGGCTAGCCTACCAAGTATTATTTCTCCAGGTCAAGTTGCTCCCCTACGAATAGGAAGCCGACCAGAATGTCTGTAGTCGAGGTGAGGCTAGCCGACCAAGTGGTTGTCCCCAGTGTGTATGGTGTAGTTGAAGTAGTAGATCTGCTGGAAGGAACCGTCATCCCAGTAGTTCATGAAGGAATTCTCAATGAGAATCTGACCCGCGTCTCTGTCACTGGGGAACTTGTGGCAGCTTCTTCTGGCTGAAAGAGGAAAACGTACTTCCGTCTTACTGCGTGTTTGTGCATGTTTAACAAACCCAGTAACTTCATAACTGTCGGAATTTTCCTTAAAGGTTGTAAACACTATTACCCTCATTGACGAAGAAGTTGGCTAAGTACTGTGACACCAGGACGGCGTTAGCTCCATGGTTGACATCACGACGGGGGTTCCAATCAAAACTGATCTTCTCGGGGTGCCATTGTGTGCCGTAGAACGGATAGTGATAGGCTGGGAGAGGAAACGTCAAAATCTGATGAATTATGTGAGCACAATTATAGTTACGACTATATTATCATTATATATCATACCATACCATATGAATAAATAAATTCCTCTTGACTGTCGTGCGATGTACTAAGGATCCGAAGTAGGTACAGTGTATGTATTATGTCGATAGGTTATCAAACAGAAGCACAATAAAGTATACGGATGGCTGTGAAACTAAGGTCTACTGCAAAATATCCCAACGAAACTATACACAAAGAACTTAATTAAGCACCCCCTGTATTTTTGCAATGATAGGTTTTCAACACGTACATTAAACTTCTCGTGGTGACCGAGATGGAAAAACATCGAATTTTTCTTACCCGTATGATCCTTTGACTCATAAAATAAGTACAAAATGATTGGAATCCATGGTGATCTTATGATGATAATTGATGATTTAAAAGGACCCACTGATTTTCATATTACAAAACCATGTCTGTACAAGTATGGCCCTGGAATGTTTAATGTTGAATTTATTGGTGAATGTGAACATTCAAAATTTCATTTTGCATGTAGGAAACGATTCAAGGTCAATACCGAGTGTAACCTCCATGTGACTCTATGACAGCCAGCACTCTCCTCCTCATACCCCCTGTCCAGGCTCCTGATCCCCGAAGGGGCAGTCTACCACAGGCCCTCGTGTCTTTGCGAGGATTAATGATTAAAACAATATTGTTTTTGAGATGACCCCCGACTCGAAATGCTTCTCAGTACAATACATCATATGGTATTATGCTGTAAGGAAAATTTGGAGGCGGGGGTCATCTCAAATTTTTGTATATATTTTATAAAATCTTTAATCCTCGCAAAGACACGAGGGCCTGTGCAGTCTACGCCATTCCTCGTGTAAAGCAGCTTCCAATTGGGCCGCAAGGTTCTGTACAGGAGGACCCCTTTGATATGCTCCAAAGGGTTAAGATCGGGGCTCGTAAGATATGTCAGGGGGTGCTTAACTAAGTTCTTTGTGTATATTAACTGCAATAGATTATATATACCTTCAGCTGTCGATATAAACAACTGCCCCTTTGTGTCCCGGTTTGTGGACAAAACCCGGAAGAAGTGTCTTAGCGACGCCGACTTGTTATATGTCTGCAAAGATACAGAGTAAGTAAATATAAAGAGTAAAAGTAAATATAAAACTGATCCCATTAGCAAGTGACCTATGAAGATCCGGGTTGGTATTGTTTTTCAGCAACCTGTGCTTGTCGTAAGAGGCGACTAATGTAATCGGGTGGCCAGACACACATGCCATCGCATCCGAATTGCGTAGATCGATGCCCTTATATAGCTGGAAGAATTGCCGAGTGTGGCGTTAAACAACAAACAAACAAACATCAACAATGCAGTCATTTCATAATACACCATTAACAAAATTGACAGAAGCGCTTCTTAAATCACTGAGCATTAAAACATATAACGATGCTCTTTGTAATGATAAAATGTCAGGTCGCTGTACAGATGAATTTCCACGTCCTGCTTTTACAGCCGTGTTTCACGACGAAATTGATTTACTAGAGCTCGTTGTTCAGTTAAAGTTGTGATGGCCAGACAATGTGATCATAAAAATGGCAAAATATCGGGGCATCTAATCCAAGGGAGGCAACTGTACAATGGAAAGACGTCGGATAACGTCTACAGCCACACCACTGTGAGGCTGACATTAAGTTGTAGAAATAAAGTTACCTTAAATTAAAAATATGTAAGAACATAATGGAAAAATATAATCAAGATGGAACCCAGACCAATGGTTAATTCCAGAGCTTGTACAATCACTCTAGGCTTGAGTTGGACCGCCTTATTCATGTATTCTCAAGGGTCTGCGAGACACCGTCCACAACAATACGTCATCACTAGTGTCGTATCTAGTACAGGATTTCGGCTGCAGGGTCACAGTGAGAACTGTAGTACACAGAACGGGGGATTTGAAGGACTCCACTATCAAGTACGTACTCGATCAGTACCGTATCGTACAACACACTGTAACTTAATTAACTGGCAGTGGAAAATGTTTTTAAAAACCAAATGTCTGGACGCACATTGACAAAAATTCGTTTGTGTGGTCATTCATCTGGTTGTGCTGGCAGCATGACAGCATAAGAAAACCTCTCACGTGTAAACATTGGTGCTTTTCACAATTTCGTTTATCAGTGATAAGAATTAAGGCTGACACAGGAAGCCATGCTGTTTACATAGCTGTTCGAGAGTCACATAAACAGAACCGTGGGAAAGAAATAATGTGCTCGACCACGCTTCACAACTGCTTCGATGATGTCGTTCCATGATGTCAAGTCAAAACTAAATGTGAAGTCAGTTTCACATATGGACAAGTCAGCCCAAACCTGAATTTACAGGGAAATACACACGATGATATACTATATCTATATAGTGCCAACTGTGTTCTATTGTGTCGGTATTCTATAATCTTGAATGTCCAACGCTCGGTTATACGAGTCCGAAACGGGTTTAAACCCTCGGGCCCTCGACAAACTGGACTCGTTGAAGCTCCACTCGGCTGGCACTGGAAGGAATCCATTATGTAACCAGTTTTCGAGCACAAGCCTAACACGTGACTAAACATAACGGGCGATTGTTATCGTTCGCACTTTGCTTCTGATGAAAGTGTAGACATACATTCTATTCAACTCAGAACAACCTGTCTTCTAAAATTTCTATCATGTTACACTAACTACATACGGCAGGATCTGGCGTTAAGTGGTTTCGTGTAAATTCAGTTAATATCACTACGCTAGCTGTTGCTACCCGACGTACCGTACACACGTGCAGCGTAATATGCCAAATGGGTGAGAGTGACTGGATTGCCCGACATCCACAACATGGTGACTTCTACATTAGCCCACTAATGTATTATATGTGTGAAATGTAGATCTATGCTAGCGGACAACCTATCTACCTGGAGCGACACGCCGTAGTGATGAAAGTTCGGCGTGACATTCTCGCTGGAAAGGATGGCGGCCAGCTGGGATGTCAGTCCTCCAAACAGCCTGCTTGTGTTGTAACCTGTAGGTAAACAAGAGGGTAGATTTACTTATACCGGTACCACTAATCGTATTTTCTGCGCATGATCGGAAGGAATATAAGCTTAGCAGGGTTAGGGTTAGACTCCTATATACAACAACCGGAAGTAGCTAAAACAATAGTACCGGTATAAGTAAAGTGCTCCCAAAGAGAACAAGCAAAAATCTGAAAATATGCTCGAACAAAATGACAATAACACCATATTTCAGCTGTACCATATGACGGCATGTAGTCATCTCTGCAGTAATTGCCTACCTGGGTGTAGGATGAGGGGTAGGCTGACGTTGTAGGCCACTGACGAGTGCAGGTAATCGTGGCCTGTACTCAGGTACGTCAGCAACTGGAACCCCTCACACGTGCCCCACAGGGGGAACACCTCGCCCTCCGAGTTGGCCTATAATACACACAGGAATTAGGGCGAGTGACGTAGTGAATTTATTTACAAGTCATCGGTCAATGTAGATTCCATCTATATCACGTTCCACTGAATAATATATAAATTGGACTCGGGCCCTATACAACATTAAACTCAATCACTCACTCACTCCATGTCGTACCTGGGACATAAATACTGAAATGTGAACATACCTTAACAGCCAAGTCATAGATGATTCTGGCAGCCTTGGAGTAGTCACTGGTGCGGATGCCACCATGGCCCCCAGGAAACAGAACCCTGGTACATGAAGTAAACAACATGGCGTAAGGGGATCTGAGGTGCCATGTTTACGATAAAAATATACATTCGGCTATCGACCATCAACATGCAATTCCTGCTCTGGTTACGAGGTAACCAAGTCACTCGAACGTTTATTATGGTACGGTAGACGCCACAACACCGACTCAAAGTAGGAACCAACCACACAAAAATATATACTACGTCTATAACGAACTGATGGATATAACGTACTGATGGATATACGAACTGGCGGATATAACGAACTGACGGTTATAACGAACTGGCGGATATAACGAACTGACGGCTAAAACGAACTGACAGATATAACGAACTGGCGGATATAACGAACTGACGGATATAACGAACTGATGGATATAACGAACTGGCGGATATAACGAACTGACGGTTATAACGAACTGGCGGATATAACGAACTGATGGATATAATGAACTGGCGGATATAACGAACTGGCGGATATAACGAACTGACGGATATAACGAACTGATGGATATAACGAACTTGCGGATATAACGAACTGACGAATATAACGAACTATTACTTTTATTCCCACCCTTTTGCTGTATATTTCAGTGTAACTAACGAACTACGGCCATAACGATGTAAAATTAGTGGTCCCTTTGAGTTCGTTACAACCGTAGTGTCCTCAGTTAACGAAAACTACAACATATTTGTAACGACAAGACGGGCACAGGACAGCGCTAGAGACCAAAATCTTTCTCTTCATTTGCATGTTATGCTTGTTCGTTCGTTGTTTAACGCTGCACTCAGCAATATTCAAGCTATTTGGCGGCGGTCTGTAAATATTCAATCGAATCGGGACCACACAAACTACACATTTGGGATACGATGACATGTGTCAACAAAGTCAGCGAGCCTGACCACCGGATCCCAGTAGTCGCCTCTTACGACAAGCATGGGTTGCTGAAGACCAATTCTGACCTGGATCTTCACTGGTTACATATGCATGCGTTGTGATGGGCAACGGGTACAGAATCACAAGAGTGACACTCAGAAACAATCGGGGGTGCCGTCAACAAAACGATGACCTACCCATTGATCTTGGAGAAGAGCTGTTCATAGTACTGTGGGGTTTCTCGCACACTGAAAACAGATTTATTCAGATACTCAGATACTTCAGATATTACAGGTGACACTCTAATACAAGGGAATGTATACGGTCATGTCTCAGGCAAATGATCCCTACAAGAAACGGTTATTGTATGGTGATGTATTTGAGGCGGGTATCACAGTCTGTAGTACATGCATTATATAAAGGGTATATCCCGACAAGTTAAGTGTACATGGAGGGACGCAGATTCATTGTAGCACTAATCAGCACAACGGTTTGATTTGTTTGCTGTTTAACGCCACTCTCAGCATTATTCCAGCTGTATGACGGCAGCCTACAGCATGTCTGGACCAGACAATCCAGTGATTGACGTCATGAGTATGTCACGCGTTTGGGAAACGACGACATGCATCAACCAAGTCGACCAGCCTGACCAGACAATCTCGTTAGTCGTCTCTTTGAACAAGCGTGTGTTGCTGAAGACCAATTTATCCCTCACGGGTCAACAAGCACAGAGACGGTGAAGTGATTAGGGATTAAAATCAACCGATCGTGGCACGCCTAAGGGCCACAACTCTACAAAGAGAATATCAGCACCTTTATCAACAGGGTTCCGCATGTAGTTACAGCCAAGCAAATGTATTCAGTGAGAATTACTATGGTGGCACGTCCAACCCGGTGAATTGAATGTTTGCTCACCGGATGGGCACGACCCTCGCCCCAGACTGTTCTAAGTACTTGACATAGTTGGCTGATATAAGGGTGTCTCCATGTCGCTTGCTGCTGGCGGCCTGGGTAATCACCCCCTGTCAAATACACCATCTTATACTGCTAGGCGTATTTTCAACTAGTGTAAGTCCAGATTCCGTTACTGCACATCTTACATTTTCGTCATACTGTTTATATACTATTCCAAAAAAAAAAGAAACGCATAACACAGAAATCTAGAAAAGTATAATACTTTATGGATAATGCCAATCAAACAGAACACAGAAATCTGTTGCGAAAATGTGTTTTCAAACATGTATAACTCGTACACAAATAGACTTTAGTACATGAATTTTTGCATCAGTTTAGAAGAAGGAAATGTCTATACAACCAAGTGGATAATTTTATATAACGGAGATGTTGAGCGCCATGGTGACGACGTAGCACGGGCTCGACGTCGGATCTCCTGGCTCTCAGTCCAATCTCTCTGAACCTGTTCCGTACAGTTTGACCGGATATCCTCCGAAGTCCAGGCACCCTGGCTGCTGTGCTCTCACCCGTGGCAGTACGATCAGGCAAATGTAGTACCCGGATGTACCGATCTTGGGCTACAGTGGTGACTCGAGGTCTGCCTGTACGGGGACGGTCATTTATTATGCCTGTTTGGTTGTAAAGAGCTGTAAGCCGTGATATCGTGCTCAGACTAACATTCAGGCGCCTGGTAACAGAAGATTGGTAATCTCCAGCGTGCATTCTTTCAATGGCGATGTTCGGTGTCGCAACGTCAAGACGTGGCGTAATGATTTGACCTTGAAACTCCTTCAAAACTAATGCCGATTTCCGAAAGTAATCTGGATTTTTATAGCCAGACAGTGCACTCTCTCTGCTGAACAATTTCAACTGGAAGGTGATTTCTGTTGCGTTGTGGTGATGCCTTTTTAATCCTTGTAAGAAATCTCATCAAAATCAACATTTCAGGTAAAGTCGGTTTTCTCACTTGTGCAATTGTGTAAAATCATGTGATCAACACTTTTGTAACATATTTTGACGATTGTTTGAACACAATAGGTAATTAAAAAAATTGGTCCAAACATATGATCATACTAAAAGCATACTGGAATACACATGTAAAGCACGTGGTTCAGACAATATCCCAAGAAAAATGGGTGGCATGTTCATGTGCTGCGAAGGCGCCATGTAGAATATTTATAACGTGCTTTTCCAGGCTTCATATCCTGCTCAAAGCGCACAAATATTACCTGATTATTATTACCCCGGATAACCAAAGCTGCCTGTGAAGCGCTAGAAAGTTAATAGTCACATGACCAATCCCACCGGGTACCCATTCTCTCCTGGGTGAGCAAAGGCTATGGTGAGACCACGTGTATCACATGTGCTTCGTTGTGGTGCAGGACTGAAGTCCTTGAAACTGTCAGGAGTCAAGCTGCCAAACACGGTCACCCATCCCAAGGGCTCTACGCGCAAGGTTGCTCAAGTTCAACTGATTTGTGACCTGAGCTCTACGCACAGGTGGACACATCACCGTTGTGCAGTTGTGCTACAGTTTGCTGAACTGAATTAACAGACTACATTACTAAACATTTACTTTTCTTGACATGATGAAAATCTCGACTTGAGGACATGGCGTTGGGTTCATTGGTCTGGTGAAAGTCGCTATATTTAACACGGTGCCCCGACGGTAATGTGATAGTGTGGGCTGCGTTTCGTATGGATATGTTTACAATGCCAGGGACATTCAAGGGTCAACGTTACCGATCGGAAGTATTGGATACTGCCGTCATGTCACATTGTGATAACAATTCTCTTGCTTGTCATCCGATATTCATGAATGACAACGAGGAATGATGACATTTTTTATGGATATACAACTTCTTTTATTTTGTGTACCAGGGGTGGATACAGCTTTTTGAGAAAGGGGTGGGGGGATGCACACTATTGAGAAAAGGAGGGGTGCACACTTCAATTTCACCCGAGTTTCAATGGTCATTTAACAAACTTTCAGCACAAAGGGTGCGCACCTTCTGGATCCGCCTATGTGTACATCCTTAAAAACTGTCATCGTTCTTCATCTACTCAACTTCTAAAGTGCCCATCAAAGAAATGAATGACAACGCCAGACCACGCACGCCGCCGCGGCCATTTGCACAACAACGCCACCGAAACATTAACATGACACGCAAGGAGATGAAATGAACACCATCGAACATCTTATTACAGTCTTGAACGCCAAGTTCGAGCTAAAGATGCCCCTGTTCAAAATGTGCAGGAACATACACTCTATGGGGAATGGCAGAGGATTCCTTTGCTGAGAGTTCCACCCTTGATTTACAGTATGAGGAGACTGGGCCACCCTTGCCCCAAAACAGCCTTGCTAAAAATGCCTCTCAACATTAGTGTAGGGAATTGGTTAAAATCTCATAATTGATGATTGGTTCATTACAACCGATCGATCATCGAAAATAATTGGTTAGCGTCATTTATGAAATTTGTTAATGCACATAAACATAAGGAAAAAAACGTAGTTCTTTTGGGGCTTTTTGGCAAATTTCACATCTTTAAAGGATGACTAGTATGTTAGGAACATAAATTTCTTGGAGCCTTTAAGATAAATTCAATCATGACTTGAAACGAGCTTGTAGTCCTTACAAAATGTAACAGACAAAACCAACAATGTGAAAAATATTGTTCATGAAAACAAGTGTTCCAAAATTGGTTGTGTTCGATTATGAGAAATTATGATCGATTGCTTGGTCGTTTAGTCACTACGACCAATCTTCGATTATTTCAATTAATCGGACCACCACTACTCCACATTGCTACACTACAACGTTGCAAGAGATAGCTAAATGTACATAATGAACGCCACAACTTTGGATAAGGATGACACGTAGATATATGGAATGACGGACAGAGTGACTGCGACAGACTAATACAGGAATCATGTGGTTTGAATTTTCTATTTCACACGTACGCACCAAATACATGTTATCATTATCGGTTCTGGATTTGTAAAGTACAGCTACATGTAGACCTACCGTTTTAATGAGTGGTATGCTTACCAATGACCGGTCTGTCTGTACAAACGGTTGCTCCAACAACGACCAAAGCTGCCCCGCCACACAACACCATCAACCACCACGACATCCTCAATTGCATCCTCCCTGCACACTGAAACACTGGTTCCGAAACAGAAACACCACGTGACCACGTCATATCAGGAGGATGGTGAGTTGGTCAAGGACATCCGTATCCCGACAACAGATATATGTCTTGATCTGTTTGACTGGCATTTAGAAGTTGGTGACTAATAAGAAAGTAAGATTGTTTATGGATAACAACTTCTTTTATTATATATGATACGACGTTTCGGTATGGATTCTTATACCGTTGTCAAGTAAGAGTGAAGTACTACAGCACAGAACAGACTTATATACATGAACAGGGATTAAGTAATAACAACATGTAGGTATCCTACTTTCAGATATACGTCTTGATCGTATGCGAGTGTCTAGAGGGCATTGGCGTCTGACACTATTTCTAGGAGAAAATATATCTATGTCACGACCTACCAATTGCAAATAATACATATCCACGGGAACATGGCGAGATATGTTTGAGTGTATGAACAGGTATAGGAACATGACACGAGGTGTTTGAATGTATGAACAGGAACGTGACGTGAGGTATTTGAGTATGTTGGCATTAATAGGAACGTGACACGAGGTGTTTGAATGTATGAATAGGAACGTGACACGAGGTGTTTGAATCTATGAATAGGAACGTGACACGAGGTGTTTGAATGTATGAATAGGAACGTGACACGAGGTGTTTGAATGTATGAATAGGAACGTGACACGAGGTGTTTGAATGTATGAATAGGAACGTGACACGAGGTGTTTGAATCTATGAATAGGAACGTGACACGAGGTGTTTGAATGTATGAATAGGAACGTGACACGAGTTGTTTGAATCTATGAATAGGAACGTGACACGAGGTGTTTGAATCTATGAATAGGAACGTGACACGAGGTGTTTGAATGTATGAATAGGAAAGTGACACGAGGTGTTTGAATGTATGAATAGGAACGTGACACGAGGTGTTTGAATGTATGAATAGGAACGTGACGTGAGGTGTTTGAGCGCATGAAATGAAATAGGAACGTGACAGGAGGCGTTTGAGCGTATGAAATGAAATAAGAACGTGACACGAGGCGTTTGAGTGCATAAAATGACATAGGAACGTGACGCGAGGTGTTTGAGTGTATAAAATGCTTCATTGTCAAAACATTGTCATATTTCAAGAATATTTTCCGATATTAAGAATGAGGTACAAAATCGGCTTCAACATATGACGTCCATATCTTCGTTGATTTGAATGTCTAATGTTTCTTCTTGTTACAGCAGCATGTCAACACGTCTCCCTCTGCACACGCTACGTCCTGAGAGAGTTTGGGATACTTCCTGGACAAAGCTGCCACCATAGCGTCAGTACATTTGGAATCATTTCCCGCCATCCCTTTAAGCAGACGACACCATCCCACTTCAGAAATGTCATTTCTCCATATTGTTTCGTATGTACAAGAATCAATGCAGTTCTGTTGGTACAAGTGATCCACGATGTCACGAACATCGACGATGTCTGTGAGGTTACAGACAACACACTTTTCTCTTATCTTCGTCTCCTCTTTGTCCTCGGTAGACGGCCGACAATTCAAGTGAGGGTATTCCGCTATCAAATGGTTCTTGAACTTCATGAACTGGTCAGAATCACATCGTTTAATTCTGGACACAAGCTCCCTGACCTGGCACTTTCTTGTGGAGTGGGACCGAATGGTATCTTCGTCAGACTGAAACAACACATCGTCTTGAACAAGTCTGTCGATGAATAGTCCATTTTTCAGATCCAAATTGTTGACTAACATCAAATGATTATGGCGAAGCCATGATCTATTTTCTTTTTGGTGAACTGTGTCTGGTACACCTACAAAACAAACCAGTAATAGCATCAGTCCAAAATGTCCCATGACAAGTAATTGTGTTGATCTAAGATACGTGTAACTTTGACAACCGAATCATGTATGAAAGTTAATTAGCGAAGCGTATAATTGTACATTATTTTCGAGGAAGGAAGTTGAGAATATCTTAATATAGCTATAACTTTAGTAAATTCGTTGTTACAATCATACGTGTAACATTCAGAACCTGAAACATTTATGAAAGTTAATTAGCGAAACGTAATTCTACATTTCTTTTGAGGAAGGAAGTACAGAACTGCCCCAATGTAGCTATAATATATATACAGAGCCAACTACACACTCATCAAGTGTTGTTTCGTATTAGGTTACGCGTTGCGGTGATGCCTTCCTGTAGAATGTGTGAAAGATGCAACTTGTATGTAGTGTAAGAAATAAAACAAATCACACCTGCTTTTGTTTTGACAATGTCGTCGGCAACGTCGTCCTGTGCGTCAGATGAAGATAACGTTTCCGACTCCCTGAACGTATCACGTACCAGCTCAGCCTCCATGCACCGCGTCTGAACGTGGTCCAACACCGCCGACAGACCATGGAGCCGACAATCCAAAGACCGCACCTGATCGTCTGTATACGACCTGCAGTCAGACTGGTGACTCGACAACGCCTCGTTAATGATCACGGAAGTCTTTCCTTGAGCATCTTTCAACATGCGAATTTCGTCAAAAAGGACGTTTTGGGAAGTTAGCACGACTGTGAGTAATTGTTTTATTTCCTTTATGTCAGTATAGTGGTCACAGGGGCTGGCTAGTGCTCCAGCTTCAGTGGTATCTTCACCATGATTGTACAGACATCCTGGCTCATTTCCATCACGAAGAACTGGCTGCGTCACTATTCCCCGATGTACTGAGTGAGTCATAGGTGACACGCCCGCGTTTCCCGTCAACTGATTCTGCTGCTGATCAGCCTGTGTTGGAGGACATACTTCCCCGCATTCGTCCACCTGCTCCTCCTGTGCTGCCTTCTTGCAGTCCTTCTGTCCGGCGTCTTCCTGTGCTCTATCGTGTTTATCATTACCTCCAACACTATGTTTGGTTGCGTCACTGTCTGTTCCCTCACGTTCTGAATCATCTTGCAACCATTCCCCGTCACCATGACGCGAAATACGGGATGGCGCCAGTTCTTGTGCAACATCGATCTGTCCTGGATTAAATGCTGGCTGGCGTTGTTTGGACGGTGTCAAGGAAGGCTCCGGGGCTTTCTTCGCTTGTGACGCCATCTGATCCACAAACAAGAATGAACGTTTATGTTTACATTTTCAACTATATTAAACAAATATACCATATATATATGTATATGTTATGGTATTCGCCCATATAATATTGTACTACCCATTTTAAATATACTACCCATCAAAAGTTTAGACTCACTAGTATAAATGTATCCGCTTACTTCAGTCAACTGTTCTAGACTAGATTGTGCAAAATATTCCATACTGTTTATAGGTACTGTTTACACATGAACTGATGCATTGTAAAACAAATTCGTAACGTTGAAAAGATTATTTTCAATAAATGATGAAACTCGGTGAAAATTGGCAAATTCTTAACAAAACTTTACACCAAAACGCAGCTGTTCACATGTACGATATTTGCACATGCTTTTCAGCAATTTGATGCATGATCCTCGTGCAAATCATCTGCATAAGGTCTGCAGTTGGTTCCCCCAAGTTAGTGGAGAAATTCATCTTCGATGTAACCACATGTATATACATAACATAGCATTTAAGTGAGTCTAAACTTTTGATGGGTAGTATATAAATCACTTCTCCAAATTTAACAATCCTTGAGGGATAAACAATTCTCACGCCCCGCCAAACAAATGTTGAACGTGGCATGCTAGCCAGTCTACTGTGCCATGAGATGGAGTAGACGAACGTGCTTCAAATGGGTTCGACTCTGATCGCCCCAGATCAGGATTGCCATATTCATATTCGGCTACGTTATTTGCGTGATGGTTTTACGATCTCAACGTCAACCAGTAACGCACTGTATGGGATCGAGTGACTGCCCCAACCACACGAAACCCCTTGCGCGCTGCTCATCTGCATGCCAAGACGTCCTCATGTTGGGTCGAGTCTGGCACAGCTAAACCGTAATGAACGTCTACGCTAGGCGCAATTGCTCTTGCAGATGGGTATAATTCCTGCAAAATGCGGGTAATGACGTCATGGGGTGGCCATCACCTGGCCTCATTCCCATCGTATGGAATGCTCTTCATGCCTTGAGACGTCAACCCCAGAATGTTCAAGAGCTGGGTCTCCTTTCACAAAACACTAAGGTGATCGTAAGTCACTAAGGTAACCATAGTGCAATGTTAAAGAATGGGAGTTAAGGTTAACCTTAATAAAGGTTGCTTCGTGAAAGGAGCCCTGGGCGCCATGATGGTACAGCAATGGCGCATGTTGCCCAATGCTGTGAATGCGAGAGAGGGCATACGCGATATAAGCTCCAATACAGATGGCTGGTCCCTGTGAAATCAGCGCACCTTAACACCTCATCATGTTTTATTGTATGCTCATAAACCAAATTTATGCACTAGCAACACATCTTGTCTATAATGATATGTTTGGGACATAAATTAATACATATGAAGTTTCTTTTTTGCTTAGTATATTACTGATGTAGAAAGGGAATTGGCCATGAAACGGAACTAACTTGTTCTATACAATACAAAGTGAACGGAACCGAAATGTGCTCGCAACAACCGGTAATGGACCTACCAGTGGATATTCTTCGGGATGGGGGATGGTTGAGGTTGTGATTTTACATGGCTAAATATTTATTAATTTAAAGTGAATAATACCTAAACCTATAATATTTTATATACCTATAATAATTTAGTTTTTGTGGCCGATATTTACTTATATAACATACAACAATAATTTATTTATTTGTGGCCGACATTTTCCTATTGTGTAAATAAAACGTAATTTCTTTTCAGCATTTTCTGTCACAATGTTTTTTCGATAACATCCCACTCTGCACTGAGCAATATGTACCTATACGACTGCAATCAGAAAATAATGGAGTTTTGACCAGACCAGTGACTGACATCATGAGCATCTATCTATGCAACGATAACAAGCATCAACCAAGTTAAGCTGGGCCCCGTCTCGCATATCGCAATATAAATTTGTAAATTTATAGCTTTGTCGAACGTTAGCGCGCGCAAAGGGAGCCGGGAACCAGCTTACAACCAAGTCAGCGAGCATGGCAACCCAATACTGATACACTCCCCTGGTCTCTGTGATGATGTAACAACGGACAGGACCAGATGTTAGTCACTGATTAACCAAACTTGGGCTAAAACTAACGAGAAACCCACTTTATCTGCGTAACCGCCTCCGTGGTGTAGTGGTTAGAGCGTCCGCCCGGAGAGCGGAGGGTCGCGGTTTCGATCCCCGACCGCGTACTTGTTGGTCCCTGCCTGACGCTCGGCATTAATGGGTACAACAAGAACTGGTCGGCTCGGAGTCAGTATGTGTCTGAGTGGGGTATTCATGCTTCACTGCGGCATGGTATCTCAGTGGGCTAACACTATAGAACCAGCTTCAGTCTGGGCTAGTACAAGCAGCCGCACATACACATACACACGCATGCACGTCGTCATATGAGCGAAATATTCTCAAGCACGACGATAAACCCAATTTCACCTCACCTCACTTTATCTGCGAAACAGCTGTGAGTAGTTAGTCCATAATGTCAATAAAGACGACAATCTACAACCAGCATGAACACCTTTGTGACATACCTTATTTTACAGCAGTCGTCTTCAGCAAGTAAATTCAACATGCATTCTTCTATGTAAACCCGTTGCACTGACGTGCTGCGTCACGTGTGAGATAACCACAGTGACTTTGCAGTTTGTATCTTTCCTTCCTCAGTGTCTATTCAGTGAAGTATTTATAGTTCCAAGTCATGTTTAACGGTAAAACAAATGTTAGTCGCACACTAGACTAACAACTAGTCTCTGAAATGAACATATTTTACAGATAAAACAGTTCAGGATAAAAAAAACATAAATAAATAAAATATAATGAACAGGAGCCCTGAGGCTTTCTTATTCAGAAACTGTGGAAACAGAAACTAGACTTGCCACATGTTCTAGACTTGCATGGGCTTTCTTCGATATACTTGTTTCATGGTCTGTTTGACAGACTAGTCGTAGGCCTACAGAAACTCAAACTCAGACTACATGCACAGAGTAAGACTAACGCTTAGTCTCCGAATATATATAATTTTGATTGTCACAAATAATCCTATTTAAATTGAAAAGGAGCCCCAGTGAGATGGGAGATTCGGAACCTGTGGAAATCTAGACTTACTTCATTTAGGGCGTTAGCACTGCAGGGAGGGCTAGGCAGTAGTGAAAATAATGTGGTTCAGGGACTGTGAGACAGACTAGCACAGTCAAAGTTACATCAGTTAGTTTCGTGTATCGCATATTTACCGTATTTGTCCTAAGGGACGCTAGGGCATCTAATGACGTTTAAAGGAGGAAAACGTCGGTTAGAGGCATTTGGCAACTCACTACCCTACCGAATCTCATATTTAACAATTCTTCAAAGGGTACATTTTCAGGAAACGGTCAATATATGCCGTACATTCATCAAATGTCGGACCCGCAATCAATTGTTTTACCAAGCTCGTGACCCGATGTCCGTGAGATGCCGGCATCTGTTGGGGCGATTATCATTTTTTATTCACACATTTTGATGATTTGCGTTATTATGATGTTTGTGTGTCATTATGAAACACTTTGTACATGGGTCCATATTTGGAGATTTTGACACTTTTCATATTTTCAGCAGTTTGCCGACTGCATCAAGATACTGCATGTGATTTTTCGTTCCATCTGCAAGTTGATCTTTGAGTCTATGTAGTCGATTGTCTGTTTCCCTATACACGCGTTTCCTCGATCGAGGGGCGCCTCCCAGGTCGAGTTGGCACAGCTGGGTCTTCTCTGCCTTCTCTATTTTCCTGATGATTTCCATAAACCTGAAGATGTTTGGATGGCGATGACTGAGTGTAGCATTCAATCTACTGTGAAACCTCTCAATGTTGTTAGTCCTGGGGCCGAATGTGTCATGATGGTTCCATATGGGTAAGCCGGGAAAGCGAGCGTCGTCGTCCACCCAGGTTGTAGTGATGTAGTCGTTGAATGTCTGTGAGCCGGGGATGATCACGAAGTTACCTACACAAAGTGTTTATTTTTTTAAAGCCATTTACCTGAGTAGGTTAATTACTTTATCTTTTAAGCTACCTCCACAAGATTCAGTTAAATAGCTAATCCCTAATTAGCTGGGGTTAATCCATTCTATCAGATAGGGGAGTAAGGTGTGTTTTCTTTGCTACTTACCTTCTCCACTGTCTCACAACTGGGAGTTCTCGCAAATGGGAGTAGACCGGTATTGCTTAACACCGCAAACGTAACTTTGCAGCTATTCAGTCAAGGCATATAAGAGGATATATATCGGCGTCCTATAGAGTATATACGGTATATTACGATGAGTCAACTAATTTCAACAAACAAGCAGAGAATAGAAGCGATCGACAATTTAGGCATGACGTTCTTCCGGCAATGCCTACTACATGTATTTATAACCATTCAGTTTAGATAGCCTGACCACATTTTGTTAGAACCCAGAGAACTAGAGCACCTGGTGACATTCGTGACCGACTGGCATTACTCCGTGACAAGCCGAATAGCGACCTTGCTAGTCTGTCTCACAGTCCCTGAACCACATTATTTTCCCCACTGCCAAGCCCTCTCTGCAGTGCTAAAGCCCTAAATAAAGCAAGTCTGGATTTCCTCAGGTTCTGAATTTCTGGTCTGCCTAGGGCTCCTTTTCAATATAAATGGGCTTGTTTGTTACTATCAGAAATATATATATTCAGAGACTAAGCCTTAGTCTACGACCTTGCATCATTCCTGTTATCTCGTGTTATTTATGGTGGCTGAAAAGCGGGTAGTTATTCCGGGACACACCGAAAAGCGACCATCTGGCAGTTGTCGGAAAGGAGCGAGTGTTGACGAATGCACTCGGTGAATCATTCGTCACCACTCGCCCCTTTCCGTAACCTCATGCACTTTTGGATTTGTCCAGGAATAATGCGAGTTGCTCACGAATGTCGGTGAATAAACCATACATAACCACTTCCCTGTTTGAATCCGAGGCAAGCACTTGGTAAGGAAGACCTGTGGAGAAACATTGAGGATCGTTCAAGTGTAGTGTCGCTAATCGGGGGATTGAATTCCCGTTTAGCTAAAATCAGGATGTTTGGATGGATAACATCACAGAGTTTCACCAATGTTGTCAGCTTACTCCTTCACTCTCCTATAGCGCCACAGGCTCGTGTTTGTGACTTCGGCGAGGTTGAATGTTGATCACCAGTTCGACCGTATTATCCCCTTTAGTTGGCCAGTTCAATACCTATGTCCGCCGTTGTCCACACAGTGCTCAAGACCTACCCATTTCCTAGGTTTCCTCTATCATACAAATACAGACCACTGTAACATGACGAAATATTGTGTAAAACAGGTTAAATTCAACTCTCCAGGATGTCTTGTTCGTGAACATCATTTTCAGCAACATGGCAGTTCACTGTCAGTGTAACTAATAATGGCTGATGCTTTCTTCATTATTGTCACTATCTCATTGATTTTAACAATGTAGGGCAATATTTGAAGTGAGAAAATCGGCACAATCGAAATAATCGACCACATTTAACTTCATACAGCAGACCATCAACAGTCATATCACATCTTTCGCGGTTGTTTTACTATGTTGCTTGTCTCGGAATAATTAACTTTGAAGTATAAACCTACCATCTCTGTCTCAGACAGATTTGGGTTCTCAAATGTGGTGATACCTGTTAATTAGACAGTTATTGAATACCTTCATTACACACTATTTCGGTTTCACAAATTGCACAACTTTTTGATGTTGTCTTTTTGTTAGAGTCGCTCTCAGCAATATTCCAGCTGTATGACGGCAGTCTGTGAATAATCCGGTCTGGACCATGCAATCCGGTAATTGATGCTACGGGCAAACAACCCACGCCATCGGGTACCATGTCACCGAGCTTGAACTTCCGATTTCATGTAGTTGAAATTCAAGCCTAGCTTGCTGTTTACCTATTCTTACGAATGGGGTCATTTCCTGTCAATACTGTAATTAAACCTGTGATATATTGATGATGTTGTCGAGATCGATGGGATGACAGGACTATCGAACTACATCATCCCTATCCTGGCACCTTCGGGTAAAAATACAGAACAATCATTAACAAAGATGTATTTATTGTAAGAATAAAAACGCTATAACTCAGTCACAAGCATGGCGGAATGTGTAGTGTGAGCACTCCAACTTTACGTATTATTTATATATCTTTTTCACTTATATTCCTCGCTGATACATGAGCATACACATATACATTGAGTAAACAACATAAAGAAGGCAGGACTGGAAGTTGTTTTAGCTGAAACATACTTAAACAATAAATAAAAAATCTAAAAATATTTCTTTTTTTTTCTCTTTCTGAACTGTCGTATTTATTTCTATATATTTATTCATTCATGGACTCCCTTTTGAATCATAAATACTCACATTTGGACTTACAGGTCCTCATAATGTGATAGCAAGACTTGCCATTACACTACAAGACTTGCCATTACACTGCAAGACTTGCCATTACACTACAAGACTTGCCATTACACTACAAGGCATAGCCTACTGTCATCGCCAAATTATTATGCTTCAAACTATTACCTCACAAATATCTCATGTCATTAAAAAATTACAAAAATATAATTTTATCATCATGAGATTTATTTAGTAATAATGACCTATGGAATGTAACATTTTCAGCATGATAGGATCAAAACGAATATCAAGAAAACCATCTCACCCATTATCAAAAAAGACACAAATGTGCATTTCGCACTTTTAGAGTGAACATATCAGGTTTTGTGACGTCATCACGCTGAACAAACGTTGGTTGCAAGACTTCCACTGAGTTTCAAGTTGATAGCTTATGCTTGACTAGATACTTCAGCAATATCAATACAGTTCAGAACAGTGAGGTAAAACAACATGGAGTCTCTAGTGTGATCTATGAGATGTATATTTCAAGGGGTTTTATGTAGAATTTCCAAGCAGAGAAAACAGTACCTGTACATTTTGCCTCAAACTGTCGGACAAGAGATCGAACTTGTATCTTTGAAAATGGCATTTGCCCAAACAAATGACAAATGTTATCAAACCGTTACTGCGTTGAAGACAGTCACCGGAACAGTGAAACTGGGGTTGAAAATTTAAATATCCGTATGAAATATCCTTGAAATAAACGTTTAATGTGTTCTATTTTCAGAGACCATCAAACCCGTGTATGCTTTCTCTAGTCCGACAGATTATTTTAGAATTTCCAGATATTGGATTGAGGCTGTTGAAATGGTAGATGTGCAGGAATGTAGACACATTACGCGTACGTTTTGGTGTAGTTGAAAAAATATATCTGCTCGAATGTGCCGTCATCTTGGTAGTTCAAGCGGAAGTTCTCGATGACGGCGTCTGCAGCAGCCTGAACACTGGGGAACTTGTGTCCACTTAGACGAGCTGAAACAAACAACAGCATCATCAACCTGGGCTGTTTAGTTTTACAGTTATTCTGCATCTACAAATGATATACTGGTCACTGGCACCCGGCCTACGTGCACAAAGCAATGTTAGTGCTAAGACCGCCTATGTTATGTTAGAGTATGGGAGTTCCGATCAAAGTAGCGTTAAGTTTGCTTTGTGCAAGTGAGCCCAGGGCGCCGTTCTACAAAACATCGTTTGCGCTAAGACTGCCAGAAATCTGGGGCTTACAATCACCCTAGCGCTAACATCGCTTTGTACAACGGCAGCCAGGTCACTCATGGAACCGGTTATCACCTCTAGCCTTCAATGTACAGCTTAACCAGCACTCCCCTTAACGTACTTGATATAAGATGACACGTCTCATGCAACCTAGCCCCCATTGCTGACCTGAATAGTTCAGAATATCACTGCCCTCTTGAAAGCACCCGGTGTCATATACCGCCATGCCCATGGACACCACTTAACTATGTGGCTCCTGACATGATAACCCTGGAATATTGCTAATAAAACAAATCACTCACATAATTACAGGTAAATAAATGATTACCTTCGTTGATGAAGAAGGAGGAGAAAAAATGTGAGATATAAACGCCATTGCTGGAATGGTCCAGCTCGTGGTTTGGGTTCCAGTCGAAGTTGATCTTCTCAGGGTGCCACTGGGTGCCATAGAACGGGTACTTGAAGGCTGAAGCGAAGGCAATGATACTATACCAGTTATATTCGTCACTTCCATGCAGACCACGGCACGATACGATACCTCTGAATGTCTGTGGACATCTCCACAGATGATTGTGTCTGGTGATCTTCATGATAAGGCACCCAGCGTGAAGGCTTGCTTATTTTCAGCACGAGAGCGCAAAGCATCCATAAAATCATATCTGATTTCAGTATCCTGGACCTAACTATAACGCCACATAAAGACCTCCACGTTGTACTACTGTGGACGTCGATACACCCTGTCGTTCCCGGGCTCTACGTCATCTACATCCACAAGTCAATACCATTGAAGGCACACCAGTGTCACTTAAATCGAAATTTACGAAAGTATGAATGACGCCGAATAGTTTAAGAAAGTTTAAACCTGATTGGCTCAAGAACCTATTAAGCCTTCGTACAGAGTGGGCCTGTGAAGCTTTTCTGTGAAGCTGTACACAAACCTTAACGCAGCTAAGTGTCCTATCAGAATAGATCTGATTTTACTGATATTGCGTTACAGCAGTGTATGAAGTAAGACATCAGGGCTGGTAACTTCAAAATGTTACCTGCCCAAAATAGATTTAACCAGACCAGACAATCCAAAGTAAATGCCTCAAGTTTTAGTTCAAATAAATAATTTAATGAACCTGAGACATGTATTTACTGTCTAACAATCTATTCACAACAGTCATTTTCGGAGAAATCCGACTCTAACCCGACAGTAATTGTAACTATTGTCAAGTTTAAATGTAACGCCCAATTTGAAATATAGATTTTAAGATATCGTGAATTTACTCAGATGTATGGAACATGCTATCTTATTTTTTTACCAGACCATCGGGTTGACAAGCTGTAACTTTTGACCGTCCGTCAGAAATCAAGCCAGTCTCGGGGGGTCGGACGGGCCTTATTTCATACACTGGTAACAGTATTCTGTATACCTTCTATAGTGGACACAAACACCTTCCCCTTCCGCCCTCTGTTGGTGGAGATGAGTCTGTAGAAGGAGTTGAGTGACTTGGTTTGGTTGAACGTCTGGACAGATAAAACACACACTATAGGAGCATGGCGCGGCCAAAGAGGTTATGTCATCTTATATTGAGATGAGGTGAAGTGAAATTGGGTTTTACGTCGTGCTTGAGAATATTTCGCTCATATGACGACGTGCATGCGTGTGTATGTGTATGTGCGGCTGCTTGTACTAGCCCAGACTTAACCTGGTTTTATAGTGCTAGCCCACTGAGATACCATGCCGCAGTGAAGCAGGAATATCCCACTCAGACACATTATACTGACTCCGAGCCAACCAGTCCTTATTGTACCCATTAATGCCGAGCGCCAGACAGGGACCGACAAGTACCAAATTTTAACGTATTTTGGTATGACGCGGTCGGGGGTCGAACCCGCGACCTTCCACTCTCCGGGCGGACGCTCTAACCACTACACCACGGAGGCAGTCCATGTTACAGTGGATGAGTATGGTTTTACTGTCATGATAAACGGCAGAACGACCGTAATACATAGAGCGCACAAGGGCATGGCATTGCTGAACGTTGATGTATTGCTATGTTATATGGGAGAATGTTGGCTTTATACACACAATTCCTGTCCCACCCCGAGGCGGTGGGGTAGCCCAATGGTTAAAGCATCCGCCCGTCAAGTTGAAGACACGGGTTCGATTCCCAACAAGTACCATGTGTGAAGTCTCTTTATGGTGATATTGCCGATATATTGCTGAAAGCGGCGTAAAACCATACTCACTCACCCTTTTTAAGACACCACGCGAAGGAACAGTATTTCCCAAAGGTGACCATGTTCCGAAATAAACGTGTGATCCGAAGACCGACATGAGTTACGTTTGAATTGGACGTTTCATTTGGCACTTGAGTGCCCGTTGGAACACTTCCCCAACCTTTCACTACAAGTCCCCATCCGTCATTATATTCGGACCCTTCAGTACCCGATTCCCAGCCTCCATTCTCACCTCCAGCAACAGACCGTAGTGGTGGAAGTTGGGGGTGACGTTCTCTGTGGTCAGTATGTGAAGAGTCTTCTGTGACAGTCGACCCAGCAGTCTGCTGGACTTGGCATCTGGGGGACAGCATTGACCAGAGCATGACTTACACGGAACACGTGTTAATCTTAATATCACAGCATTGACCAGAGCATGACTTACACAGTACACGTGTTAATCTTAATATCACAGCATTGACCAGAGCATGACTTACACGCAACACGTGTTAATCTTAACATCACAGCATTGACCAGAGCATGTCTTACTCAGAACACGTGTTAATCTTAATATCACAGCATTGATCAGAGCATGTCTTACACAGTACACGTGTTAATCTTAACATCACAGCGGTGACCAGGGCCTCCTTTCACAAAACACTAAGGTGATCGTAAGTCACTAAGGTAACCTTAGTGCAATGTTAAAGAATGGGAGTGAAGGTTAACCTTAGTAAAGGTTGCTTCGTGAAAGGAGCCCCTGAACAACAACACAAAAGTGACCAGTGAATGCATTATACACTAAACGTGTTAATCTTAACATCATAACATGACTCTACAAGAGATAACCTACGCACCACTGCATCGACCACAACATGACCTTTCCAATGTACGTCCTAACAAAACTTTTAATTCTAAATATATTTGCTTGTTTCTATCCAAATCAGAATACGCTTTATACAGAGTGCCTCTACTTCACTTAACGACACAGCACTGCCTATAGAGCATCACTAACGCACTCAGCGAAAACAAAAATGGCGATGGCCCGCGATCTTTTTGCTAACAAGGAAGACCGACATAGATTTATTAACAGAAATAACCTACATGTAATTGAAGCGAAAATTACAACTTTCTAATGGTAGGACGTCATTATAAAGCACAACAATTGGCACAGAGGAGACAAGTCAAGTATTTGCAGCACAAGGCCGGTCACGCAGATGGTTAAGCTGGACAAGGATGTCAGCTCCCTAATCATTGTATTTGATGAAATTGTCAATATTTCTGTGACGCCATCTGAGCAACAGCGTCCGGTCCTAGACACCTGTTGTGCACACCATTGTCTTACCTGGAGCTAGGTCGAGAGGCAGACTGATATCCGAGGCATCCACGGGCTGGAGGAGGTTGTGTCTGGCCGTCAGGTTGGTGAGGAGTTGGAAGCCCTGACAGGTGCCCCACAGGGGGAAGTGATCCCCGGCGTCGTTAGCCTGGTGGACCCAGGAAAGACAACACGATGAAACAACTACACGGCACGTAGCGTGTGTCCTGATTTATTCGCGATTCGATTAAACAGCTTCAGAGAATTTTAATGGCTTTTTGTATACTACAGGTACATGATAGGTATGGCTCCAAGTCATACTGTGTACACGTGCGTGCGTGCGTGCGCGTGTGTTCAAGGATATGTAGCAGGTGTGTGTACAGCGTAGAAATACAGTACAGAACGGTTATAACTAACTCAGAGGACCACGAATGTTAGTTCGTTATAACCTGGCTCCTTATAGGCGCGTTCGTTACTAACGTATACAGTGATATTTGTCTGATATGGCTGCACAGGACACAGGTATTACGGTACTCGCACCTTCACCGCCATGTCGTAGATGATCCTTGCCGCCTTGGCGTAGTCGCTGCTAACAATGCCGACACTTCCCCCGGGGAACAGCACTCTGTGGGACACAAGCACGTGCTTTTTACGGTCAACACACTAAAAGTGTAAATCACCATATTTCAAAGTTATCTTATAAAGAATGTGAAACAACAATAACAAAAGCGACCTTACCCATTGATCTGCGAGAAGAGCTTGGCGTAGTAGGAGCTTGGTTGCCGCACTCTGAAATGTATGATGACAGACATCAACGCCATTTCTCAAAGTTCAATCATCGTTCACCTTAATCCTATAGTTTTCTGTTTATCCCAGACAATACAATCACAAGATGGGCCTTCTCAGCCTTGTGCTTTTGTAATTCCATCAAGAGACTACTGACTGGCACTACCTTGGCCCCGCCTACCTAAAGTATTAGATAACTGATCTCACCTGACTGGCACTACCCTGGCCCCGCCTACCTGAAGTATTAGATATCTGATCTCACCTGACTGACACTACCTTGGCCCCGCCTACCTGAAGTATTAGATATCTGATCTCACCTGACTGGCACTACCCTGGCCCCGCCTACCTGAAGTATTAGATATCTGATCTCACCTGACTGACACTACCTTGGATCTCACCCGCCTACCTGAAGTATTAGATATCTGATCTCACCTGACTGGCACTACCCTGGGCCCCTGCCTACCCGAAGTATTAGATATTTGATCTCACTGGCACTACCCTGAAGTATTAGATATCTGATCTCACCTGACTGGCACTACCCTGGCCCCGCCTACCTGAAGTATTAGATAACTGATCTCACCTGACTGGCACTACCTTGGCCCAGCCTACCTATAGTATTAGATATCTGATCTCACCTGACTGACACTACCTTGGCCCCGCCTACCTCAAGTATTAGATATTTGATCTCACCTGACTGGCACTACCTTGGCCCCGCCTACCCGAAGTATTAGATTTCTGATCTCACCTGACTGGCACTACCCTGGCCCCGCCTACCTGAAGTATTAGATATTTGATCTCACCTAACTGGCACTACCCTGGCCCCGCCTACCTGAAGTATTAGATATCTGATCTCACCTGACTGGCACCCAGGCCCCGCCTACCTGAAGTATTAGATAACTGATCTCACCTGACTGGCACTACCTTGGCCCCGCCTACCTATAGTATTAGATATCTGATCTCACCTGACTGGCACTACCCTGGCCCCGCCTACCTGAAGTATTAGATATCTGATCTCACCTGACTGACACTACCTTGGCCCCGCCTACCTGAAGTATTAGATATCTCATCTTACCTGACTGGCACTACTCTTGCCCCCGCCTGCTCCAAAAACTTTACATAGTTAGCCGGGATGTAGGTGTCGCCATGTGTCTTGCTCCCTGTGGCCTGGGCGAGGACACCTGTTAGGGGAAATGACTCATGTGTATTAGAAAACCATAGATAGTATCATCCATGCGTCACTTCAGAATGAAATGTGTTCTGAGATTACGTGAAGAATGAGTGAGTTCGGTTTTACGCCCCTTTTAGCAATATTCCAGCAATATCACGGCGGGGGACACAAGAAATGGGTTAACACATTGTGCCCATATGGGGGAATCGAACCCGGGAGTTTGGCGTGACGAGCGAACGTTTTAACCACAAGGCTACCCCACCGCCCCTGTGAAGACTTGAGAAAGGCGCCCAATGTCCGACATCTTGCACAATACAGGAAGATACTCGGCCAATACTGCAACAATTTGATCTCTTTGAGTTTCCTTTGTTGGTTTCGTTTTTGTCAAACGCCATATTCAAACGTAAATAATCGAGACCACATATGGACACAATGTGGCAATCCTATTTGTTTGATAACTTAGCAAACAAATTGCGGAAGTATGTCTACAGACAATGAGATCATTATACTTCCTGCAAGTAGCTATAGCCTTGAGGAACGTTGTGTTCTATGCATGACACTTGATCACAAGTACTTGGTCGAGTTTTCCTTCCCTCGAGCCATGCAATACATCCGCATGGACAAACATGACATCTGGAGAGAAGACGCGCGATTGTTCCCTACGCTGTTGTAGAAAATAACGTCACGACCAAATATACATCGCGATATCTCCCTCTCCTTTACTATCTCTGTCTACCTATCTCTGTCTGACTATCTTTCTACATATCTCTGTCTATCTATCTACCTTTCTCTATCTTTCAACCTATCTCTATGTGTCTACCTATATCTGTCAATCTCAATCTATCCATCTCTATCTCTATATGTATCTCTATCTATCTGTCTGTCTCAGTTTGTGTACCAACACGTGTGTAACCCTACAATATTATATAGGTAGGGTATAAATATTCCAGACAGCCATGTAACCAAACACCAGGACCAGATCTACACCGATGTACTTCTACTTACAGTGAATCAGTACACCAATAACAGCCTTGAAAGCAGATAGCTCTTTAGCATATCAGACATACGTGATTCCTCTCTAACAGCTCTGCGTGTGACATAATGATATACCTGAAGGTCGTACAAATGTAGGCTAAGAGTTGAAACTGAAACAGAAACAGATACTAGGCATGTCCGATACACTGAAGCCATACACCGAATCAACTCAGCGTTAATTGGGTGATTCTTGTATAGATTTGTACGTTTCCAAAGCAGTCAAGACCAGCCATGTCTAAGACCTTATCACACATAATGAGGCTGGTTTCATACCCCTTTTGTATCTGGTCCAGTGGATGATTCCCTTTCGCATTACATATTTTGTATTTTATGTTTCAGAGGGTTGGTGTTATTACCAGTCCTACTGTCACTGAAGCGCGTAATCTGGGTGATAGGAGGGCACAACATACGTCCCGTGAAGATCAGGATTTGAACTGATCTTCGTTATACCCATGCCTGTCGTAAGAGGAGACTAACGGGATCGGGTGGTTGACACATGTCATCGTATCCCAATTGCGTAGATTGATGATCATGCTGTTGATCACTGGATTGCCTGGTCCAGACTCGATTATTTACAGACCGCTGCCATATATAGCTGGAATATTGCTTAGGACGGCGGTAAACAACAACGAAGCACAGATTTGGTTGTATATTCCCCAAGGAGTTGAGAAAGGACACAGACCAGTTGTCGGATCAAGATTATGTAGCATCGCCACTGAGCAAACACTTATTAGATATCAGGCGTTATCCGTTGAAGAGGGAATTGTGATGATATCATAGCATACTAATTCTTATAAACATTTTAGTCGTTCATTCATATGAGCTTAGGTATGGCACTACTCAATACTGTGTTGTTTAACACCGCAATATTCCATCCACAAAACACCAGTCCGTTTATTATCGAGTCTACGCCTGACAATCCAGTTATTGGCATCGTCGACCGACGCTCTTTATGATACGATAACATGTCATCAACTAAACCATCTGTCGCGATAACAGACATACATACAGACAGACAGACAATACTTTATTTCCTTAAAACGAATTCGTTTTGGATCACAGAGCTTGACAGAAATGCAAATGAATAACAACATAAAATATTAAATTATCTAAAACATAAAAGAGATAAATGTGTGCTTAAATATACTAGTAATTAAATGAATAAGATGATAACTGGACATTCAACATTTGTTTAAAATTGTAATACTTTGAGGTACAAAGGACGTTCGAGCTCGTTTTGTCCCGCCCACGACAGGGTAGGTTGCTGGGAACCTATATTGCAGCCCGGAATCTCCACGGGTCTGGGTACAATGCGTTAGGCCCATTTCTGGGGTCCCCCGCCGTGTAATTGCTGGAATATTGCTAAGAGCGGCGTAAAACCATACTCACTCACTCCACGGATCTGATCTCTAGATTTAGCCTGACAACAATATACGGGCAGATGGTATATGTGAGGCGGACCGCGACGAAGAGACCTTACTGCGCTCTGTTAAACAGGTCCCCGTTTCCCAGAGCGAGTGCAGAGTCGCTCTCAGATTGTTGATGTAGGAGAATTTTTACCCGTTCAGTGATGGACCCTTTCTTACGTACTGACTTACCTATCACTGGTCTGTTGTTGTAGGTGACGTACCGTGCTGTTACCGCCGTCACCAATACGCATAGCTGCACCAACACACACACCGCCATATCGTCCACGACGAAGAAGGAAGTATTTTACAGTGGAAGCGCTCCTTGCTGGCTATATTTAGTAACAGGGAATCCCGCTCATTTGGCAACGCGTGACAGGAAGATCCGATCCACTCACACGAGGCAGCTTCGGCTTTGTCAAACAATATCTGTTCGCGAAATTACGAGGAAATGGGTTTTATCGTACAGGAAAGGATCATACTGCTCAGAGGCACGTGCCAGACAAAAGACCCAGTGACCAGACACACATATCACTGTCATTGGTTGACTCAGTTCAGCGACACCTGTGTTGCAGCGAGACTGTCCTTTGACGCACGCTCAGTGGTTTGAAATGAAAAATAAATGTCATCATAGTATATACTGTCACTGATGAGTACGGAAGCGCTGAAGGGACCTGATGAAATATAATTTATATTGAGCGCACAAGTTAGTATGTTGAGCGCACAAGTTCGTATGTTGAGCGCACAAGTTAACATCTTGAGCGCACAAGTTAGTATGTTGTGCGCACAAGTTAATATCTTGAGCGCACAAGTTAGTATCTTGAGCGCTCAACTTCGTGTTTAGCATTCAATGGCATTAATGGAACGCACGTTTGCTTGACTGATGGCTAAAATGTACAAACTTATATCCTTTTTGAAGATTTCAAACGATGCAAAGTCAGAGTTAACTATAGGTGTTTATGATGACTTCTAATATTGGTACAACGTATTATGAACACTAGCATAAAGCTTGGATACCTTGTTTTGTGCTACGTCTTTATTATGAATATATAGTATTATAGTTTGGCATGAAATGCATGTGGACCCGGTTTTTCGTAAATATCTCTTCATCCAATGACCCAATCGATCGCAAACTGTGCAAGTGGATGTTTTGTCAGACAACCTAATTACATTGTAAATCACCGATTTTATGCATTTGTATTAAAGAATCTGTCTATGTAACTGTCAACAAAATAAACAGCAGAACGCAGACTGCTTGCAGAGGGAGGGAGCCAATGACCTGTAACAGCGGCAGTGTTGGGTCATGAAGGTCAACGTTCGTCAATGTAGGTCAGCTATGCACGTGACAGGTATGAAGAGGTGTCACAGGTCGTGAATAGGGTAAGGTGGGTGCCAACTGTTAACCATCATACGGAGTTTGTTTCTCTGAGTTGTTCAACATTAACCACAAAACCCATTAGTGAGAATTATTCTGTAGGTTAAAATCTTTAAATTTGTAATGTTAATGTCATATTTTGTTTATGCAGTACCTAAGTGGAAATGCATGTAAAGAACACAGAAAGTATATTTACACTAAATCATTAATCGGACCACCTATGGTTAGAACTCAACAACTGTTAAAGCCCCGTTCCCTCGGACACAAGCACACACAATCATGCACACTCATTGAAGAAAAGATAGAATGAAGACAAAAGTGTTATGTTTTGTTGTCGTTCACATTGCAAATTAAGCAATGCATTTCTAATAGCTTTAAGCATATAGATAGTTAATATTTATATTTTCATGATAATTTTATGTGAAATGAGTGTTTCATGTTACACTATAAGTCTTTGGAATTAGTCAGTGCTGTCATTGTTAAAAGAAGTTATATTTCTTTGAGCATATCTGGCTGGATACTATTATTATCTGTAAATATAATAACAGAATTAAACTTCATCAAGTTCGCTCCATTCTTCCACAGAGGAGTCATTAGTGTCCAGACGAATGACAACTGGATTAACTGTTTGCTCAATCAAGCCATCTTTGAGCCAGTACTCTTTCTCAACCTTCTTGACATGTTCAACACATGCATGCCAGCGTGCAATGTCAATGTCACATATAGCAGTGTTGAATTTGAATGATTGATTTTCCGGGCCACTGTACTTTTAAGGTCTCCCCAGATAAGTTCGATTGGGTTGAGATCACAGTGGTACGGTGGTATTGAACCGCAATAGTTTGGCAGTGAGAAAAACATGCCTGTTGCTCGTGGTGTTGCTTTCAAAAGCGGATATTATAGGATTTGGGTCGTATATACCTTACATATATACATTCATATTCACCTGATATGCATGAGTCAGCTCAAAGTAATAATCGGTACAGCTAGGCAAGGGAATGTTCAAAATTTATGGCTGGGTGTGTATGTGTGTATATGCCATGTACAAAGTCAATGACGACACCTCTTGTACATGTGAACAAAATTGATCTCTCACACACACACACACACACACACACACACACACACACACACACACACACACACATCCCTAACATCATCACCCCCATTAAAGACATAAACTATTAACGGTTCCTATCACATTGGTTCTAACAAGTTTTGTGAATCTACTCGTGTAGAGGTCATGGTATGCACCAACAGTATGAAAGGAAGTGATAAGGTACATTGTATGTTGAATGACCGACTATTGTCAGGTGTATCAGCTTTATTTTAGTTCCCTGTATACAAAAGTGAGAAGCCATAGCTTAATACACAGGGCTTTGGGTAAAGTTAAATATATATAATTCAGTGAAGGAACCGTCAGTAATGAACATAGGCGTGTAGTTCTCCATGACGGCTGCAGATTCGGAAGCGACGTCAGGAAAGCGGTGCCGACTTTTTCGGGCTGTGGAACAGAAACGTATGAGTATGCAAAATGCTAAAAATATTCCAAGATCTAACATGTCACGAGGTTCCTAGACTAACGTTTAGTCCCTGAATATATATCATTGTGATTGTAGCCATTAAACCCATTTAAATTGAAAAGGAGCCCAAGTGAGAACAGAGATTCTGAGGAAATCTAGACTTGCTTCATTTAGGGCTTTAGCATTGCAGGGAGGGCTAAGCATTGGGGAAAATAATATGGTTCAGGGACTGTGAGACAGACTACGAGGTTCCTTACAGACACACTTTCAGGCCACACCTGCCCAGACCGTCCAGGTTTGCTTACCCTCGTTAACGAAGAAGTTGGCGAGGTACTGAGTGACGAGGATGGCTTCCCGTGTGTGGTCGATGTCGGAGTTGGGATTCCAACCGTAGTTTATATCTTCCGGGTGCCACTGGGTGGCATAAAACGGGTATTTGAACGCTGGAAAAGACAGAACATTGGATCGTGAGATACAAATTCGGGAATTCTTTTCGTGTAACAGTTTGTTTGGTAGTATCAGCCATACATGCTCCTCACAGCGACATAACCCATAATTCATTCGCGGAGCTCTCTACAACAGCTGCACTTCTCTAAGTTCTTCATGTAAGGAGCTCAGCTACAAAAATCATGTCATGACGACGAATACTCCACCCCAGCTATTGAAATTAAACTTTTGGGGGCCAAAACAAAATTCTACATACTGGTTCTAGACGAAGGCTTAGATATATAAAATAATAGTCCAATTCAAATTGAAAATGAGCCTATGTTAGGTGTGTGATTCAGGCTGAATTTAGGAAATACCTAGACTTCTACGCTTCTAGGGCTTTGACATTGCACAAAGGGCTCGGCGGAAGGGAAAATAACGTGATACCGGCAACATTGAGACAGACTAGATTCGTGTCAGCTATGATACTGGGAGGGCAGAGATACCACAGAGTTTTATAATCAGCTACATTTGTCACCACTCCCGTCTCCACAAGAAGGTTTTTGTCGACGGACGGCAGGAGTTGGTCTAAAGGGACACAACTCCTCACAGAGTGATGTTGTACCTTTGACCAAAGCTAACGCTTAGTCTCGGAATATATATAATTTTGATAGCAAGAAATAATCCCATTTAAACTGAAAAGGGGCCCCAGTGAGATAGGAGAACCTGAACCTGAGGAAATGTAGACTTGCTTCATTTAGGGTTTTAGCATTGCAGGGAGGACTAGGCAGTGAGGGAAATAATGTGGTTCAGGGACTGTGAGACAGACTACCTTTGAGTATTGTTCTACCAACACATTGGAATCAGTATTACACCTGCACGTCACTGTATCTATGACATTAATAATGTACGGGTGAAAGTGGTTTAGATACACACCTTCCATGGTGGACACGAACACCTTCCCTCCCCTGTCCTTGTTGGTTGACATGACCCGGTAGAAGTCACGGAGAGAGGGCGTGGTACTGAATGTCTGACGGATAGGGTAACAGGAGAAATGTGTATGATTATTCATCATCCCAAACTGGCCTCCCAAGCAGATGCTTTGGTTTGGTTTGTTGTTTTATGCCGCATTCAGCAATATTCCAGCTATATGGCGGCGGTCTGTAAATAATCGAGTCTGGACCAGACAATCCAGTGATCAACAGCATGAGCATCAGTCTACGCAATTGGGAACCGATGACATGTGTCAACCAAATCAGCGAGCGTGATCACCCCATTCTGTTGGTCGCCTCTTACAAGCATGGGTTGCTGAAGACCAAGTCTAACACGCATCTTCACAGGTTGATATCGCTTGGCTTACATCAAACTATTTCCTAGGAGATACGAACTTGCACCACAATGCTCTCCAGACCATTGTAAGGTCGTCGGTAACCACAATGGTTTGCAGTTGTCACAATCAAATGACATAACTAATGTCTCCGCTACTGAAGCTGATAAACATGACCGAGGACACCAAACTAATTATATTATTACAGTTTACATTCTGAAATTGTTGGAAGATTGCCGCTAGATGATAAACAGAATCTCATTTCTTGTTATGCCAGATATTTCAACACGTGACACTCAGTATAGTTTAAATATAGAATACTACTAATCCACTACAGCTACAACACTGGGTGTTGGCAATAAGAACATGTTATTCTACCATGAATTGGGAATTTACTCGATTGTAAAGTAAGTCAGAGGTATCAAATCACTTAACCCACCTCTGACTGAAACAGCAGATGCGACGGCTGCATCGCCGCTGTTACATAATAATATGGGATAACAATATGCTCATACAAAAGAACAACTTTCTAAGTCGTTATCTGTAGGCATTTAATTATGTAGTATAACTAAACTGCTGAGTTGTCTCAACGGTAGCGTGCGTGTGTGTGCGTGCGTGCAACAGTAATATACCTTCTCCATAACTCCCCAATGATGAAAATTTGGCGTGACTTTCTCCTTTGTGAGCGTGTTGATGATGCTAGGACTGGCGTTGCCCAGCAACCGACTTTCCTTGTAGGCTGCAGGAAAAAACACAGCTCATAATGGGGAAGAACATGTTTTCAATCTGTTTCAGTTTCATAGGGTGAACAGTGGTATATGCTTCTAGTGACTGGTATTTTCGTCACTTTAACGTCATAGCTTGCACCAGATAGTTTTAATGTTACTATTGCTGTGAATCGGTAGTTCCACATCTTTGAGATGCAGGCTCCTATTTTGTCTTTGCATACCACATTGTAAACGGTTTTGAAATGATAGTGAGATGAAATAAAAGACCTTTTCCCTGATTAAGAATGCTCAGGTTGATAATATTAGCTTCCACGGTAAATGTGGTTTACGCTGCTCTCAGCAATATTCTAAAATATCACGTCCAGGGACACCAGAAATGGACTTCACGCAATGTACCCACGTAGGCAATCGAACCCGTTTCCCTGGCGTGATCTACGAACGCTTCAACCACTAGGCTACAGGAACAGGTGTGAAATATATCGTCAAGTATATGATTACCTTAATGTCCCTATTATGTAGCCAAGCACACTGAGCTTACCTGGCTTCAAGTCAAGCGCCATGCTAATGTTCTCGGCATCCGTTGGCACCAGGAAGTTGTGTCTGGCCGTCAGGTTGGTGAGGAGTTGGAAGCCCTGACAGGTGCCCCACATGGGGAAGAAATCCCCGGCGTCGTTAGCCTTGTAGAGACACAATACTACACAATCCGCTCCATTCCAAACCACTCACTCCATCATACAAATGAGTTTCATCAACACGGTCTCATAAAACGGAAGCAGGCCATGAAACTCGCCCCAGTATGATTACTACACATTAGTTTACATTTAAAGTTTCTGTTGAAGGGAATATACACATGAGCATTGATTAAGCACCACCTTAGTCAAAATCTATTTCCGAAAATAACGACAAACCCATGTCTGAAACTAACTGATCGCTTTTGGGATTAACGTGAGTGAATGAGTTTAGTTTTACGCCGCACTCAGCAATATTCCACCTATATGGCGGCGGTCAGTAATAATTAAGTCTGGACCAGACAATCCAGTGACCAACAGCATGAGAGGCGATTTACGCAATTGGGATACGATGCCATGTGTCAAATAAGTCAGCAAGCCTGACCACCGGATCCCGTTAGTCACCTCTTACGACAAGAATGGGTTACTGAAGATCAACTCTAACCCGGACCTTCACGGGTTTACCCTGAGTGAGAACTCCAGTTCAAAACACGCATGGACTGGCAAAGACAATGAACAAGGGATGGCATAGGTTCCCGATGATGGAAACCAGGCGTATAATCAGGAGCATGAAGAGACGTCTCGGTAAGAGGTGAATACTCAAGATCTGGACTGTCGAGGCAGTGGTGATTCCTTGACTGACACTATTCGTGTTCCACTGCATAACGTGACAGTTTCTGGTGGACTGTATGCTAATACTTTTCATCGATGTCGAAATGACCGTTTTCAGTATAGAGCAGGTAAGTCGGTTCTGATTGCAGGTGTCAGCTTCACTATGCATGTGATGGCATACCCAGGTGTCAGTCTGTCAGCTATTCAATCAACGACAGGTGTCAGTCTGTCAGCTTTCAATCAACGACACCAACCATTGCTTTAATGCTACACGTATCGGAAACATTAGGTAATGCCTATTTAATGCTTGGTCCCGATCCACAAACCGTTCGTAACTTTACGACCTGTCGTAACTCTATTTATCATAGGCTTACGAATGTCGTAGCCGTACGAATGTTTTGTTGATAGGGACCATGGTGTGTAATTATCCTCAAGAATCTACAATGTCATGGCGGTAAAAGATCCGTTTTTAGGCGTACATGGCTTTCATCTGCTCTGCGCTATAAATGTAGTCATTCTCAATTGAAATAATTAATCCAACAGATCAGAAACACAAATGGTCGTTAAGTTCATTCAACCCAAATTCTTCCGACTAATAGAGACATCTAACAAAGGGTTTCAACTACGGTTGCCCGTGATATTACCTCGACGACGATGTCGTATATGATCCTGGCGGCAGTGGCGAGGTAGCTGGAGGTCAGATTACGATCACCCCCGGGAAACAACACCCTGTTATACAGAGGATAGTGAGTGATGCTGTTGTTATGCGTATATCGTATCTACTCCTGGCTATATCGTATCTTCAGGTCAGGTTCTTAACATATTGGCTACATCAAAGTTAAGGCAGGCAAACGTTTGTCAGCATGCAGGCAAATCTTTGTCAAAGGGAGTACTGTCAATGGTACGACCTCCGACCGTATAATACGAATAGTCATTAAAAGAAGGCAGTTGTTGTTAACCAGCCTGGAATAGGTTTCACGAAAACAAACTTTAAAACCGATTCACCAGTTCATAACTAGATTTAAAAGACTGACTGACTGACTTTGGTTTTACGCCGCTTTTAGCAATATTCCAGCAACATCACGGCGGGGGATACCAGAAATGGGCTCCACACATTGTACCCATGTGGGGATTCGAACCCGGGTCTTCGGCGTAGATTTAAAAGAAGTATATACACCACTGGTCTATATTTTCGAAGCTCTCTTAGCGCTAAGATAGTCGTAAGTGCCATACATTAACATTAACTCACGACTATCCTAGCGCTATGAGAGCTTCGAAAATATAGGCCCTGATCTACTAACACACTGTAGTGCAATATAGAGCATGGTTGGTTTTATTACAGTGCCTATATTTCTTCTCACATTTTTAAAATATTTTTCATTAATTATTCATAACCACGGAAATCCGTATATGTGCAAGTAATGTGAGTGATTATAACCATTTGTTTCATTCAAATAATATTTATCAAAAGCAGTTGTTTAAAAAGACGTGTGAAAATTATTTATGCCATTTCTGTGTGCAATAATGTATTGTCGTGTGTATCATGAACGAAGTAACTATCATATAAGCCTGTTTTTCAGGGTCTAGTATACTCACCCATTGAGGCGGGACAGGAGAGTTTCATAGTATTCTTTAGGTTGGTTGACTCTGTGGAAGGAACCAGAGTGAAATAGAACCTCACTATAGCATCCAGTAATCTGGCCATTTCATAACAACAGAAGGATTTTATCCATACTGGGTGCACGTAAATCGGGTTACTCATACAAAACACCCGTGAAAATCCGGGTTAGAATTGGTCTTCCGCAACTCATGCTTGTTGTAAACGGGATTGGGTGGTCAGGCTCGCTGACTTGGTTGACACGTAGGCGTCATCGTATACCAATTACGTAAATCGATGCCCATGCTGTTGATCACTCGACTATTTACAGATCGCCGCCACATACCTTGAATATTGATCCATGAACGTACAATCATGGGACCAACAGGCTTCAAGCATATGAACTCTATGGATGTACAGTCATTGGACCAACAGGCTTCAAGTATGTGAGCTCTATGGACGTACAGACATGGTCCCAAGAGGCTTCAAGTATATGAACTCTATGGACGTACAGACATGGGCCCAACAGGCTTCAAGTATATGAGCTCTATGGACGTACAGTCATGTGCCCAAGAGGCTTCAAGTATATGAACTCTATGGACGTACAGACATGGGCCCAACAGGCTTCAAGTATATGAACTCTATGGACGTACAGACATGGGCCCAAGAGGCTTCAAGTATATGAGCTCTATGGACGTACATACATGGTCCCAAGAGGCTTCAAGTATATGAACTCTATGGACGTACAGTCATTGGCCCAACAGGCTTCAAGTATATGAGCTCTATGGACGTACAGACATGGTCCCAAGAGGCTTCAAGTATATGAACTCTATGGACGTACAGTCATGGGCCCAACATGCTTCAAGTATATGAGTTCTATGGACGTACAGACATGGGCCCAGTAGGCTTCAAGTATATGAGCTCTATGGACGTACAGACATGGGCCCAACAGGCTTCAAGTATATGAACTCTATGGACGTACAGACATGGGCCCAATAGGCTTCAAGTATATGAGCTCTATGGACGTACAGACATGGTCCCAAGAGGCTTCAAGTATATGAGCTCTATGGACGTACAGTCATTGGCCCAACAGGCTTCAAGTATATGAGCTCTATGGACTTACAGACATGGTCCCAAGAGGCTTCAAGTATATGAACTCTATGGACGTACAGGCATGGGCCCAACAGGCTTCAAGTATATGAGTTCTATGGACGTACAGACATGGGCCCAATAGGCTTCAAATATATGAGTTCTATGGACGTACAGGCATGGGCCCAACAGGCTTCAAGTATATGAGCTCTATGGACGTACAGTCATTGGCCCAATAGGCTTCAAGTATATGAGCTCTATGGACGTACAGACATGGTCCCAAGAGGCTTCAAGTATATGAACTCTATGGACGTACAGACATGGGCCCAACAGGCTTCAAGTATATGAGCTCTGTGGACGTACAGACATGGGCCCAATAGGCTTCAAGTATATGAGCTCTATGGACGTACAGACATGGGCCCAACAGTCTTCAAGTATATGGACTCTATGGACGTACAGACATGGGCCCAACAGGCTTCAAGTATATGAGCTCTATGGACGTACAGACATGGGCCCAATAGGCTTCAAGTATATGAACTCTATGGACGTACAGACATGGGCCCAATAGGCTTCAAGTATATGAGCTCTATGGACGTACAGACATGGGCCCAATAGGCTTCAAGTATATGAGCTCTATGGACGTACAGACATGGGCCCAACAGGCTTCAAGTATATGAGCTCTATGGACGTACAGTCATGTGCCCAATAGGCTTCAAGTATATGAGCTCTATGGACGTACAGACATGGTCCCAAGAGGCTTCAAGTATATGAACTCTATGGACGTACAGTCATTGGCCCAACAGGCTTCAAGTATATGAGTTCTATGGACGTACAGTCATGGGCCCAATAGGCTTCAAGTATATGAGCTCTATGGACTTACAGACATGGGCCCAACAGGCTTCAAGTATATAAACTCTATGGACGTACAGGCATGGGCCCAAGAGGCTTCAAGTGTATGAGCTCTATGGACGTACAGACATGGGCCCGATAGGCTTCAAGTATATGAGCTCTATGGACGTACAGTCATGGGCCCAACATTCTTCAAGTATATGAGTTCTATGGACGTACAGTCATTGGCCCAACAGGCTTCAAGTATATGAGCTCTATGGACGTACAGCCATAGGCTTATTCCAATAGGCTTCAAGTATATGAGCTCTACAGACGTACAGTCATGGGCCCAACAGGCTTCAAGTATATGAGTTCTATGGACTACAGTCATGGGCCCAACAGGTGGCGCATCACTGTGAGTATTGTTCAGGTATAGCAGTGAGTGTGTACGGTTTTACGCCGCTTTTAGCAATATTCCAGCTATATCACGGCGGGGGACACCAGAAATGGGCTTAACACATTGTAGCCATCTGGGGAATCGAAACGGGTCTTCGGCGCGACGAGCGAACGCTTTAACTACCTCACCACCCCAACGTGCGATGAATATCAAACATGACCAAGATCGTGATCGCTGACATCGACAACACTGGTATAGCGACAAACCAAGGACTGTGTTCGGTCCGTAAAAGTAATCCGAGCGCAGCACAATCAAGGGACGCAACCGGCGCCAGCTATATACTCGGCTGAAGTTTCAAGGACTGGGTGACCTCACCTTACAGGCACTACCCTAGCTCCGGCCTGTTCCAGGAACTTGACGTATGTTGCGAGGATGTAGGTGTCGCCATATTGATGGTAGGAACCCGTGCTCTGGTCAACCAGCCCTAGACAGCACACAGAACCAACATATGTAATATCAACACTAAAATTCTACTTCTAATCCCAACATGTAACACGTGTTATATTTATTATATCAGTAGTCATATCGTTGAAATATTCATGAGTTAAACAATAAAAAGATAAGCATATTCAAATGGGTAGGATTACAACGGTAGAAGCCCGAAGTATTAGTCCAAAGGCTTAAATGTTGATCACTAAGTGTTAAACACAGTGTTGGGTTCAGTCCCATCCTAAACGCAAGCACACAAAGTCAGCAGTCTAACCCACTCAGCCAACGCGGCTGGGTGGAACTCAACCCAACAAAAGTTCTAGAATCTGTACTTTACTGAGAAAGTGTCATCCTAAATATAACATGTGTTGACCACTTTCTAAATGCCATTGTGTATTCATAATCATAAACATATTTCTATGCCTTGTGTTTAACACTTAGTCATCAACATTTTAGCCGTTGGAGTAATCCTACCCACTTGAATAAACTTGTCTGTTTATTGTTTAACTCATGAATAATGACCGAATCAGACAATAACGTGGTTGATATTATGAAAACAACGGACCACGCCTCAGGGTTGAGGTGACATGAAGTCAACCAAATCCCCAAGCTCGACCTCTTGCAACCAGCATGTACTATTAAGAACCAGTTTTAATTTGGAATCAATACGAGGTCACTTGGTTTCAAAGGTCAAACAACTGATTGAGGTAAATGTTTGCCAAAAGTGTTCAGTCATTGTACCCACTGACACGTCAAGGTCAAATAACTGATCACTGGGCCACAATTGATTTGTGATTTGGTAATATGGTTACTTACCAATAATTGGTCTATTGTTGAGGGGCAGGCAGGCCACATGAGTCGCCACCAGCAGGATACAAGCAGCTACCTGTACACAACCCATATTGACACAGTGGAAAAAGTGCTGTTATCTGAGTCACGTGACATTACAGATAAGACGTGATATAGCAGCTTAGTGACAGACTGTCTATATGCATGTACATATAAACAGCAATATGTATTATATTACCACACTGTAAAAAAATCTTTTATTCTTTTACGGTAAAAGTCCTGGCAACTGGGTTTCAGTACAAGTACCGTAAAACAATATTCATGGCGTTCAGAACTTGTTATCCATAAAATTTGTCAGTACTACTAAAATGCCACTCAAAGAAATTATTTCACGTTGGAATGAAAGTGCCGGCGGAATATGGGGAACGCAGAAAAACATTACTGACAACGCTACCCCATACGTGTCACTGTAGCCGTCCCTCATTATTCAGCAGTCGCTGGGTCTGAAGCCGATATCTCTAGCATCTGCGTCTGGGATCAGCTCGAATTTCAACGTCCACAGCTACTTCCACTACTGCCCAACGCGTTGCAGGAGGAATATATGGAAGATAATCAGGCAAGAATCCGGAGACGTATTCAATCTGTGACAAGGAGGTGTGGAGCAGTGATTACAACACAAGATGGTCACACCTGGTACTGATCGGAACGTCTCCATCGTGGACGGACGTATCTTGTGACAGGACAATCAGTATTGTCGTTACGACTACAAAACTTGTGACTATCAGCATGCTAAGGTTCACCTTCGAATCAGTTAAATCCGACATGCTAATTTAAAAGAGCACAGTAAATATTTAAGTTAAATATTTAAGTGACCTCACATCCACCCGTATAATCCGGGTTAGGTCTTCAACCAGCCTTGCTTGTCTTACGATGTGACTGTGGTTATTGCGAGAGACTACTATTGAGATTGGGAAGCCAGACTCGCCGACTTGGTTGATGATGTAATCGTATCCAATTGGTAGATCGATGCTCCTCGTGTCAATCACAGGATATTTTGGGCTAGACTCGATTATTTACATCCCGCCATCATGTAGCTTGTATATCAGCGAGTGTGGCATAAGCAACAAACAAACAACACTCAATTATAATTGAATTCAGGTTCGCACATGCTGATCCCGTTAAATGAGCGGGTTACTATATATACACCCACCACAAGCTGCTGTTTGTATAAATCTAAATACTTTCTTCCTCGTCGTGGACGATATGGCGGTGTGCGTGTTGGTGCAGCTATGCGTGTTGGTGACGGCGGTAACAGCACGGCACGTCACCTACAACAACAGACCAGTGATAGGTAAGTCAGTACGTCAGAAAGGGTCTATCACTGAACGGCTGAACCTTCTCCAACATTAACAGTGTGAGAGCGACTCTGCACTCGCTCTGGGAAACGGGGACCTGTTTAACAGAACGAAGTAAGGTCTCTTCGTGAATGGAATAACAGCGGCCCACCTCACACACGATCTGTACATATGTTGTTGTCAGGTGAATGAGTGAGTGAGTGAGGTTTTACAGACCAGTGATAGGTAAGTCAGTATGTAAGTAGGTAAGTCAGTTTCTGTGACGTGTGCCGAGACGATGGGATACAACGACCTTGTTGGGTCACCGTCGGCCGGGACACTATTCAACTTTCAAGGATATGCAATGTGTCTACCAATCAATAACTATAACCTGATTCTATTATGTGAAACAGGACCAGTGTATTCCTATGTACACGACTCTGGACAATGAAACGTTGTTTTCTATATACCTGGATGTCATGAGTTTTCTAAGGACGTGCACGACAATATATATACTTTATTCATAGTAACACGAGGAAAGTGTTCAGGAGACAAAGTGTAAGTGAGATGCGGAGATAAACGAGACCGGAATCAGGATAAAAATCATACACTATGAATGATTCCTTGATTCTCATGTAAACAAGTTATTTCCCCTAACAGGTGTCCTCGCCCAAGCCACAGACAGCAAGACACATGGCGACACCTACATCCCGGCTAACTATGTCAAGTACTTGGAGCAGGCTGGGGCAAGGGTAGTGCCAGTCAGGTGAGATCAGATATCTAATACTTCAGGTAGGCAGGGCCAGGGTAGTGCCAGTCAGGTGAGATCAGTTATATAATACTTTAGGTAGGCGGGTCCAGTGTAGTGCCAGTCAGGTGAGATCAGATATCTAATACTTTAGGTAGGCGGGGTCAGGGTTGTGCCAGTCAGGTGAGATCAGATATCTAATATTTTAGGTAGGCGGGTCCAGGGTAGTGCCAGTCAGGTGAGATCAGATATCTAATACTCTAGATAGGCGGGTCCAGGGTAGTGCCAGTCAGGTGAGATCAGATATCTAATATTTTAGGTAGGCGGGTCCAGGGTAGTGCCAGTCAGGTGAGATCAGATATCTAATACTTTAGGTAGGCAGGGTCAGTGTAGTGCCAGTCAGGTGAGATCAGATATCTAATACTTTAGGTAGGCGGGGCCAGGGTAGTGCCAGTCAGGTGAGATCAGTTATATAATACTTCAGGTAGGGTAGAGCAGTGTAGTGCCAGTCAGGTGAGATGCCAGTCAGGTGAGATCAGTTATCTAATATTTTAGGTAGGCAGGGCCAGGGTAGTGCCAGTCAGGTGAGATCAGTTATCTAATATTTTAGGTAGGCGGGGCCAGTGTAGTGCCAGTCAGGTGAGATCAGATATCTAATACTTTAGGTAGGCGGGGTCAGGGTAGTGCCAGTCAGGTGAGATCAGATATCTAATATTTTAGGTAGGCGGGTCCAAGGTAGTGCCAGTCAGGTGAGATCAGATATCTAATACTTTAGGTAGGCGGGGCCAGTGTAGTGCCAGTCAGGTGAGATCAGATATCTAATACTTTAGGTAGGCGGGGCCAGTGTAGTGCCAGTCAGGTGAGATTGGTTATCTAATATTTTAGGTAGGCGGGTCCAGGGTAGTGTCAATCAGGTGAGATCTATCATGTTATGCTTCAGTAGGCGGGGCCTGGTATCAGAACGAAAGTAGAGTGAGTGAGTGAGTTGAGTTTTACTCCGCACTCGGCAATTTTCCAGCCATATGTTGGCGGTCTGTAAATAATCGAGTCTGGACCAGACAATCCAGTGATCAACAGCATGAGCATCGATCTGCGCAATTGGGAACCGAGGACATGTGTCAACCAAGTCAGCGAGCCTGACCACCCGATCCCGTTAGTCGCCTCTTACGACAAGCATGGGTTACTGAAGGCCAATATTCTAACCCGGACCTTCACGGGTCGAACGAAAGTAGAGACCACTACAATGTGATTATATGACCGTAGTAATGGTTGTGATTTCAATATATTGGATCTATTGGTATCGGAGAAAATGCGAACTTTCATCTTCAACGCTTTGATCCCACATTCCGTCAGGACGGTGTGATTGACTGTATAATCTCATCTATTGCAGAGTGAGGGAGCAAGTCACTTACTACGTCAAGTTGTTCTCACAGATCAATGGGTAAGCATGCGTTTGTTATTGTTTCATGTTCTGTAAAATACCTATGTCTTGTGATGATTTACACAGTTATGTGTCCCACAGAGTGCTGTTCCCCGGTGGTAGTGTCGGCATCGTGAGCAGCGACTACGCCAAAGCGGCCAGAATCCTCTACGACATGGCGGTGAAGGTACGAGCAATATGTAGCTTGCGTTGTATGTTGCCATATCATACACGATGTCCTTGGACGCTGCAGGCAGGTGACACACAGAAAAAACATGTCCAAGTACATAACATTTGACACGCACGCACGCACGCACGCACGCACGCGCGCGCACACACACACACACACACTCAACACAACGTGTCTTTATACAAGGCAGGTGTATATCTCCTCATGGCAAAAAAATGGGTTATTTCATTGTGTCTCCGCCAGGCTAACGACGCCGGGGATCACTTCCCCCTGTGGGGCACCTGTCAGGGCTTCCAACTGCTGACCAACCTGACAGCCAGACATAACCTCCTCCAGCCTACCGACGCTGAGAACATAAGCCTCCCTCTCGACCTTACCCCAGGTGAGACAACCAAGGCTAATTTGATTGCTGATTGCACTGCTATTGCAACGTCTTAACGTCTACGTTAATATCTATTGTCCAACTTCGCATTCGACAGACATTCTTAAACGCCATAGGCTAGTGGTTGACGCGTTTGCCCGTCACGCCGAAATTCCGTTTCGGTTCTCCCACATGGGTACAATGTGTGAAGCCCATTTCTGGTTTCCCCTGTCTTGATTTTGCTGAAATATTGCTTCAAGTGACAAAAAACCATACTCACTCACATAATTGTAAGCGATGTACGGTTCCTTGATTGAAAAAGGGATCGTGTGTTAGACACGTTCAGATCAATGCTGTGATATTAAGATTAACGCGTATACTGTGTAAGACATGCTCTGGTCAATGCTGTGATGTTAAGATTAACGCGTATACCGTGTAAGACATGCTCTGGTCAATGCTGTAATGTTAAGATTAACGCGTGTACTGTGTAAGGCATGCTCTGGTCAATGTTGTAATGTTAAGATTAACGCGTATACTGTGTAAGGCATGCTCTGGTCAATGTTGTAATGTTAAGATTAACGCGTATACCGTGTAAGGCATGCTCTGGTCAATGTTGTAATGTTAAGATTAACGCGTATACCCTGTAAGACATGCTCTGGTCAATGCTGTAATGTTAAGATTAACGCGTATACCGTGTAAGACATGCTCTGGTCAATGTTGTAATGTTAAGATTAACGCGTATACCGTGTAAGACATGCTCTGGTCAATGCTGTAATGTTAAGATTAACGCGTATACCGTGTAAGGCATGCTCTGGTCAATGCTGTAATGTTAAGATTAACGCGTATACCGTGTAAGGCATGCTCTGGTCAATGCTGTAATGTTAAGATTAACGCGTATAATGCTTGTAATGTTAAGATTAACGCGTATACCGTGTAAGGCATGCTCTGGTCAATGTTGTAATGTTAAGATTAACGCGTATACTGTGTAAGGCATGCTCTGGTCAATGTTGTAATGTTAAGATTAACGCGTATACCCTGTAAGACATGCTCTGGTCAATGCTGTAATGTTAAGATTAACGCGAATACCCCGTAAGACATGCTCTGGTCAATGTTGTAATGTTAAGATTAACGCGTATACTGTGTACGGCATGCTCTGGTCAATGCTGTGATGTTAAGATTAACGCGTATACCGTGTAAGACATGCTCTGGTCAATGCTGTAATGTTAAGATTAACGCGAGTTAAGCGTGTACTGTGTAAGGCATGCTCTGGTCAATGTTGTAATGTTAAGATTAACGCGTATACCGTGTAAGGCATGCTCTGGTCAATGCTGTAATGTTAAGATTAACGCGTACTGTGTAAGGCATGCTCTGGTCAATGTTGTAATGTTAAGATTAACGCGTAGATGCTCTGGTCAATGCTGTAATGTTTAAGACATGCGCTGGTCAATGCTGTAATGTTAAGATTAAAGCGTATACTGTGTAAGGCACGCTCTGGTCAATGCTGTGATGTTATGATTAACACGTGTACCGTGTAAGGCATGCTCTGGTCAATGCTGTAATGTTAAGATTAACACGTGTACCGTGTAAGACATGCTCTGGTCCATATTGTGATATTAAGATTAACGTGTTATATGGAAGAGATGCTCTGGTCAATGCTGTAATGTTAAGATTAACACGTGTACTGTGTAAGACATGCTCTGGTCAATGCTGTGATGTTAGGATTAACGCGTATACCGTGTAAGACATGCTCTGGTCACTGCTGTCCCCCAGATGCCAAGTCTAGCAGACTGCTGGGTCGACTGTCACAGAAGACTCTTCACATACTGACCACAGAGAACGTCACCCCAAACTTCCACCACTACGGTCTTTTGCTGGAGGTGAGAATGGAGGCATCTTGACACATGTAACACATTTACATTAATTAATACGGGTTCAAACATTCCTTTCCCAACCAATCCGCGCTTCACCTGGCAATCTGATAGTGTATTTAGGTCGACCAGCCGACCTGTATGGGCTTTTACAGTGCACCTTTTCAGAAATCAGATCAATATCTTTAATATAACAATATATCCTTGATTAGCATAGCGGAATGCACAGACTTAATGAGGATGCCCTACGTACGAACTACTTGTGTTCATTCTGTGATGCCGCAGAAACAGAAACTGCGAATCATGTATTCTTCCGATGTGACAAATATCAGCGGTACAGAGATAGTTACTTCAAACAATTACAAAAAATGTCTACAAAGGCCCACTCACTCTGCCGTCAATTTTGCAATCCACAAAGCCCCAAGTTATATACTGCACAGCACTATTTTTACATTATGTTTTTAAAGTAAGATCCCAATACAAATTATTACCACTGTTAAGCGAAACTACCAAAGTTTGCGACTGTATTATAGGCCATGAGGCTGATATTACGAATAAACTTCTGTCTGCCTGTCTGTCTGTCATAGCAGTATATCAACCACAATGTGTGAAAGACAGCCATCGCCACAGGCAAACTGCATGTAGCGGAAATAGGGCTGCGCAACAAAGAGAAAATGACCTGTCCTCCTATAAGCGAGACTGGTCATTTTTCTCTGTGTTGCGCAGCCCTTTTTGCGCTACAGTTTGCCTGTGTATCAACGTACAATTCAACAGGCGTTCTTCCCTTTTCAGTAATGACACCCCTTTATTTAGCCATGTTTATTTTCTGCATGTATTAAATACGTTCTGTCTTATAAATAACAGCATCTGATGAAATGTCATGTCCATATGTGCTATATGTATTACAGTTGTTCTGCTTTTTAACAGGGCAAGGGCGTTCTGGTAGCCTAGTCGTTATAAAGCATTCGTTCGTCAACCCAAGCCCCGGGTTCGATTCAATACATGGGTACAGTGTATGAAACCCATTTCTGGTGTCCCCTGCCGGGATGTTGCTAAATTAGACCATACTTAGTCACTCACGCACATGAAAACATTCCCCACTTCAGCCGCCCCATGTTCATACACTGTGCATATTTTGTTCCCAGACCTTCAACCAGACCAAGTCGCTCACTTCTTTCTATAGACCCATCTCCACAAACAGAGGGCGGAAGGGGAAGGTGTTTGTGTCCACTATTGAAGGTAACGAGAACCGAAGCCTGTTGTAGACAGGGGAGACAATATGAGATTGGCACACATTTTTGTTGGAAATCAGAAATCGGTGTGGTTGAGGGATTCAAACGTAAGTGAGACGTATTCGAATAAAGAACACAATCCGAGATCTGATAGTATGCATGAATTTTCTTTTCTCAAAGATGCGACAGTTTTGGACTTCTGGAACGTGTTATTTCGGGAAAAGCCAACCCCTTTCTAGGTTACGGAAATGGGCGAGTGATGACGAATGCCTCTGTTAAAACAGTGTCCTGGTTTTAAATTTACATGTGGGCTGGGATATGTATTTGAGACAGAAATTTTTTTCAGTCAGCACGTATATAATACTCAACTTGATATGGAGAATTAGACATGCCACCACATGACACTGTATCAAGGAAAATGAAAACAATCCCTATCAAAAGTGGAGTAGTATATATTCAAATATTTTCCCTGAAAGGGTTTGTCACACTATGTTTCGGTGTCGCAACACGTTTCCGGGGGCGGTGATGTAGCTAAGAGGTTAATGCGTTCGCTTGTCACGCCGAATGCCCGGGTTCGATTCCCCACATGGGTACTTAGAGATTCTCACCCAAGTGTCTACTGATATCAATTATATCAACACGAGTTGATAAAGTTACAAATTTGTACTTTTATCAACGAGTGTTGACATTTGATATCAGAAGACACGAGGGCGAGATTCTATTTATCATCCATTTATCACTCTTTCATTAGTTGTCAATGCAAATTGTAAACCAAAAGTCACTGTGTTCTTTAATCTGATTGGTTGAAAAACGTGATCAAAATTAATGGTATTCGATTCCCGGAAATTCGCTACGTATTGATACATACAAACATCGCTCACACCATTGTATTGTTACGTCGTCAGCTGTGATGACGTCATTAAAATCATATTGTGACGTAAAGTTCGAACGACGTCACAAATGAGCAGGGTGCCGTTCCACTAACCGATCTTATCTAAGATCAATCTTAGCAAGTTACGCCAATTTTACAATCGTCTTAGCTAAAAGTTACACCCGTTCCACTAACCGATTTTAGGCCGATTGTAGCCGGTCCCGATCTTACGATCCGATCCAAGCTTAGATCGAGACTCTTTCGTGCGAGAGATAGAGAAATGCGAGGCACGAGTTATCTCCCTTTGCATAGTCTAGCAAATGATGGAAGTAGTTTACGAACCAACTGAATGAGTGAGTGAGTTTAGATTTACGCCGCACTCAGCAATAGTCCAGCTATATGGCGGCGGTCTGTAAATAATCTAACTAAGATGCATAGCGTTCACTAACATAAGCGTTCATGTTAGTGAACGCTATGTATCTTGGCTATAAATAATCGAGTCTGGACCAGACAATCAAGTGATCAACAGCATGAGCATCGATCTGCGCAGTTGGGAACCGATTACATGTGTCAACCAAGTCAGCGAGCCTGACCACCCGATCCCGTTACTGGCCTCTTACGACAAGCATGGGTTATTGAAGTTCAATATTCTAACCCGGGCCTTCATTGGTATTTTTCCAACCATGTGTAAACGTGGAGAAAAAAGCTAGAGCAAAATATTAGGGTAGTGAGCACCTTGGTTTCAGGTGCAAGTGCGTGTGAACGCTGGGTATCAGGCATAATAAAATAATAATAAATGCATATTTATAGTGCGCCTATTCCACATCCTGGGGCATGCTCAAAGCGCCATGTACAGATATTTTACACGAGAGTATTTACAGCCGAGATTATAAGTAATAAACTGAGAACAGGTTTTAAGTCTGGACTTTAAAAATGTCAATTGTGCCGAAACGGCTAATACCCAACCCTAATATCCAGCAAAATGAGTGACTTCAATTTCGAACCTATACCTTTTCAGTATGAGTCAAAAGTTAAAAAGAAAGCTCTGGCCATTCATCACACTTTTAAAAATCATGTATCACAAAACTAATAGAACTTCAAAATCATTTGTCCCATACAGCATAAAACTTCCAAGTCTTCCTCCAAAATTGTAATAGTGCAATCAATGACGTGGCACAAGTGATTATTATACAATGTATTTTGTACTTTGATTATGATTCATCATTATATTGTGATTAGCTTATCATTGTGTATACAACTATACATATATACACTATACATATTTGTTGTTATATGCTTTGCATTGGCTGTTTGAATGCAAGACAAATTTCCCTTGCGGGACAATAAAGTTTATCTTACCTTATTAGACTTGCAGTGCAGCGAAGTCATAGCATTGTGACGTCATCAGGTTTTTGACGCATTGTGGGTCATGTAAACGATGATGTCAGGGCATTGTACACAATCTACTGTCAAAACTTGATCTCACACAATAGACTACAAGCAACATCTCCTGTGGAACACAGTTTTGGATGATAAAATGTGTTAAGCCCGTTTCTGGTTTCCTCGAAGTGATATTGTTGGAGCCATGACAAAAACGCCGTTATACCACACTCACTCTCTTATTTCATCACATCCAGCATGGCCATTGTTTTGTGTGTATATCCTTACTACATCTCATATGATTATCAACTAGAAACTATCTTTGCTTCAGCCTTCAAGTACCCGTTCTATGGCACTCAGTGGCATCCCGAGGTCATCAATTTTGACTGGAACCCCAAGCAGGCGCTGGACCATACCAGCAATGGCGTCCTTATCTCACACTACTTTTCATCCTTCTTCATCAACGAAGGTATGTCTGCACGTTGTTGTACACTGTAGGTGGCGACACAGCGAGCGAGCGTATTGTTATTATTATTATTAAACTATTGTGTATTCTAAGCTGTTTCCCTAAAAGATCAAAGTCGCCGACAGCACTTCATCAGGTAATAAAGTACCGTATTTTCTCTAATAAGCGATGGGTATGAAAATCCGTTGAAAAGATAAGCGCATAGGCGCTTATTAGAGGAAATACGGTACACGTTTTTGTTTGACGTCACTTGGCCATTCTCGTCTGCCCCTAAGCTGGACCCCGTCTCCCATATCGCAATATACGCTAGTTAGCGCGCGCAAAAGGAGCCGAGAACCAGCCCCCTCGTTATCAAACTTCCCCTTGGTAACCAACGTTACGATGCAAACGTCCTCTTACTTTATTACACTATACATGGGGGTAGAGCTGTATTTCTTAAATAACGAATAGTCTGTCTGTAAAATACTGTATGTATGCAACAGATGTCGCCGCCAGGTTCATACAGCGAGTACGTTGGAGGAGCATGCATGTCCTGATAAAACGATGTATGTACATCAGTTATAAAACGGCGGTCTGTAAATCAAGTATAGACCATACAATCCAGTGATTGACATCATGATCATCCGTCATTTAGTTATTGTTTGTCTGTTGTTTTACACCGCACTTAGCAATATTCCAACTATATGGCTGCGGTCTGTAAATAATCGAGTCTGGACCAGACAATTAAGTGATCAACATAATGAGCATCGATCTACGCAGTTGGGATACGATGACGTGTGTCATCCACGTCAGAGAGTCTGACCAACCAATCCAGTAATTCACCTCTTTCGACAAGCATAATTGTTTGCTGAAGACCTTCACAGGCGATAACTCTTTTTATTACCTACGAGGGCGAACATATCGGGGTTCATATTTTTCATACGATGCCCTGGGGCAAAACATCACTTTGTCATGGTGGCGTGACATCATGAACAATGCTATGACGTCACGTTTCTTCTGTGACGTTGCGTTCTGTATGCGGCGACGGCGGGTAGCCAGCCTGTTTGAAATTAGATTTGGGTTTATTTTGCTCAGTTTGACGACTTCAGTAATAAACAGAATATTATATTCGAACCCATATCATACTATGTTTACGACACTCGTGCCTAAAGAATGGTATATCGAAATACCAACATTTAGGCACTCGTGTCGTAAACATAGTATCATCTATGACATGGGCACGAATATAATATCCTCTATATATTATTCACCGAGAGATGTAGCATACAATCAAGGGAGATAACTATCAGTCTGATCTTGGTAGACATGACCTGGCTCATGATACTGTCATTACAACTACTTCACAGGGTCTGCATGTCTTTGTGGGTCAGGGTGGTCGTCTTGAATTGCAATGTATGTGTCAGAGTACGTGTATTGGTCGTTGCGTATGTTTTCATTCGCTGTTTTGTTGAATGCATGCGCATTTGCTGACACACGCTCGTTTGCTGATACCAGAGATACAAAACATCCACACGTTCACTGTAGCCAATGTTTGTTTCAGCTCGTCTAAGTGGCCACAAGTTCCCCAACGTTCAGGCCGCTGCAGACGCCGTCATCGAGAACTTCCATGTGAACTATCAAAATGACGGCACATTCATGGAGACATACTATTTGAACTACACCAAATCTTACCCATAACACATATGATGATATGTACGACAGTGTTTTACTGCTTCAAATCAGCTTCTCACACTTCCCACCATAGGAGCGAGTGAGTGAGTTTAGTTTTACGCCGCTTTTAGAAATATTCCAGCTAAATCACGGCCGGGGACACCAGAAATGGGCTTCACATTTTGAACAAATGTGGGGAATTGAACCCGGGTCCTCGGCGTGACAAGCGAACGCTTTAACCATTACGCTACCCCACCGCCCCTCTCACCATAGGAAAGATGGCAGTGTTAGTCCGCCATCACTTAATTTAAGTTCTGGATTCACGTCACCCTGAGATTATTAATATGATCATTTTCATGCAAAGCCATTTGCCATAAAAGGATAAATCTAATCACGTGTTTGATGGGCACTGTTGTAATGTAATAGAGTTTGAATGTGAGTAAATAAATGAATGATAGTGTCACTGCCTACACTCTACACTTTATAGGAAACTGTATTGTCTTCTTTGCTTCTGATCTGATTGACCTTCAGATGACAAGAAATGCATGCTCCAAGTTGATTGCTTTATGAAAGTAATAGAATGTGGAGTTGTGACAAAATTGTTTTCAGGTGTAGGAGCGAGGTGTAGGAGCGATGTACGCATGCATGTAGTTGCTGCTTGTGACAGTCTGGACTTGTTTTGGTTTTAGAGTGCCAGCCTCTTGAGATACCTTATTGCAATTAAACATGAATACCTCACTCATGACACAGCATAAAGACTTGACTGACTGACTGACTTTCAGCAATATTCCAGCAATATCACGGCGGGGGACACCAGAAATGGGCTTCACTCATTGTACCCATGTGGGGATTCAAACCCGGGTCTTCGGCGTGACGAGCCAATGCTTCAACAACTAGACTACCCCACCGCCCCCATAAAGACTTGAAGTCAAACAAGTCCTTGTTGTATATCCTTTTCCTGAGAGCAGACAGGCAGTGTAACAAGTACCCTTGAAAAATATTTCAACATATTTTGGCATGACACCGTCAAGGGAGAACTACCTGCTCAGGATAGCACCTGCCCCTACCCTTTCACTCACTGGCTGATAAGGTTTGATCACACACGATCACAATGTATTCTGTAATTACAAATCACGTTTTGAAACAATTCTGGATATACTCTCTTTGATCTTCCTATGGAATAAGTCAGCCACTGACAACAGGTACCCACCAAAAATACAGAAACTAATGTATAAATTTGGGATTTCTGATACTGGCAGATTTTAGAGCAGCTTCATCATTTCCTAGATCTGTTTACATCGAAAACAAATGTAAACCAAATACAACAGTTTTTATTTGAGTTCTCTCATTCAAGTACCAACAAGATTGACACACACCACATTATCTCCCCTTATGAACAACTGATTCACATGTCGCCACTGAACATCGTCTGGTCTCAGTCCAAGCCATGCTGCTTCACATGGCAGAGGTTTTTCACTATGCGACACCTTACTGGAGGCTTGGTGTGAACGAGTTGTTGAGGTAGAGTGATGGGACGTTTGTGTGAAGGAAAGTCTCTCCGGTTTTGAATGTCTGCGTTGATCATCACTGCAACGTGTTGCTCTTGCATCAGCTTCTTCCATCTCTACATCTGCAGATTCTTCCTCAGCCAGAGGATCTTTTTTTACATCTTTACTCTGTCAGAAACAAGGATATGTAATATTAGGCTACAAACATGTGCAACCCAGTTTGCTGATTACTTTCCCAATGAAAGTAGTCTGTACTGAATCATCACATTGAAAGAATAAGGAAGATGAAATCAATAAGCTAAATCTGTCTTTGTTAATGCATCTTTCCTATGCAAGGGAATTAACTGACAATAAAATAATATTAATCACATATCTGTGAGAAACTTCTTAAGCTCAATATTCCATGTCAGTCATAATGGGTGCTGTTTCCTATATCTTAAGTGATGAAATTATAAATAATTTAATATAAGACCAGTTCCATTGCAACAAAGTTTTTGAGTAATGCTGAAATTGTCTTGACTGGACAGCACCATTTCAAGTGATTTGAAAGGTAGAATCTGATTCGTCATTTGGAAGGACATATTAGGGATATTACTCAATAATCACTGTTAGCACCACAATCAAGCCATGAAAATTTGTAGCTAGCAAGATTTGAAACTTGAATTGTATTGTTAGAAAGAAGTATGACAAACATGGAGGAAAACATGTCACACTAATTGAAATCTTAAAGACCCCATTCTGAAATCTACAATGTATTGACCCTCCTGTCTGTATCACTCTGTGTTGTCCTTAATCAAGGTATGGAAACTTTCAATACAATGACAACCACATTTCAAACTTTAAACAAACTATCTTACTTTTTTCATTTTCTTCCTGCAAACACTTGGAATTCTGTAGACTTCATCAACATCAATCATTGCCTGCACACAATAAGAAATACATGATAAGATATACCTTGATTGTACTCTATTCATCTTCGACATATGGATCAGACTGACAACAGAGACCCAGAGGCCTGAAGTAACAGTAAATCCAGACTCAAGATGAGGGGCCAAAAGTCATTTCCCACTTTAAAGATAAATCAAAACAGGTACACAAGTCATGACTATAATTTACAGACAGCCTCATTCATATTATTATTATAGGATATTTATATAGCGCACATATCCACACAACTAGTACATGCTCAAGGTGCTGTTTTTTCCCCTCAATTATTGGATGTCAATCTCAACGGCACATATCAATCTCAACTCCCTTGGGATCATACAACTCTTGCAGCCACTAGATGCACAAAATTGTTACCGCTTCCCATCCTTACGAGGTACCCATTCACAGCTGTGTGTTTACTGCATATTGCTGTACCCGCAACTAGGTGTTTGCATGTATTCATGTGGCGACCATCTGGTAATTTACCAACGGATTCATGGGTTCTTTTAAGTGCACAGGGTTGTGTACTGTACACTAGGGGTTGTGACAACACTGAAAGAGTCTGCACACAAAGTTTACACCCGGTCACAGGTGGCCTCGATCCCGGCACCTCAAGCTTGCTGGATCACTAACCTGGTGCCTTAGGCAGCTCGCATACCATTAATCACATGTTAATTGCTGTTGTCATTGTTTGTGCCTGATTTTATGCAGATAACACCTGTCTTTCTCATGAGTCTGACAGAGACTGGTCATTTATGACTCACATTGTTTTCTTAGGTCTGTGGAGCATGTTGAAATGTTTGCAGACTATTTACACCCTCTTTTCAACAGTTCCCAGTTAAGACGAAAGAATGATGTTTACTGGTTAGGAATAATAATGAAAGTGACAGATTCAGTAACAGAGAGAAGAATTCAAAGGTAATTCACTGATCATTTCAAGAGTTATATCCCTTCAGAACTCCAAATACGTATGGGTTCAAATCCCACTTCACCAAGATTATGTTTCTACGTGTGTCAGTACCAAGGTTTTAATTGTTACATGTTACAATGTTGACCTGCATCACTTCATACATCCCTTCCACACACCATGCTATTACTGGGATACTGTTCATATCAGCATCAAACCCAACTTACTCACTTGCCATATGGCATGACAATGGTCACTAGACTAACAGAGCTGACAGAAAGTTCCCCCTTACCAAATTAAAGTGTTTGTCGAAGGCTATAACATATCCTCTGAGAATCCCTCGAACACTACATGCGCTGCGAGTCCATATGTATGTCTGCAGCTTCTCCTGAACACAGCGCCGCAAGATACTCAGTGGCCCACTGATGAAGCCTGAAACATGTACACACATCTCAGTGGTAGACTGCTCATGCATCATTACAACTCAATGCCATTGCTTAAGAGAGGTCTTTTGTTTCATTCAGGGATGGCCATTCAGAAAATACTACATTTAAGTTTCTGAAAAATATGAACATAGGTGAAACTTTGAATACACAATGCCATTTAGAAAGTACTCAAATGTAACGTATGTTACATGTGGGATTACACTTTCTCAGTTAACTACAGATTCTAGTACTTTTGTTGGGCTCCATAAGGTGGTGGCTGACTTAGTGTGCTGACGATTAGGTGCCTGACTCTGCGGGTGTGGGTTCGAATCCTGGATGGGACACAACCCAACAAAAGTACTAGAATCAGTACTTAACTGAGAAAGTGTAATCCCAAATATAACATGTTACATATGTGAAAATTACTGTTAAAAATCATCAAATTTTGCATAAGTTTTTTCACATTTCGGTCAAAATATGACTATTGTTATTTCATGTTTTCATTCATGTCATTCATTAACATGACCAAGTATCAATGACTGTACCAAATTTTGTTTCAATATTTTCATAAATAAAACTTTTAGACATGTTTTTGTGTGACATGCAGAATTTCCCTGTCCATTGTCAGGCACTCACGCAAATGAGTGACCCCCTCTCAGGTAGTCACTTGTACGTGTAACCCTCTTGCGTACACATTACATCCTCTACTGATGAGGGACAATACAAATGGCGCCAGCTAGATGACAGTGAATTTGAAGGAAAACCAAGTTTATGGATAGTCAACTTCTTTATTGCTATGAGTGCGACGTTTTGGTGTAGGTACTAACACTGTTATCAAGCAAGTGATCATGGTGTAAACGTCGCACTCATAGCAATAAAGAAGTTGACTATCCATAAACTTGGTTTTCCTTCATCTATACAACTTCTAAAATGCCTCTCAAAGAAGACAGTGAGTTTGACAGTTGTTTCCCTTTAAAGTCTTTAATGTATAGGGGATGACATTTTATTAAAATCAAAATTTTTCGGTCACTTGTCTTCAGAGAAGGGGGTCTTTCTTACAAAATGTAAAACAATAATAATTAAAAAAAGGGTTCTTGATTATTTTCTTGAAAACCAAAGAGCTGCGCTGTCTACCACTTTTCAAATGTTTGGAGAAGCTTACTTTGATCCATTCGTGTCAACACATTCCTCAGCATCCTACGTCTAGCACTATGCATACTGGCGTCGGGCATCTGTAGAACCTGTCTGGGGCCCTGTCTGCCTGGAGCAGACGGTTTCTGTGGGGGAGCTTTAGGTCCACTTGCTGTCTGGCTCGGTGGATTTAGGGACATTGACACTTGATTATCTTGGCGAGCTCGCCCTTTTCCTTGTACTTTGCTTTCGTATTCTGCAACATTGTTAAAAACTCGAACGTCTGGGAACTGAACAGGGTCATTAGTCGAATACAGAGCTCGTAAGGGATCAAAATTCGATGAGAATAGATTCAGTTCGTCGTCACTGACATCATCCGACACGTTATCCGTGGGGGCCGCCATTTTGAATCAGCTCTGCTGTAAGGTTGCGTATTCAATACTTATCACTTTATCGATTTTCGATTCTACTACTGACATGAAATTTTAAATAGTAGTTATTATTATTGTAAACTAGAAATGCACAAATATTTATCTGAAGTATAACTGATTGGCTACTTACATACGAAACTACCAATTCAAACAAAGCTATTATTCGTTGCCGAGCAACGTCTATACGAGATCGTTCTTTGACTGTTCAAAGATGCCGCCGAAGAAGAAGGGTAAAAAGGGTAAAAAAGGAAAGAAAGGTGGAAAGGGAAAAGATGATGCATCCAATGAACACGAGAGACCAAAAACGCCAGAACCAACTGAGAAAGAAATATTATTGCAGCAAGAGTAAGTTTTAATATCTAAAGCCTTAAAATGTCTACACGATTCTGTACTAACCATGTAAGGTAGAGAGTGTATTTATAAGGCTACCCTAAATGTAGACATTATGCAGGTCCTCTCGTTTATAATGAATTCATAGACTTACGTATGTATGAATTTTCAGCGACTGTAATTTTCCTTGAAGCAGTAGATTTGCTTGAATTTTTTTCTTTCATTTCCAACTTTTAAAACATCTTTGATGACAATTTTAATGACAGTCAGTTAGTTTCATAGAAAATGAACAGGAGATGTGAACCCCTGCTGTAGAGTCATTATTACGGTGAGGTTGGCATGACTGGCTGATTATCAATATGACATGTAATTGTGTTTGTTAATAAACATTGAGGCTGTCAACATTATGCATCATGATCTAGAAAAATAGTTTTTTTAATGTTTATTTCTAGGTTAGAGAAGGTCACAGAAGAACTTGATAATGCCAAGAAAAAGGTTGAAGATTTGTATCCTTGAAAATGGAGCAGCCATTATTGTGGTGCAGCCTGTTTCTCACCATCCCTAATCCTACTCATGCAGTATAGGCCTACATGTAATTGTCAGTCGGTAACAAATGAGATGTGGAACACATTTTCCCATGTTTCCACACTAATTACCCAGTGAATTTGAATGAGAGAAAAGCATGAGGATGTTTTCTTGATATCAAATTTTGTTTATCATGATAAAAGGCAATTGGGATATTTTGCATGTCAGTCAGTGAGTGTCATAGAAAATAAGCTGCTGTGGATTACCATGAAAGTTTCTTTGTAATTTTCACAATTGTTATGATCTGCAACAAAATGAATATCTTCTAATCCCAGATTTGATTAGATTATGATTCTTGCTCACTCAGCTTATTATCCATGCTCATGGGTCCCACCAAAGAGGTAGTGCATCATGTTGGACTTTCTTCTTCCTGTTAAAGAGAAATAATGTTCAAAATGACATAAAACCCATATGACTTGTTTCGAATAACCTACAAATTACAGAAGCTGTTATTTTCATTAGGAAAAAAATTATCGGTTGTGGCAATGCTATCTGTGCCCAAATTTACCTTATCTTGTCCGATTTGCTAAACCTGATCTGTAGCTGATACTGCTTAATGTATTACATATTCATAAGATGACAATATCTGGAAACTCCAATCAATATGACATGGGATCGCTTACTTTGCTATAGGTAGAGTATTACAAACTAAGTATATCCTGCAAACAAGATAAGATTCTTGAGTATAACTGTTCAAGCCTTGCATTGTGAGCATCAAGTCTTGAAGTGTTAATGAGATATTTTATAATTACTTAACTCACACGCTCAGACGACAAGAGAATGACTGGTTGCAACAGGAGGCTCACAAAGTGCGAGTGGAGAGTGTAAGTACTGACACAGACTGTTATATATGTGTAGTCTTGTAGTTTCTATATGGACCATTCCAGTATTCTAGTTGTGACTCACTCACGGCCAAGCTTATATTTGGGATGTGCATTTATCTTCCATTTTGCTTTCTTCGTTTTCTTGCCATTCAAGAACGTCGGTATCTGGAACGAATTGAAGCTTCAGCAATATATATTAAACCTATTTATAGATTTTGATGGTCTGTATTATTTTATATTATTTATGTGTGTTACATATTCCAGCATGAGTACATGAGTTACATGGAGAAGAAGACCAGCAAGCGTCAGACTGCAATCATCACACTGAGCGACCACAACAAGCAGGAGATACGCAACATTCAGATGCAGAAACAGCTCATGGAGGAGGAGTTCGAAGAGAAAAAGAAAGGTGAGCAGTTAGTTGCTAATTGTAGATGCGATACTGCTATAAATTCATGTTGATCGTTTAGACTTTGTATCCTCTGGATTGTAGGAATCTTAGTGTGTAGATGACAAATCAAGGAAAACCAAGTTCTATGGATAGTCAATTTCTTTATTGCAATGAGTGTGACATTCTGGTGTAGGTACTAACACAGTTATCAAGCAAGTGCACCAAGTTCTATGGGTCGTCAACTTCTTTATTGCAATAAGTGCGAAATTTCGGTGTAGGTACTAACACCGTTATCAAGCAAGTGACTATCCATTGAACTTGGTTTTCCTTCATCTATACAACTTCTAAAATGCCTCTCAAAGAAGATGACAGTTCAGACATCAATTACATTGCCATTGAAGTCGAGTCTTCAAGGCTCCTGAGTATGTCTTCGTAAACAAATCATAGTAAAATATCCATGTGACATGGTTGTCCTTTCATTTGGATGTTTTTTCTACAATAGATGTTTTTATCACTCAGGGATGGATTTTGGGTCGCATGTCTTTGTCATGTAGCTCCCTAAGCAAACGCAGCAAGCACCCATGTATTCCATGTATTTCTGTGATTGGGCAGATTATTTGTTTGTGTTTCTAAATGGAATATATTTTTGATAAATATGAATATAATATCAACTCTGTGTCTGCTGTTATTGATATCCACTGAGAGATTCAGATGTTGATATCTACAGTGTCTCCTGTGTTGATATCCACTGCATCCTCTGTTGATATGTTGTGTGTCTTCAGTGTTGTTCATATGAACTGTGAGTCTTCTGATGTTGATATCACTTTGAGTCCCCTGTTGTTGATATCAACTGTCTCCTGTTGTTGATATCCATTGCCTCCTGTTGTTGATATCCACTGTCTCCTGTTGTTGATATCCACTGCCTCCTGTTGTTGATATCCACTGTCTCCTGTTGTTGATATCCACTGTGTCTCCTGTTGTTGATATCCACTGCCTCCTGTTGTTGATATCCACTGTCTCCCTGTTGTTGATATCCACTGTCTCCTGTTGTTGATATCCACTGCCTCCTGTTGATATCCACTGTCTCCTGTTGTTGATATCCACAGTCTCCTGTTGTTGATATCCACTGTGTCTTCAGTTGTTGATATCCACTGTCTCCTGTTGTTGATATCCACTGCTTCCTGTTGTTGATATCCACTGTCTCCTGTTGATATCCACTGTGTCTCCTGTTGTTGATATCCACTGCCTCCTGTTGTTGATATCCACTATGTCTCCTGTTGTTGATATCCACTATGTCTCCTGTTGTTGATATCCACTGTCTCCTGTTGTTGATATCCATTGCCTCCTGTTGTTGATATCCACTGTCTCCTGTTGTTGATATCCACTGTGTCTCCTGTTGTTGATATCCACTGTCTCCTGTTGTTGATATCCACTGTCTCCTGTTGTTGATATCCACTGCCTCCTATTGTTGATATCCTGTGTCTTCAGTTGTTGATATCCACAGTCTCCTGTTGTTGATATCCACTGTGTCTTCAGTTGTTGATATCCACTGTCTCCTGTTGTTGATATCCACTGCTTCCTGTTGTTGATATCCACTGTCTCCTGTTGATATCCACTGTGTCTCCTGTTGTTGATATCCACAGTCTCCTGTTGTTGATATCTGCTGTGTCTCCTATTGTTGATATCCACTGTCTCCTGTTGTTGATATCCACTGCCTCCTGTTGTTGATATCCACTGTCTCCTGTTGTTGATATCCACTGTGTCTCCTGTTGTTGATATCCACTGTCCCCTGTTGTTGATATCCACTGTGTCTCCTGTTGTTGATATCCACTGCCTCCTGTTGTTGATATCCACTGTCTCCTGTTGTTGATATCCACTGTCTCCTGTTGTTGATATCCACTGTGTCCTGTTGTTGATATCCACTGTTTCCTGTTGTTGATATCTGCTGTGTCTCATGTTGTTGATATCCACTGCCTCCTGTTGCTTTCCACTGTCTCCTGTTTCCTGTTGTTGATATCCACTGTCCCCTGTTGTTGATATCAACTATTTCTCCTGTTGTTGATATTGTTGTGTCTCCTGTTGTTGATATCCACTGTATGTTCTATTGCCCAGCCCTGGAGACTGTGCGTCTGGAGAAGCAGCATATGCTAATGAAGACAAAGCAGGAGCTGAGTGACCTTCAGGAGTACAAGGTCAGCATATATACACAAACTCTGTGACTGAAATGTTATAGTGGATGGCCTGGTGTGCCACTTTGACTGTTCATTGAAATATCCTTTGGCTTCTGTGTGCATGTGCATCTTGTGCTGTTCATAATGTAAAGTTTTATTGTGACTAGATGTTGACACATGAAACATTGTTTCTGTCAATGTACACTTCAGAGATAACTAAATTCAAAACAACATTTCCCTTACTTTAAAGGTAGTAAAAGTGTTCTTTTAAGACAGGTTGTTGTTGTTAATAATATAGAGTTCTTATACTCTGCACAGAAACTATTGAAATTTCAGTTTAAGTGACCATGTTGTTTCTGTTGGTGTACACAGGACCTCCAGACAGAGCAGCTTACCAAGATCCGCAACCTGGAGAAGGAAGTGATGCAGATGCGTGCCAAGCATTCCGAGACAATCCAGCAACTTAAGTCAAATTTCCTCACAGAGAAACGGGACTTCCAACTGGACTCTGAAACTCGGATATCAACCCTTGAGAAAAAAGCTAACAAGGTCAGACCATTGTTACAATACACTGATGTGATGTGTAGGTTAGAATGTTTGGGCTGGGGAGTGACCATAGGGCATTATATATTATAAATTACACTCATGTTAATATAGGATAGAATGTTCTTAACTATTTCAGGTATGAATCAAAATGTGCTAACAATATACTTAAAAACTTCATGTAAACCCCTAATAAAATGTAAGGAAATGCAATTTAATCTAGTGGTATGAACTGTATTGCAACTTTCTGAATGCTGGCAGTACTTGTTAATAAATGGGACAATGGTACTTGGTAGCTGTTCTGATATTGTATCACTTTTTATTTCTTGTCTCTGAAAGCATGTCTGAGTCAACGATCCTAGAGTGTGGTGTACCCCAGGGCTCAGTCCTTGGGCCGCTTCTCTTTGTGTTATACACAAACCCTTTGGAGAAGGTCATTGATAACTTTGATGTGAATCACCACGCATTTGCAGACGACCTCCAATTGATGGATTCCTTCAAACCAGAGGATGTACAAATAGCCAGATCAAGAGTGAGTCAGTGCACGAAGGCAATTAGTTCATGGATGATGACAAATGAGCTGAAGCTCAATGATGATAAGACTGAGGCTATGTTGATTGGCACATCGCAACGTCTGAAAAGGATAAACTCTACGGACATCACAGTAGCCAACTCAGATATCCCACTTTCATCCAGTGTAAAAAACCTAGGTGTTTATCTTGATCCTTGTCTCACCATGGAGCAACATGTGAACCATCTCTGTAGAGTAGGCTACTTCCATCTCCACTCTATTGGTAACATCCGCCATCTTGTAACCACAGATGCTGCTAAAGTTCTCACTCAGTCACTTGTTCTCTCCAGGATTGACTATTGCAATAGCCTACTGTTTGGAATCTCCAATGATCTTCTCTTCAGACTTCAAAAACTTCAAAATGCTGCCGCCAGAGTTGTCACTAAAACATCCAAATGGACTCACATAACCCCAATCCTCCAGAGTCTGCATTGGCTGCCGGTTGAAGCCAGAATTCATTTCAAGATCTGCACTCCTGTTTTCCGCTGCAAACACGGCCTAGCTCCTCCAAACCTCTCTGAGATGTTGTCAACATATATGCCTGCCCGTTCTCTCCGCTCACAGAATCAACATCTTCTCTCAGTTCCCCAAGTTCGTCTCAAACACTTTGGCCATAGGTCAGTCAAATTTGGAACAGTCTTCCTACTCCCATAAAAAATGCTTCATCCTTAGAAGCATTCAAATCGGGACTCAAAACCTTCCTCTTCTAAAAAGTCTACAACCTATAACTGCGAAATATTCTCATGGTCATTTTGACGAATTGTCATATCTTCCTCTTGAACTCTAGTGACTCTTTTTATATGTAGCGCTTTGAGCATGCTCTGGATGGACTATGGCGCATAAGAAATATCCATTTATTATTATTATTATTATTTAACTGCATTTAGGATCTGTAAAATCTTCAGAATATTTATGATCCCTTTTTGAGATTAAAAATGCTCTGCATGAGGTCCCCCAATGCAAAGATAGACTAAGCTGTGTGAGTGAGTAATTTGTGTTTCATGCTTCATTGAACAGTAACGTTAACCCAACTAACTCACTCACTCAGCTTGAATGGAAAAAGATTACAGAACCTGTCAATGGATTTACTGTGGGTTATTCATCTGTGAGTTGGGAGTCCATCCTACTTGAGGCCTGTGGACTGGTTTCCTTGGTTAAAAGACATGACTTGGTGATTGAGTTAAGACAATGGATGGTCTGACTCTTTTGATCTTGTGACTGTATTTCTTATCAGTGTAGAAATGTCAGTTTTAATTTGCATGCAGTTTTAATCACTCAAACAGGAATAGTTGTTTTGTCCATACTTGCAGTGCATATTATTTGTGTCAACTTTTCAGTATTTATGTAATGCCACTGAGTCAGTTGAAGCTTGCTGTTGTCCTACTCCGGCTAATTACTTCTTGTTCATTTCCCTAGGAGGCTACCCAATGTCTGACAGAACACACAAACCAGATCAAGACGGAGAACAGGCAGTTGAGGCGAAAACTGCTGGGATTGATACAGACAACCCGGGCGCTGCACCAACACAAGGCCGAACTGGACGAACAACGCAAACAGCTGGTGCGAGAACAGCAGTATGCAGAAGATCTGAAAAAGCTCCGCAATTCTCGCCAGCACAAGGTGTACAAATCCTTTGGTTTGTTGGATGAAGAAGGGGAAGCAGAGGGTGTCAGTGTTGAGACATGATAGGCTTCTCGTCTGTGTGTTCTGTAAGATGGAAGAGGAAGAAAGACTCAACCCAACTAAGTGGAGGTGCAAGTGTACTGTTCACTGAAACAGTATAACTTAGTGGTGTTTGTGTGTGTGACACTACTTGTGTCAAATATGCCAAAAAATGGGGATATCTGGACATAATGGAGTTAATATCCATGTTTAGGTATATTTAAACTGCCACATTGCCAGAAGATACTGCTTTAACTATCCTTTGATCCATGTCATCATGTTCACTTAATTCAATGTAAATATGTTTGACAAATCATAACTTATATCAATAAATCTGTTTGTTGAAAAGTTTAAAGCAATTAAACAGCACAGTAGAGGGTCTTCCAACACTTGATGGTAGTGGGTCTTTGCATGATGTTTCACAAGGAATACTGTGTACATATGCCAAAATATGGACATAATGCAATCTCTGATGATGAATAAACTGTGTACTGTGAAGACACCCGTGTTCTTTTCAAAAGACTTGAAATATATCATCTATGTGCACAGTCAAGCTTAAAGGATATTCTACAAAGAAGAGAAGACATGATTTATGTAACATTTATTATAGATCACAGAATTTCTCAACAAAGTAGGAGTACATAATCAAAAAAAGAATAAATACTATTCATCAGTTAGAAATAAATTAATACATATGGACGGTTTCTCTGGAGACTTATTTCTTGCTACAGTAGTCCTACTGACTGGCTTCAACTGACAGATACACTGACTGACACCATTATGTGCAAAGACATTTAACAGTTTCCTCTATCATCAACATCAACTACTTTCATGCCCTGAACAGCCTCAAGCTGGATATTGATATAAAAAGTTCATTGCTGCCCTCAAAGGTGGGCTAAAAGCAAAAAGGTCCATATCAATCGAGCAGGGGGCATCAACTGACGTATACCATACAGGTCATGTGGTTTATGAGTCACTGTGAAATGATGCCCTATCCTCTCTCATCACATTGTTTGTGCTGGGTTGTTACAACTGGTAAAAGTAAATTTAAAAAGGTAGAATAAATATAAGGAGTACAGAATCAACAATGTAAAAATAATGACACCATGTAAGTGTCAATAAATCTGATATACAATCTAAGCAACTACTGAAATAAAGGGCCTGAACTACAGACTGGTGGAATGTGAGATGCGAATATGTTGTACAGAGCTGTAACATTACACATCATGATATGCATCAACAATGTGATGTTATTCAAGGTATGACACATGAATAGTTAATATAATGAAGCTGCATGCGATTATCATAGGGTGACTAGTGTCTCTAGCAAAACATACTGAGTTTCAGATGTACTTTATCAAAATAACAATGGGTTTGGAACTGTTTACTACCACAAAAATACATTCCATTATTCATGTAAACCATTTTCAAGTCAAGACTCCTTACCATATGATAGATTAAACAACAAACACATTTTATTTATTTACTGCCCATACACAACCTCATAAAATACTGTGCACAGTGGCATGTCATTGTCCAGTTTGTATGTTTCATCACATTCTAGATTTAATCCTACATAACTAATTATAATAAAGTGCATGCTAGTTTCGTTATCTTCAGTAATACCAAACACAATTCAGAGTTGCTCTTGTAAATTGTAGAAAACAAAAAAAAGCATAAAAAATTTATAATATCAATATGGTGACAAGCTCATCATTTGTCCATGGTTCTGCCTCAATCATCTTTATTGGATTTATATGATAACTGTGAGAACACTATTGCATCTCTTTACATCACATCTGTTCAATCCATAACTCGTCTGCTGATCAATGCACATCATTACATGTGGTACATAAATACTGTACATTTAACCTACAACCCAGATAGCAATCAGACGTTGGGCCAACGTTGGCAATGGTTTTGCCAACATTGCCAACGTCTGAATGCTATCTGGGAAAAGTACTAGCCTTGTTTACATGGTCTGATTGCTTACATGTGTATAACTTAAATATATGCAATTTTACATATGTGTGTATAAGTTAAAATGAGTATAATCTAATGAGCTTTTACTACCAGTCCCCAATAGTATGGAAAATCAACGCTTTTAGATTGGAAAGACTAAATGTTTGGAGGGGATGATATTTTGGAGATTAACATTAGTCTGTGTTGGCCTCTTACGCTGACTAATTCTTGAGAATAGTGGACCAAAGGAGCCGATTGGTGAGATAGAGTACTTTCGGGAACCTTCACTAATGCTTAATAGAAAGAGACCTGCAGTACAGACAACCCTATAACTGTGAGTTATGTTCAGAGTCCGAAGATAATCTAAAGCTGCAGGAGACTGCTATCCAAGAACTCGGATTCAGTAAGCAACTTCCACCTGGTGTAAAATTGCATTTATATAGAGGATACTAAACGACCTTCCGTGTAATACCATTTTTATTTAACGAGTTAATGATTTGGTATCAAACGAGCGAAAGCGAGTTTAATACTAAATCTTTCACGAGTTTAATAAAAATGGTTTACAGTTATGACGTCACAATGCTATTAGACCTTGCTTGACTCGTGGAAGGCTTAGAGTCATCACACTGTAGGCAGTTTCACCGAAGTTTCTTTCAATTTATGTTGGAGAGTAATAAACAGAATACTAAACTCGCTTCCGTGAAATACCATTATGACGTCATACATCTAGCAGTATTACACTAGTGTAATATTGCCATAAACATATTACACTGCAGTATCCTACACGGGCGAGTAATAAGTAGAAATACTTCTTGAAATAGTCGCAAATGTGCACCGAACACCAAAATACTCTGGTGTATATTGGCATTTGCAGGATGAACATACAGATGCATTATTTTGCATAAGTATATATAATACTCATGTAAACAAAGATCACAACACAAAACAAAAGAAGCTGTAATACATTGGAACAAAATTAAAGCAGCGTAACATGTAGTACCTCAAACAGACATCTCTGGTAAAAGTCGAAATACGAAACAGAGATGCCATGCTTCATGAATCCTACATTCCTTCCACATGGGAAACTTATGTAACAGCTGCGAGAACATTGTGCATAGTGATGATTTTATTGAACCATGGGAGGTTGCCATGATCCACACATCATTACTAAACTGTTTCAGGTAACAGCACCATCCCACTGTTTCACTTGAGACTCCAATGTTCTTAAACACAGCTGGAAACAGCTGTTGGGGAAACACATATTTAACATCAAATGTATCCAAATACTACCATTGCTATTATAGTTTATTGTACAAATTTGAGAATCATTACAACCATCACAAGTCTTAAACAAGCCATCTGTTTTAAACATAAATGAAAATCAAATGGGGAAAAAAGGACTCAACTAAATGTCACATTATTCTTGGTCCATGCTACCTGAAACATTAATTTATTTAGCCTTTAAGCTTTAGCACAGAACCCGCTGTAGTTTAATAGTGACATTATTCATACCAAAGCATGGTACAGACTCCATCCTCTAGAAAAATTGAAGTGTAGTTCCTACATATAAATTATATAATACTTTATCCATATACACAGTGGTGGTGTTCTGTACAGATATTTACAATATAAAGTGCTTCATCAAAGATACTGATATTGGCCAACGACAGGCTCTTAAAAGGCTATATGCTGATTAACTAAAGTACTACATGCCAGACAACAGCTACTGAGCAAAATAGGCCCATATGGTAAGTCGTCCTAGGACAACCTAGCATTGTGACGTATCACAGGGTTGATGTATGAGTTGAGAGCTACAGGCACTGTGTGATATGGGAGGGTCACCCCCCCTAAAGACATGTTCCCCTCAGGTCATGATGTCATCATCGTCGTCCATACTTGCTTGACGTGAGCTGGGATATGTGGCGTACGTTTTCTGCAATTGTAAGAAACATTGTTATCTTATGTAACACTGCATGTATTGCTTAACACCAGAACTGGTCTGGGTACTGGTGGAAGGAATGAGGACTTTAAAGGTTTGTTTGTTTGTTTGTTTAACGTCGCATCTGCAATATTCCAGTTATATGGCAGTGGTCTGTAAATAATCAAGTCTGGACCAGACAATCCACTGACTGAATAACAGCAGGAGCATTGATCCATGTGACTGGGATATGATGACATGTATGAACAAAGTCAACCAGTCTGATCTTATGACAAGAATGGGTTGCTGAAGACCAATACTAACCCAGATCTCTACAAGTAGGACTTTAAAGGGAGGCATGTAAAATTCTGTTTGTAGTCTAAAGATAGCCAGTGATTGTTTAGCACACATCTGACATCCGGTAATATCTGGACCAGACAAACCATTGATATTTGGTGCAACATCCAATGAGTGTGTTAAGATTTATAGTCACATCAGCAATATTTCAGCCATATCGTGACTTTAACAAATTACAAATTCATAATGAATGCAATTAAATTATACACAACTGTCGACGATGGACAGTAAAATAACTAGATTATCACAGATAGAGATTTAAAACTGTGCAACATCCAATAAACATTGGGAGCAATGATGACACAAGAACTAAGCCTCACCACCCGATATCTTCCTTTGCCTCCAACAAAAATAGTGAGCTAAGAGACTTTTCTGACCTAAAATCCCAGAATTGGATTGCACAAATTCATCATTAGTGCAAGTGCTAGTAATTCCAACATGTAGGCTTGACAAACTGATCAATATAACATCCACATACATCACTATGAGACATGTAAATTATTTCTAAAATATTAAGTTTCTTTGTTTATTGCTTAACATCACACTCAGCAATATTCTAGCTATATGATGGCAGTGTGGTAATAATAGAATCTTGACCAGACAATCCAGTGATTGACATCAAGAACATCAATCTACCTGGTTCGGAAACAATGACATGCATCAAGCAAGTATACTCAACTGGGATAATTAACAAGCCTAACCACCCAAGCCCTTCTGTCACCTCTTACCACTTGGGTGGCTAAGTCCAATAATAACATGGAACTTCCATAACGATTTTCTTGGAAAATTTATAGAGATGAAATAGCATCGCTCACCTTTGCAGAACCTCGAGAAAGAGCTGAAAGAGTAAAAGAATATTTACAGGTGTATGTACATAAATATCATCAGCCAAAGGATCCCTCTCTTAAGATGCTTACCACATGTATCTCCGTATTCAGCTATGTGGTGATATTTCAGATTGTGAAGATATCTGTATATTTTACAGCTCAAGTTATCATGAAGTGAATGAAGAAAGTTTCATACCTGATGACGGTCGTCGAGAACCTGAGTACCTCCGGCCAGTATAACCATGGTGACCTTCATCTTCATAATCATCATCCCCAGTTGAATCGAGTCTGAAATCAGGAAAAGTCTGGTTTAGACTGGCACATCACATGTGGGCACTGTAGTTATCTTGCCACATCGTCTTCCAAGAAATCATCACTATATCTCCAATATACACATAATGAATGGTCCCTTAGCTCACATTTTGAAAACATGAAGCGCATCACAATACTGCATAATGATAAACAGATACAACATATGGTCCCTTAGCCTGTATGTTAAAACGCCCAAGCAGTGAGTTTAGTTTTATGTCGCTTTTCAGCAATATTCCAGCAATATCATGGCGGTGTACACCAGATATGGACTTCACACATTGTGCTCACATGGGGAATCGAACCCGGGTCTTAGGCGTGACGAGCTAATGCTTTCACCACTAGGTTACCCCACTGCCGCAACAGCCCTAGGAACATCAGAACACACTTCATGACAGGATATGTATCCCAAAAATCAATAAATGATGTCAATATGTTGGAAACACCAGGTAAGGTAAAACCGGGTTATACAGTACAACCAGAAATTATTGAGAATTTAAGATTGTAAATTTGTAAAAAAAAAATTCACTCATTACTCACTTATTAAATGTGAATATTAGCAGAACATAACTCCAGATTCAAAGACAGGTGAACAGTTAGTATTTTGTCAAGTCACCATGGGCAGCAATGCAGGCTTCAATGCGGCGGGGCATACTACTGATCAAAGAAGTTAGAAAGTCGTGGTCCATGCTGTCCCAATATCGGACCACCTCTTCTTTCATTTCAGCAATATTTGTCAGATTTTTCTTATTGACACTTTCCTTCATAAGTCCCCAAACATTTTCTATTGGATTTAGGTCAGGGCTATAGCTTGGCCAATCTAATAATGTCATATTTTAGGCCCGAAACCAGGCCTGTGAATGCTTTGAATGATGTTTTGGGCCGTTGTCCTGCTGGAAAATCCAAAAATTTCCATAGAACATGTGAGCAGATGGAAGTGAATGTCCTTCGAGAATATCTGTGTACCGCTCACTATTCATATTCCCTTCAAATACACAGAGGGGCGTTGACCCTAACACAGATATGCCACCCCACACGTTAAATTTCGGACTGTACTTTGGGCGCTGATACAAAGGGTTTTCAGTTTGTTTGGTCCAGAATTTCAGTGTATTAGGAAACAGCCACACAGAACTTTCATCTGAGAAAATTACATTGTCCCTGTTACAATTTCTATGCTGTAAGCACCAGTTCAACCTACACTCCTTTTGTTCAGGTTTCATGATCGGTGATGGAATTCCTCGACTTTTCTGCCAACCCATTGCATGCAGCTCAGTTCTAATTGTCTCCTTACAGACAGCCACAGTTCCTCTATCGATCATACCCAGCCTTAAGTTTTCTAAACTCCTTCGTTTGTTTTTAGAAACAAGATTACCAAGCCGCCTCCTGTCACCGACAGTCAATTTTCTGGGCCTACCTGCGCCTCCCTGGTGCTCAATGCCATATCCATTTGCAATATTTTTCAAAACACGATAAACAGTGGACAAAGGGATGCCTGTTCTACTTGAAATCACTTTAGCTGATCTGATGTCCTTGTTATAATACTCTGAATCACTGAAAATGTCGTCTGCTAGCAAGTAAAGAAAGGGGGATAACTCTTCACAAACTAATGAAAAATGATTAACAGAGTTGTCTCTCTTGAATGAAACCAAGCACTTGATAGCTGGCAAAGGTTGTTTATACTAGAAATCCAATTAAACATATTCCTAAAATTCTCAATAATTTCTGGTCATACTATAAGATGCATTTAACATTACAGTGCATCCTGGTCATAATGCCAACCAGGTTATAACGACAAAATGTTATAGAATGGATTTCATCCTTTAGGTATAATACCAAACTGGCTTTAATGCCAATGCCAACACCAAACCTTTTCAGAACAAATCTTCCATTTCCATGGTTATATTCCCTGCCAATTGTTTTTCCAAACGGTTGACTTGGCAAATCAGCTGCTTTGATCAGCCCAATGATAAGTGTGTGATATAGTTAAGTGAGGCTTTTTACCACTGGTTAATCCTATAGCTTTCTCACGGACAATACTTTTATACCTGATTAGCATAACTCAAGATAACTCAGAGAAGTTAAACAGTGCACTTGTCCCATAACAGGATACGATTCCCCTATTAAGATACAGTGAATTCTCCCTTTGCCCATATGTTGAAAACACAGGAAGCATCACAATACACTTGCCTCACGACAGGAAACACTTGCCCATACAGATACTGTGAATGCTCCCTTTGCCCATATGTTGAAAACATTGGAAGCATCACAATACCTTTGCCGCATAACAGGATACATATCATCATAACACAATGGAAATATAATACATCAAGCAATTGCGGATGCCCTTTTACCTCATTCTCCTCATTCTTTGTCGGCGAGCTGTATGGCCCTTTAAGGAAGACTGTATCATATAGACGGCGTCATCACTTGCTGTGCTGTGGTATGCATCATCTTCGTCGTCATAATCCTCTTCATTTTGATATCGCTTCAGTTTCTGTCGCCGTTGATGATGTCCTCGAAGAGCAGACTGAATAACGTACGCAGCCTAAAGTTTCAGAAAATAAAATGTGCAAGTGAGGATTTCATAATATCGTTTCCTTGTCAGATTATTCTTTTTGTTAAAAAATACTTTTGGTATGCTTGAATTGATAAAAAATTAATGAATGTTTGTCACATTGCCAGAAATGCCAGCAGGTAGCAGACAAGAATAAAACCAGCGCTCTCTGACATTCTTATTCTGATACTACACATTTCAAGATACATTTCTTCATACCCACTAAGACTCAACTTTTCATCACAAAGGAAATGTTATGTTGTAGGTATCCAGTGGAGTGGAGTAGCTTTGGTCTGTTGTATCTACAGAAGGGTGAGGTGTTTGGCAAAGAAATATTGTAGGTGAAATCATTTAACAATGGTATCTTAAGTACTTATTTGAGATCGAGGGATGGATAACATATATTTCTACTTAATAATACAAACACAGAGCTCCAGATAAGATTTAGCTCATGTGGGTACTGTACCCACTGTATTTTTTTTGGAGTGGGTATTATGAATGTTGAGTGGGTATTTCATTTTCTGTTACCCACTGCTTTCAAATATGTGCGTATTTCAGTAACTTTACTCACCTAAGTATTACGTCATTGAGTAAGTTTACTAAGCAGGTATGTTCTGCCTAATGTCATACCTAATCAAAACCAACTTAAATATAATGGAAATTATTTAATAAACAATCACTCATCCTATACTGACATTACAACACTTGTCCTATACTAACAGTACAACTTGATAGCAATCGATGTCTTTTTCATTACGCAAGCGATTTTTATAAATATATTCCGTACGCATTTGTTTAAAACTTTTTGTGTATCTAACATTTTAAATGCGTAATTGGTACGCAACAATTATTTTTCAATGCGTAATTCTATGCGTATTTTACCCGGGTACGCAGCTTATCTGGGCCTCTGCAAACACAGAGATAATATTTCTGATTCTGTGGTCAGTAGTATCACAGCTGTATCAAGGCAGCCTGTACTGGACCAGACAAACTTATGCTTGATGCAACCTTCAGGTATGATGAAGCATACAACTTTATGGATAAAAGTTTCTTGTTTATTGCATAGAGTGAAGTTTCAGTATAGATTCTTACACCGTTATCATTCAAGCTAAGACTGAAACGTTGCTCTGTGGAATGAACAAGAAGTTGTTATCAACAGAGTTGTAGCTTCATTATGGACTCACCAACATCTAGAATGCCGATAAAACCATCAGGTATGGTAACATGCAATGTGCCAGTTCAGACATTGATACCATTTATCAGAAGTTGTGAAGACTATAATCGCACAGATAATCCATTTTACTTTGGAATAAGTACTTGCCAAAATTCCCCAAACTGTACGTAAACGTCTAGGGACACGATATATAGCAACCATACCTTAAATACAGGCGGGTGAGCTACAGTCAAAGACTGTCACTACTTCACATGAATACAATGTTTATAAAATACAGTAGAATACTTTTATAACGAACATGGATATAATGAACGGACGGCTATAGCGAACTGCTTTAAAAGTCCCTAATAAACCTTATATTATCATATAAAAAACTACGTATATAACGAACTAATTTCAGTGGTCCCTTGGAGTTCGTTATAAAGGTATTTTACTGTAGAACCATCATTTGTCCCTTGTTGATATGAAAGGAATACGGTCCTGGCTTCAAAGAAAACCATAGTCTTTTGGCCCAGTTTCATACCTGCTGAATAAGGAATGGGCTTTTAATGGAGGAATACAGAAATCAGCTCACCATGACAACACACTCCTAGCGATACTACTCTCATTGCCACCTACACAGTAGCAACAGCAACACACATGCTGTTCCGCACAACCGGATGTGGTGCTGACGAACTGGGCATATCAGACACAACAAGAAAGTGACAGGCATGACAGACAAAATGCACAGAAAGACAAGCAGTTGTTTCATACAAACATTGAACAATTCACATTCCCAAGCAAAACATCAGTGCATGCATCACCAGAGGTTGCTGAACATGCTCTCCAGTTCCAGCATGTTATTGCCTTCATCTACAACCCACACACTTTGAACTACTGTCAGTACTAGCTTCTTGAAATGGTGGACTGTCCTAACCTCAGGAGTGTATCAGGGGCCCAAAAGGTTTTGAGTACAAATTGTCCGCAAACTTTCTGCTTTCCATGTGCAACAAGGCATGGTGCCTTTCAAGCCTTATTTAAATCTAATGCCCTTCTGGATATTGTGTTCTAAGTATCTTGCTATCTCAGCGTAACTTTGTGAGTTTTACTTCCACGTGAGACTTGCTGAGAGGATTCACATTTTCAACAAGAACTTTGCAAATCGTATTTTAGCAAGCACACTCAAGTTAAACCAGAATTCCATGGAAAGTTTGGCCAAATATACCTGAACAATAGTTTATGGCTTTGATAAAGCAACTTCTTACTTTACAAGACTTACATTGAGCCCTTATTACAGTTCTAGATGTCATAGTGACTTTAAGTAGTGGAACCTTCACCAACCATAGCATAATCCAACATGGCAACCTCCACCATATCTATGAATCACAAGGTACAGTATTTCCATGGAAACTGAACTATTATTGTTCTGTGAGGCAGTGACCTACTTCCTCGTCATCCTCTTCATCCTGTCGATGTCGACGCCATCTTGATTGGATAGCTTTTGCAGCGTGATTCTGACGGAATTTGTTCACATTTTGCATCTGATCACAAAAGGACACCAAAGACAAAAGTAAGATGAGAAAATAAACCATGCATATATAAAGATGTGAAAGACATATGGCACTGTAATGGAAAACTGTCCCCCTGCAATATTCAAAACAGAATAGCCCAATATTAAGGCTTTGACTTTTTTGTCATGTTGCTCATATGTCACTCACGATACATAGGGTTTCACAGATTATATAGGGTGTCACAGTTAATATAGGGTGTTGTAACTGTTCACATGATAAAGAGTGAAATAGACACAGTAGCATAGTCAAGATTAATAGTCATTCATAGAAAGATCATTTAACTAAAAATATTAGGAAGTGACAACAAATGAAAAAGGTGTTATTCTGATTCTTCTTGCAGAATATGTATATTAATGTGTATATATTAATTTAATCAATGAATGTGATTGTCTTGCAGTGAGATAAAACAGTGGGATACACAGCTGAAGAGAACAGAAGACACTGCCCCTTGCTGAAGCGTGTTGTGAAAGTCTCTCTCTCCTGAAGCAAACATATTTGTACTCCTTGACCTGATCTTGCCGACACCCCACATGGCTTCATGGACCTATGATGCACTGACAAACACACACCTCACTTTTCACCACATCTTACCATTCAAACTACCTCCTATAATGCTCTGACCTCAGTCTTGACCCAATCCTTACCTTCTAACCCTACAACCCACCTATAATGCTCTGATCTCAGTCTTGACCAAACCCAGAACCATTACCTTCTGTCCCTACAACCCACCTCCAATAATGCTCTGATCTCAGTCTTGACGCAACCCAGAACCATTACCTACTGTCCCTACAACCCACCTCCAATAATGCTCTGATCTCAGTCTTGACGCAACCCAGAACCATTACCTACTGTCCCTACAACCCACCTCCAATAATGCTCTGATCTCAGTCTTGACCCAACCCAGAACCATTACCTACTGTCCCTACAACCCACCTCCAATAATGCTCTGATCTCAGTCTTGACCCAACCCAGAACCATTACCTACTGTCCCTACAACCCACCTCCAATAATGCTCTGATCTCAGTCTTGACGCAACCCAGAACCCTTATCTTCTAACCCTACAACCCTAATGCCCAGTCCTAGTTACCTGTTAATGCTCTCAGACTACTTGCACAACATGATCTTAGGGCTAAGAAGATAGCAACTCACATACTTTAGCATAGGCTAAGTTGAAAGGCTAAGATTGCTCTGTGCAGGTGGATCCTGACCCGAATCTTGACCTAACCCCTACATTCACAGACCCCAGAACAGCATAAGCACCCCAGATATTGTCTATGTCATGCACCAACACCAAGCTGTGTGACAGGGTAGCAAATAGTGGCATGTTCAAACAGGTCATCAACACACATGGTATATGTACATTCGAGGAGATGCTTCAATCATGCACCTTGGCTCACTACTCCCTGGTATACCAAGGAACATCAATATTGTGCACAACAAGGATCATAATCAGCATGAACCTGGGATTCAAACCCACAACCACTGGCAGGGATAAGAGAGTAAATCTGTCAAGCAAATCGCAAAATCTAAGTAGGTGACCAAAGTATGTGTTTCATGTGTTCGTGAGGTGATGACCATAGTACAGTTGCACACAATCATTGCATTGAGAAGCAAGGCTGTTCCAGGACATATGTGCTAGGTGGACACGCTGGTGCAGTCAATCAAGGGGACAGCAAGCACGGGAGGTGGCATCTCAAATGGTGTGTGCATGTATCAAGCAGTGACAGCACTGCACTTCAACACAATGTAGGTGCAGTGCGAGCAATGGGAAGGCATTTCAGGTGATCATGCTGGTGACTCAGGTAACAGCACATCGACACAACATCGACACAACACTGACACAACACCGCAACAAGTCACAACAATGACAGCATGTTCTGGGAAATGTCCTACTCTCTCAGTCTCTTCTTGATGATTGGTCCACCTCCTCTGTATCGTCCGAGCTGCATGGGTTCGACGCAGTTCCTCGACTCGTATAGCTAATCTCTAGACACATGAGGACAGAACAGAGATAGGTAAAGAGACAGAAGGACTGTGGACATCACTGGCCCTGCTACTCACAAGCAGGCCACCACACATCACACAGAGTGACACATTTCGATGCTTGGGTATACATTACTTTCAAATTTCCTATTTGTGAATTTTTTTGGAGAGTTTTGTGCATGCATGCAAGAGGTAACTGACATGGGAAAAAAGGAATCAGATGAAGATTTGAGATGTATTTTAAACTTAGGTGAAAGGAGAGGTCTTGTGCATTACTGACAGAATCTGAATGTTTACAGAACAGAAGACGATGTCATGCATGAGTCCACTAAATGAGCATAGTTATCTCCCCTACCTCTTCTTCTTCACGCCTTTTCTCCCGGTGCTGTCGCCACTGCCTCTGTATACTCTGGGCTGCTTTTTTCTGTGAGAAAGACTGAACTTTTGTCTCTCTGCCTGAATCTGCTGAAGATCTGGAACATAAACACAGAACACATGAGATCATGGTTTCAGGTCGACCAACACAAGACATCAACATAGAGCATTGAGACAAGTAACACATCAGACAAGAAAATGACCAGTGTGTATATAATCTCACCTGCGCTTTCTTGGAGTCACACCAGTGGGGGGAGTCACGCCGTCTTGGTGTGACAGATGAATCACGGCTGAAATAATACACTGAGAGTAATAATTTGTTCGAGAATAACATATCAGAGTGGTATTTACAAGAATGACATAAAAAAGACAGTAGAAAAATGTCCAAAAAGTATTAAAGCAACGTAAGGTTGAAATAAATTTACATGGCTTGTCCTGATGCTATTAGAAAATTTCATAAAACAACATTAAGTAGACCTTCTTGTTTGTAGTGTGGCAGGTGTTACTGTTTGCTAAAGCACAGTTCTTTGCAAAACCATATTGTTGATGATATGAGAAGCGAGCTTACACAGCTTTCCAAATTGAAAGTGTGAGGTGGTCCCAAATTCAAACTAAACACACTTGTTGAAGGGAACATGTATCAACGTCTACTATTATTACTGAACTGGAATGTTCAATTTTTTTTTGAGAGTATAAAATACTCTCATGAATGTTGCAAAACTAGACCAGGGCTCATTAATTCATTTTGGACTGCAAGGGAGTTTATGTATTGACCAACGACAAGGTTGAGCATGACTCAAACTATCTATGCAAATATGTGAACAATGGAAAACCTAAAACTGCAATTAGAGTCGCCTATCCCAAATATGAAATGCGGATAATGCCATTTTGCTGAAAACATTCCAGTTGCTGATACTGAAGCTGCCAGATATCCAGGACTAAAGGTAGAAAGTATCTAACAAGTAAAGAAAAGAGGTTAAGAAATATAGATAGAAAAATAATAATACCTCTTCTTGTTCATCTCATTATTCAGCCTCCTGACCTTCACCTTGAGTTTTTCAATTTCATCCAGCAGCTCAGACTCTCTCTGGTCCAGTTGGTGCAAGCGTTCCTCCATACTCCCATGGAGCACGATCTTGCCTGCATAATATCACACTAGTGTTCATAGGATGCAAATAAACGTGTGATATAAATATTAACTGGCATCAAAATAATTCCTGTTTGAGGAAAATCAGAAATTGGTGACATTATCTGTTTTAAACATGCAAAGACAAGAAGAAACACAAAGAGAAACAGTTGTTCTGAATACAATCTGATCAAACAGCAGCATGGCTGATCATGCTGCAGACAGAAGCAGGTTCTGCAAACAGTGAACATACCTTGGACTTCACTACGCCGACTGTCTAGAGACAACATGGAGGTGTTGTCCGCCTCTGCCTTCCTCTCAGCTCGCTCTGCTCTCTGTACACAAACATGGAGTGTCAATATCATGCTGCACATAATCTGGTTGTGCCATAACTAACTTGAGTTATTCAATCACTGATTTTTAGTAATCGCAAATCCATGACAACTATTTTCACTTTGGCATTAATAGCATTGATTCTGTTATCGGTCCTACCATACATTTAACACCAGTTTAACTTCAGTTATCAGACAATGGTTGGTATCTTGGGAGAATTCCATAAAATACTTCTTAGAGAGATAAACCAATGGAAACAACACAATCCACTGGACTACAGAATTATGACTGTGTTTACATACCCGTTCTGCTTTAGATAATGCTACCAGTAGCTGCCTCTTGTTCATGTCCTCATATTCTCCTGAAAAAGACACACAACCTCAACTCAGAAAAAAAGTCACCGTTTGACATCTGTGTCGAGAAATTGTCAGCAATGTCCTAACTTTCTTTAAACAAGAGTCATCAGAAGATGACATATTCCCCCTGCCCCCAGATCTTTGAAAGAACAAATCATCTGACAGCTACTTAAAGTCCAGCTTGATTTTAGACTAAGTGCAAATCGTTTCCATGGAAATCATGAAAAACATAAATGCAAAAATCTGCAAATAGCAAAAGGCACCACTTCAAGATCTGCCTCACATATCTGCCAAGTTGTACTGAAAGCTATTTCTTAATATCTTTCAGCAAAACTTGGCAGATATGTGAGGCAGATCCTAAAGTGGTGCCTTTTGCTCTTTACAGATTTTTGGCATTTTTATTTTTCTTGGTTTTCATGGAAACGATTTGGACTCAGTCTTAAAAGGGAGGGGTAGGTTTTGTTTCTGGAGCACAACTCGAAAACTTAACCAAACCTGAAGAGGTTTTCAATTCTTTGAAGAGAGTCATCCTTGGGGTACATATTATGCATTTTCCGGCTGAAAAATGTCCTGTGACAGTTGTATCAATGTTTTTTGAATAAAAAGATTGAACAATAAATAAACTCTTTTATTTATTATACGGCCCCTACCTCACGGAGTTACCTCCCGTTGTGCATGCGCACTCAACTGGGTAGGCTCCTAGACCCAGATCATCATTCTTTCTGCTGAATAAATCAGTGAACAGAATTGCGGGGAGGCGGGAGGCCCTACCCCAAGGACGACTCTCTTCAAAGAATTGAAAACCTCTTCAGCTTTGGTTAATTCTTTTTCAGAGAGATCGTCCTTGGGGTACATATTATGCATAAACACAGACTCCCAAAGACCGGAGGCCAGGGAGGAGGGAATTCTGTCCAAGCACACACAAAATATAGCGATCGTATCATGGAAAAAAATTGAACAGACGCCATAACACTCACCTGTCACTTGTCCCAGTTGCGCTTCCGCGAGAGGCATTATGGGAGGGGAACTGACAGGGAGGAAGTGTACTCAAAGACGACCTCCATTTAGCATAGTGAGACAACGCACGTGGTGCGAAATGTCAACAAAGCCCCACCCACCATGTGTCTATTAGTGAGCACCGTGAGGGGGAATGTAAATACCACTCACATTCTACAAATAACTCCTGAGAGAATCGAAAGGGGTACATGTAGTTAGCTCACAGTAGCAGATATGTCAATAATACGCAATTATTGTACAGCAGCGTAAAAACAAACCAATAAACCAAGACTCACTCGGGTCAGGGTGGCAGGACACTGTCCACTGGAGAGAACCGAACGCCAAAGCTCGCGACGATTATGGGAATGTGTATCGAGCTGATAGTGCCAGATAAACGCGTTTTGGCCGGCTCCAAATAGCTGCAGAGCAGATCTCTTCAATGGGGAGTGCCGATGCAAAAGCTTTTGATGCGGCTACTGCCCTGACCGAAAGTGAGCCTTCAACCCCTCAGGGGAGGCTTGCCCTTAGCCTGATAAGCGGCACAAATACATCGAAACTAGCCAGCGCAGACAAAGTCTGCTTGTTTCATAAGGCTGGCACACCAGCCTTCCCGCCATCAGAATAACAGAACAGCTGGGTACCCGCACGGATTCCCGCGCTCGCTTGATATAGACTTTGAGCGTCTTACGGACATCCAACGGGTGAGTGCTCGTAGGAGTGGTCCCCGATGTGGAAGGCTGGGTAAGAGTAGGAAGTTCGATAGGAGCTGTCACATGGAAAGCGTGATCGACCTTCGGTCGGTAAGTATCTGGGAGGCGAATACTGACACGATCCGTGTGAAACATAGCATGTAAATCGCCGACCCTACGTCCAGATGTTACCGCCACCAGAAAAACAGCTTTCCAAGTTAACAACTGAATGGAAATAGCCGATAGGTGTGAGAAAGTTGGACCAGACAGCCAATCTAGCACAATTGACAAATCCCAAGGTGGACTGGTTCGCCTGAGCGCAGGTCGAATCCGTTCCGCGCCAGCAAGAAAGCGCTTGTACGAGAGGGTGCTGCCCCAGAAGAGCACCATCGACAGGGGTGTGAAAAGTGGAAATAGCGGTGGAGTAGCCACGAATGGTCGAAGCCGCCAGGCCTTCTTCCAAACGAGCTTGCAAAAACTCCAATACTCGGACTAAATCCGCAGAAAAGGGATCTGCAATGCCCCTATCTGAACACCAGCGCGCATAAATGGAACCACCTATCCTCGTGATTGAACATTTGTCTAATCCCGCCGGCCAGAATTGTGTCTGCAACTGCTGCAGGAATTCGCGCAGCCTCGAGGTTAGACCTGACAGAGGCCAAGCCACCCACTGAACTGCGGATTTGGGTGGGGCCCGCTCTGAGTGAGAATGTCCGGGTCGTAAAGGTAATAGAACAGGAGGCTGAGCCAGAAACCTGAGAATTACCAGAAACCAGCTCTGTGACGGCCAAAGCGGTGCCAGTAGCACAAGTAGCCGAGCTGGCTGGGTGGACAGCTGTGAAAGGACACGGGAATGAGTGGTAACGGCGGAACGCCTGAGCACTTTGCCCGTCTAATCCAGCAGGAAGGAAGGCCGGCAGCCAACGCCCCTGGGTCCGTATCCGAGCAGAACACGGGTGTCTGATGCGTCGCTACGGACGCAAACAGATCCACCTGGAACGCAACCCGCATAACTGGAGAGATTACTCTGAAAATCTGCCTGTCGAGCATCCACTCGCAAGGGCCAGGATCGGCGCGAAAGCGCATCTGCTCGCGACGTTCTCCAGCCCCGGAGATAAACAGGGAGTACCTGACAGTCGCACTGATCGCACCAGAGGAGAAAGTCCAACGCCTCGGAGGAGAGCGCTGGGGACACCCGGCCTCCCTGCTTCAGGATGTACGACATGGCCGCCTGGTTGTCCAACTGAAGACGGACTACCTGGCCCACGGACATGCTCTCTGAAGCCAATACCAACCGCACAGCTCTCAGTTCCAACACGCTGATGTGAAGGTGGGCTTCGCTTCGACCAGAGTCCGGGCCGCCAGACTGCCCAGAACACCCCCAGCCCGTGAGGGACGCATCGGTCTGAACTGTGAGAGCTGGCGTCAGGATTTCCAAGGGGATCCCCCTGGTGAGATTCCCGACATTTGTCCACCACTGAAGGTGAGGTGTCAACCACTCGGGGACTGTGAGACTGCGCTCCAGATCCTCCATGTGAGTCCACAGCCGAGCCAAAGCTTGCTGTATAGGACGCATCCTCAACCGCGCCCGCCACACTACAGAGATCGTCGCCGCCATATGGCCCAGTAGACGGAGCCAAGTCCGTGCTGGTGCCTGGGGCTGGGAGAGGAACGAAGATACCATCTCCTGAACTCTGGTGATCCGGTCGGGCGACAAGGAAACGAGATCCTTGTTCGTTTGGAATCGTGCTCCAAGAAAAACCAAGTCCTGGGTGGGTACCAGGTCGGATTTCTTGAGGTTGATTATCCACCCCAGTCGAGTTAGAATGTCTATCACTGTGTGAGTAGCATCTAGACTCGCTGGCTGTGTTAGTGCTCGAGCAACCAGTCGCCAAGGTAAGGGTAACAACGCCTTCCTTGCGCGGCCGCAGCGTAGGTAGCGGGACAAACATGAGCTTGGTGAACACCCTTTGGGCAGTCGATATGCCGAAGGGGAGCACCCTGAATTGGTAACACATCCCGCCGAAGAGAACCGAAGGTACTGCTTGAACAATGGATGTATGGGCACATGCAGATACGCGATCCTTTAGGTCGCATTGACGTGAGCCAATCGCCGGGCTGAACAGATGAGATCACCGAAGCGCAGTGTCTCCATCTTGAAGGATGGTACTTAGCATGCGCGATTCAACCCCTTGAGGTTGAGAATCGGAGGGAACCCGCCGTCTTTCTTCGACGAGGAAGTACGCGGGAGTAAAAATCCCGCCTGTTCCTTCTCTCGGTGGAATGCGCCGATTGCGGACTTGTCCAGCAGAGCCTGAACTTCGTCATCGCGCAATATGTCCGCCTTGCCTGACATGACGGCACCGGAGGCGGCGATGCCGGTGAAGTCGGGCGGACCACCGCTTCCACAGTGGTAAATGGCCGATGCTGACCGTGGCCAGCACCCAAGCATTGTTGGTAGCCTTCTCCCATTCCGCAGGAATAGAGAGAGGCGGCCTCCCACTGGGATATGGGGTAGGAGCGTGCGTTGTCCCGAGCAGCCGAGCTGACTGGGTGTGACACACAGCTTGAGCGGCAGCCCGATGGGTTAACGGAGGTCGGGCAGACCTCAGCCGCCGAAAAGGCTGGGAGCTAGTCGAGGACTGCTCCTTGCCCCTACCCTTGGCGGACCTGCTCCTCCACCTACCCCTACCAAGCGGCCGGGCCAGCCGGCAGACTCGGTGTAGGCTGCACCCGGCGGAGGAAGGTGGAACGGAGCTGGGGGGCGACACCAGCTGGTGCTCCATCAAGGCCTTAGAGTCCTTGAAGGAGGTAGCTGCAGCGCAGCCTCCCCGTGATGACCTGCTGGGCCCTGGAAAGAGGGGTCGCCCCAGACGGAAAGGGAGGGCCAGCAAGGTCTGCTGCGCGCCGCTGCCGAAGTACCGACGCCGACAGCCACAGCCTGCGCGATCCCCATGACTGCGCACATCACCGCCGACGAAGCAGACCGCGAAAGAGTCGTCGCGAGGTGTGCCTGAACTTCCGAGCTGACGGAGCAGCACGACATGCGCGAAATGTCACCAGCATGCCCCTCGCGCCCAGGACCGACCTCTGAATCGAGGAGAGGTAGGCCTCATGGACCACCACCTTGACCTGCTGCATCGCGTTCCGTAGAGAGCCCTCGTAGGTCCGCACGCTGCGTGCTGCAGAAGGCGCCAGGGCAAACGGTGGAGTGAGGTGCCTCTTGCCGAGCAGCCTGAGCTGCTCCGAGGAAGCCCAGCCTCCCCCAGGGCTTACGGAAGTGAACACGACTCGCCAACGATGGGAACAACGTAACAGGAGTCCTCCCCAAGTTGGTACCTCCGTACTAAATCCGCAAGTCGAACCGAACACGGGTACCAGACAAGAGGGCTCGACCACGCCCTGAACCAACGAAGGCAGAATGCGGAGCTGCGTCTGCGAGGGCTGCCGAGGGGCAAACGCCGCCTGGCAAGCGAACTCAGCCAAGTCCGGAGGCCAACAGGCACCGCTGCTTGGGGTAGGCCCTCGGCAATTCTTTGCCGGACCTCCCGCAGAGCCGGCAAAACGGAAACCTCCGTCATGCTCCTCTACCTCCCCAAGCACCATCGACTCGGCGCCGGAGCCCGAAGTCAGAGGCTGGTCTCCTCGAAGAGGACCCTAACCCCGACCCGTGGGCGGCCTAGCGCCAGGGGAAGCACAGAGGGGAAGAGCAGACAGAGCTTCCACGCCGCCGCCTGGAAGCGTGCAGACGGACCCGGTCTCGGAGACGCTGGAGGCAGACCAGGCAGAACTGGTGCCTCCGGCTCTCATGGGGCGGAGGCGCAGGGACCGAACACCAGGAATACTCAACGGTCCCTGCGCCCAACTCCGAAGGGGACTGGGAGCACCTCCCCTCGGGGCAGCCGAGGCGTCCGGACCGGCCAGAGGCAACGGGTCTACAGACGCCTCAAGGCTGAGGGATCGAGCCGAGCCGGGCGATCCCACCCTGACTCTCCGCCTCTCGTCCGAGTGAGCGAGGAATTCCTGGCGGAGACCTCCAACAGACTCACTTTAACGAGGGACTTCACAGAGTCCATATGCTGCTGAAACAATTTGTCCATTAGTGTCATATCAAAACCACCAGTACTAGCGGGAGAGGGGTTTGGCTTCGGGATTTTTCCCTTACGCGGACTGTTTCTTAGTCTTAGACGGGGGACCTGGCGTCAGTTCCCCACCCGCCACGCATCTCTTTGTAAAATAGCGTGTCCGCCGCCCTCCGCTTTTTGGGCCCGGGGAAAACCCAAGACATATGGTACATGTGTCAGCGCCATGGCCAGTCTTTTCTAGACAGGCGACCCACTGGTCATGCCTGTCGGCCCGTGGAATGCTCTGTCCACAGACCGAACAGGATGAAAAGGCCTGAAAGCAAACACGCCAAAGCATGTAGCTAACGGCGGACCAGCAGCATATATACACGTAGAAAACATTGAAAATACGTGAAGGCTACCACGGAAAGTAATAGTTGGTTCAATACGCAATATTACTTACTTCACATGGCACGCTAAACTTCCGCCATGGCAGAGCAACACGCGTCGTAAACCAAGGGAAAGTTCGCGTAATATAATATAATACAAAGTCACAATTATGAAACAACCAACTGTAAAGCTTTACTGTTCCTTTCATAGGTAAATAAAGACCATACATACAGGTGGTGTCTCAGACATAGTCGTTTTCTTTTGAAGAAAGTCCAGCACTGTACGGCTCATGAATTCTCTAACGTCTGTTCATGGCAGTGACAGCAGAAGGAATGATGATACGGGTCTAGGAGCCTACCCAGTTGGTGCACATGCGCAACGGGAGGTAACTCCGTGAGGTAGGGGCCGTATAATAAATAAAAGAGTTTATTTATTGTTCAATCTTTTTATTCAAAAAACATTGATACAACTGTCACAGGACATTTTTCAGCCGGAAAATGCATAATATGTACCCCAAGGACGATCTCTCTGAAAAAGAATTCTTAATATCTTTTCAGCAGAACTTGGCCGATACGTGAGGCAGATCCCAAAGTGGTGCCTTTTCCTATTTACAGATTTTTGTCATTTTTACTTTTCTCGGTTTCCATGATTCGGACTTAGTCTCAAAAGGGAGGGGTAGGTTTCGTTTCCGGAGCACAACTCAAAAACTTCTTAGTTTTCGCGTTGTGCTCTGGAAACGAAACTGGATATTACATGCCGGGGGGATAAAAAGAAGCTACAGATGGTTTAATGTTTCCGATTCAGGCTTTTAGGCAGCGAGCAGCAGCAACTAGTGAGAGTGAATCAGATTGTGAAAGTATCTGACGTCTGTACATTGTAAAGTTAGTAAACCAAACTACATAGCATATGACTGCATAAACAATTCAATTAAAACATGAAATGATTCTTTTTTCAGAAGTGTGGTTTTCCGGGACAAGTTCTGTAATGAATCCACGTATGCAACGTTAATAACATTCTCTGCTCCCCTATTTAATGAAGTTAACTCGACCTGCCGTTTGTGCCATTTGACCTCACTGGTCATGCATATGTAGTAGCTCAGGTCAAGCTGAACAAGATGTAACAACTTAAAATATCCAGTTTCATTACAACCCCTACTTATGTCCTCATATTCTCCTGAAACCACAAACAAGCTTGATTTAGTGACATAAGTGACAACACCTCCCTACTTCATGTCACCTTTACCACACAACTGTACATTATTGATTGTCTATTGCAACACCCTCCCATCTTCTGCAAAACTTGTGCTGTTACTCACAGTATCATAATTAAATCTGTACTGACGTGCCCCGTCTTCTACTGACTACTACATGACAATCTTCAAATATTTACCCATGCTTATATGCCACTGGTACAAGTGCCCTGTTTGCCTAGTACTTGTGTCAGCCTGATGTGCCCCCAGTACTTGTGTCAGCCTGATGTGACTCCAGTACTTATGCCTGACCGATGTGCCCCAGTACTTGAGCTGAACTAACGTGCCTATCTGGCCGAGGTGCTCCATGTACATGTCTGACGAATGGGCCCCATGTACAAACATGTGCCCTACGAGCCCCCCAATCTGCACGATGTGCTGCCCCAGTACTTCAACCTGCTTGATGTGCCCCTGTACTTATGCCTTATACACCCCATGTACTTACATTTGCCAATGTGCCGCCAGTACTTGTGCATGCCCAGTGTGCCCTGTTCATACACCTACCAACTGTGCCCCTAGTATTTACATCTGCATGATGTGCCCCTTTTTCCACATCTGCTAAGTAAGCCCTAGTACTTACAAATGCTTGATGTGCCCCCTTGTAGATATTGTGCCTTACATACCCCTTGTACTTAGATTTGCCCAATGTGCTCCCAATACTCACATCTGCCCAGTGATCCCCCAATACTCATGTCTGCGAGATGTGTCCTTTGTACATACACCTCCCTGATGTGCTCCCTGGTACTTACGTCTGCTGGATGTGGCCTCCTCGGTGTCCTCCAGGGCCTTCTCAAGGTCCTCCTTCAGACCCCTTATTCTCGGACTGCAGCTGCTCATTGACTTTACTGAGTCGAAGCACAGTCTGATTTAGTGCCTTCACCTTTGCACCACTTTCTTTCCCTGATCTAAAATGGCAACAAATGTTTATATTCGTTGGCAGTCTACCACGTAAATTTTAGTATTTATTAGAATCCCAATGGTATTTATTGTTCAATTGTTTATGCATACCAGTTATTTGATAAAGCAGGCAGCATGCTAACTAGCTCTGTTATAAATATTACCATTTATCAAACCTGATGTCTGTGGATTATTCAACATGACCAAAAACTGTCATGACAAAGTTAGTAGATCATCATGTTACAAAACGTCAGTACAGGAGGATGAGATGTACCTAGATTTGTCAGCACCAGTATCTTTGGAGTTCTGCAGACGCAGCAACTCCTGGTATAGAACCTCCATCTGTACCTTCATCTCCTCCACCTTCGTCGTCTTTAACTCACTCGCCAGCTTCCTGCATCATCATCATCATCATCATCATCATCATCATCATCAGGATATTCATTCATAAAACCCACTCAAAGATTGTTGTTTAGTTACATTCCTTGATATAGGATGCCAGTACCCATGTTCTACGCCATCTTACTGCAAATCCTTAGCAGCGCATGAGAGGCTTCCTTGTTGCTATGACAACACATTGCATATCATATTTGTCATCATGAGCTTTCCTCATTACCATGAAAACACACTGTATATCATCCCTTATCCATGTGAGCCTTCATTGTTGCTGTGACAACACACTACTTATGTTTAGGAGATTTCCTTGTTGCTAAAACATAATAAACCACAGCATTACGCACCCACCAGGGCCTCCTTGTTGCCATGACAATACTGTCATTACTTGTACATATGAGACATCACTGATGCTAAAACAACATATCATTACCATCTTTACAAGCCTTTCTCTGTGGCATGTGACCTTTAAAGACACATTTGAACCTTCACTGCTGCTATGAAAACAGTCATTCGGTATCAAAATGAGATTTACTCTTGCCATAAAAACACTATATATCATCACTTACATATTGGAGGCTTCCTTGTTGCCATGACAACACATTGTCTTCGCTTATACATGTGACATTTCATTGTAGCTACAAGATACGGCATATCATTATCTATCCTTGCAAACCATTGCATTTGCCAGAAACTGGCATCATTACTTACACGTATGAGGCTTCCTTGTCTCGGAGTTGCATCTCAAGCTTGAGGATCTTCTGCTTAAGACTGTGAATGACAGCACCAGTGTCGGGTTTCCTATCTCCCATAGTTCGTCGCAGCTCCTCATTCTGTCACACAAACAACCAATCATCAACAAGATACAGATCATGTGGTAATAACAACCTTCAATACACTAGTGAGTGACCTGAGTTTAAAGCCACTGTGGTTTGTTCAATCTGTTCTTATGGCCCGTCTTGATGATAAGCATCTTAATAAGAGCTTTTGAAAAGAAAGAATTACAAAGTGTATGCATATGAAATATAATTCACCAAAATCTCACCTTCTCTGGATGCAGAAGGCCATCAATCTCCTTCTCCTGGAAGTATACAAAACATCAGGTGATCAGTAGAGTTGGTTAGCTGTTGCCAGTATTTTACAAGTCCTAAACTTGGCATTTCATTCAGAAACAATAAAACATAAGTGTTTGCCACTGATATGGCAATGTCCCCCGCCGCTAAAGAATGGAATATCTTTATTTACTACTTTTTATTTTTGGGTCACATACAAGATGCCTGAAATGACTGGTGTCTGCATAATCACCCAATGTAGGCTGTCAACATACTTGAAAACATTGGGTGCAATGTTTTATGAGATATCGCCTTTAAAAAGCGGTCAAAGTATCGTGGTGACCTTGAAGGTAAGGTCAAGGTCACCCAAATAAACTGGTGTCTGTGTAATACCCCAATATAAACTGTCACCAAATTTGAAGACATTAGGTACAACAGTCCATGAGATGCCGTGTTAAGAAGAGTTTGAAAAGTGTTCAAAGTGTCTAAATAAACTGGTGTCTGTGAAATCCCCCAATGTAGGCTGTCACCAAATTTGAAGGCATTGGGTACAACAGTCCATGAAATATTGCATTAACAACAGTTTGAAAAGTGGTCAGTGTCGTGGTGACCTTGAAAATAAGGTCAAGGTCACCCAAATCGACTGGTGTCTGCGTAATCCCCCAATGTAGGCTGTCGCCAAATTTGAAGACATTGGGTACAACATTTCATGAGATATCGCGTTAACAAGAGTTTGAAAGTGGTCAAAGTGTCGTGGTGACCTTGAAAATGAGGTCAAGGTCACCCAAATTGACTGGTGTTTGCGTAATCACCCAATGTAGGCTTTCACAAAATTTGAAGACATTGGGTAAAACATTTCATGAGATATCGCGTTAACAAGAATCGGGACATACGGACAGACAGACGGACGGATGCTGCTAAATACATTGTCCCCCGTTCCGCGTTGCGGCAGGGGACAAAAACCATGTTCAAAGTTAGCTCTTTCATATCATCAACAAAACCATGATGTTATCTCCACAAAACTGCTACCTTTTTGATGTTGTCTTCTTCCAGACGCCTCACTTTTGCCTTCATTGTTGAGTTGTCTTGACTGAGGGAGGAGATATGCTGTCACAATGGAAACAAGCACATCATTCATGATGTTTAAACAGACTCTGCACATTAACAAGGGCTTATTAATGTCAATTTATTTATTCCTCTCTGTCTGGTAATTTATAACAAACATGTATATCTGTGTTGGTGTTGAAAAGCTTATTGGAAAGTGAAAACTTCGATTGCAAAACCAAGGGCATTGTTACATAAAAAACATCACAAGAAGATATTCACGATCCCCAACTTCTCTTGTTCAGTATATATCAGCACTACCATACACCACCTACCTTTTTCAAGTCAAGAATGTCATCATAGTACTCCTCTGGGGTCTTGTATGCAGGGGTGCCTGCGTGTGTCCTGGCTGCAAACAGAGGGGTGTGTTGACGTAACTCCTTGAAACTTACAATTGCCTTCAGCAACACCTGCTTGTCCTTAGAGACTAACACCATAGGAAGGTCAGGCTTGCTGACTTCATTGACATGTCATCATATCCTAATTGCTTAGAAGCTAGATTGGTGTTCATGATGTTGATCACTGGATTATCTGGCCCAAATCCATTATTTACTGATTGCTACCATACAGCTGGAATATTGTTGAGTGCCGCATTAAACAGCATACAAACAAACCCCTAAAACCTAGGTCAAAACCATATCATTCCTACATTATTATGAAATATGAAAACCATGAACAATTTTCTAGCAGACACATTGACATTCTGAATTATTCTGCGTCAAGATGACAAACACCAACAGCATTGCACATCATCTTAAAACATATTCATGGAGTAATGTCACCTGTGTCTTGAGTATATATCTGAATTTTGAATGAAATGTAAAATCTGATCCCTTATGTATTCATGTGTTTAGACGATGATGCAATGATCACCGACCTGTGGGGTCGTCCACATTCCGCCGAGCCTTCTCCGTCCCCATCATCTGTCGCATGTAATGGCTTGTGCTGAAGTAGGCCAGGTTCATGTCGTTGCCCTTCTTCAGACCTGTCATGGCGTTCCCCCGAACTCTCTGTGCTCATGCCTGTTACAAACACGGGGTAAGTCAGCAACTTGGTCATCAACACTTCACTCGTGGATTTACACAAAAACCACATCTTTTGGTCCACTATATGCTATTGTTTAAAGTCACCCATCCCAGGTAAAATAAGCATTGATCTATCCTTCAGAACGTAAAACTAAAAATACACATGAGTTCCCGATACTACAAGCACATAATATGAGGGACTAGTCTGTCTGAACCACAGTTCCTGAACCACATTATTTTCCCTACTACCTAGCCCTCCCTGTAATGCTGAAGCCCTAAATGAAGCAAGTCTAGATTTCCTCAGGTTCTTAATCTCCAATGTTTTTCCAACTTAAATGGGTTTATTTGATGCTATCCAAATTATATACTGAACGACACTAGAAACATAACACACTAAAATGCACTGAAAAAAAATGCGAAAACATAGGCTGGAATGAATGAATGATCCATTATGATAGGGATCTGAACATGTAAAACACTCATGATGGTTTGGACTGTTGCATCAAAATGCAGTCACATCTGTGATGAAAATCATGAAATGCATGTGATTTTCAAAGTTCTCACTCAATATCTACAGACGCACATGGGTATAAAAGACCGCAATTTCCAAACTGTTAATCACCAGTTTAATTGAGAATTCAACCGTGATTGACCCTGTTTATCATGCCACGTTTGACACCGGAACAACAAGAAAGAACAGTGGGTTACTTGAATATTGGATGGTCGACTCAGGACGTGGCTCAAACATTCAACTGCCATCATTGAATAATCGTCAGACTCCGCCAATGTTTGCAGCAGACTGGAAGTACCTGTGACAGTCAATGTCTTGAACAACCATGTGTCATCGCGCCCCAAAAAGATCAACACATTGAGTTGTTCCATTTATGGAACAGAACCCAGACTGCTACACATACAGCTTTGACAATCCAGGGGCGACATGGAATCATAAGAGCTCAAACCGTAATGGCGCCGTCTACGTCAGTATGGCCTCAACGCTCGGCGTCCCTACAATGACCCCATATTGACACCCAGACCCCAACAGCCTCGATTAGACTGGGCTAGAACCCATTGAAAGTGGATGCATCGACAATGGGAAGGTGTGCTCTTCACCATGAATCACGTTTTCAGCTCAATCACGCAGATGGAAGAGTTCATGTAAGGTGATGCTGTGGAGAACAATATGCAGATTGCTGAGTGTGACAGGTAGTGCTGGGGTGGGGGTAGTGCGTTGGTTTGGGGCGCCATCAGTGTTCAATCAAGAACACCACTACATTTGTTCCGAAGATGTGTTAATGTCATCAGCTACACAAACGTCATTCATAAGCAATGTGGATGTGCTTCCATGGCCAGCTCTGTCACCGATTTGGTCCCGATAGAGCACATCTGGGATGAAATGGGCCGACATCTAATGATGGAACCACTTGCAGTCAATGTCTGTCAATTTGAGGTCAACCTGCAACGTGTATGGCAACAAATACCCCAGCGAATAATCAGGATGGTGATTTTCTCTCTCAAACACTGCTGTGTTGCAGTAATCAACGCCAATGGTTGATACATCCGCTAATGAAAATCTGTGGGTTTTGACTCCTGGTGCCTCTATACGTGTCATGTTCTGTCAATGAATCTTTTTTTTGTAAAAATGTTTTTGTGATTTGTTGAAGGAATCTCCAAGCTTTCTGACAATCCTAAGATATCATGAGAACATTTCAGTCTGAAGGGGATATTTCGTATTATATGGTTTTTTTATGTTGTTCAGTATACATATTCAGAGACAAAGCGTTAGTCTAATGAGGGACCTACTTTTCCTGTTATTCCTACTGATCCTCAACATCATCCTGATGGTTATAACAAGTGTCACATTTGTTTAATGTACCCAAGAAACACAGAACATTGAGGTTTTAATCAGCCAAAGGCTTGTTTTGTTGAATATATAAGGAACGACACTTACCCATACCAGTTTTACGAAGGGTGTCAACCCAAAACTCAATTGGAGTTTTGTGATGAGGGGTGTCTGGATGGCGACCATTGGCAAGTCCCACTGGAGTAAGAGTAACATTTCATTAAACCACTAATGGAAATCCCTTGCTAATTATTTTATTCATGCAAATTCACTTTGAATAACAAAAACAAAAATATTCAACTTCCAAACTGACCCCAATGGTTGAAAAAAAATAATCTATTTCCCAAATGTTTTTCTTTACAGAAAGTCATCGGAATCTCATTACTTTTACAAATTCCAAATTATCTAACTGCATTTTCCGGTTCATCAATCACTTGATTGACTGGCTTGTTTACAGGTCTACATCATATGGATGGGGTACTGCAGCATCATGCACAAATCCTTTACAGTTCCAATTAGCATGATCAGTTGATTTTGACATTCTTCCAATTAAATGAACCACTCCCATTATCATGATATCTGATATTTACCATGCAATTAGACATGTTTAGATAAAGTATCATAAGTATCATCATCATCATCATCATCATCATCATCATCACAACAACAATAATCTGTGATACTGTTCTGTTTTGATTTTTCAATTACTTAAAGATTACTTAATCATTTAAAACTCACATGTCTGTCGTTTCTTGATGGCATTCATCCACAAATCTTTGCCAAGCTTAGGTTTTGCTTTGTTTGGAGATCCTAGAAAATTTGGTGCTCAATCAGAAAAACTTGAAGAAAATATGTGTGTAGAAGTTTCATCTTGAAATTATCATGATTATGACTTCGGGTTCATTAAGTTCAGCATGTTCAAGCTGATGTAAGAAAGAATTATGATATATTGCGAAAATCATGAATAATATAATCATGTTTATTATCCAGTTAAACAATAAAACAATTTTTTATTAAATGTCTCTGTTTATACAATATCATCAATATATAAAATCCTTATTGCCTTGTTTACAAACACAGCCTTCAAATTTGTTGGCTCTGTAAATGTCACTCCAAACACTCACCTGGTCTGCGAACAGACTTCTTGGTTTTCTTTGCAGGAGCTGTAATTAACCAGGATGTTCACCTGTACTATACATATTACATGTGGTTTACTATCAAACAAACACCAGCTTAGCCCAAGGAAGTACAGAAATTATCGGTCTCAAAATCAAAGGAATTGATTCTGTTCTTCCTGAGAATGTTAATTATTCAGGATATAACACTGCTGGTGGCCTCTTGGCCAACAACAACAACCTAACAACCTATACAAGAGGTATATATCACTGTATCAAGCATTAACTTTATTTTAATTACATATTGTGTCCTCCTATAGCATAAGGTTCTGCAATATTAATTGGACATGTATATTCTTTACTTCTTATATTGGTAATAGAATATTTGTAGGGTATGTTTTACATAAACGCAAGCATGCACGCAAGCACATACTTTCCTTCCTTCATATGTCGCTGAATATTGGTAATAGAATATCTGTTATGCATATTTTACATAAACACTGATAAACCCCTCATACCTGACTTGTACCGTGGAGGCTTGTTTCTCGATATCTGAAACATACATTATTGAAATTGTCACTACAGATTATCTCCCCTTATAACCTTTGCATGTGATAACCAAAGTTAAGAGCCGACATAAAACGGCATTTAACTTAACATTGAAGATTATTTCATTCAAATATCAATGTGAATGAACATGTGTGGCTGAGATATCATGGACTAAGAACCATTCCCTTAATATCGAGTGTAAAGCAGGGTAACAAGTGACATCTGTTAACATATTCTGGTACATCACATTCAAGGCAACAAGTCAATGACATTCTGCTTTCCAGACAGAAACTCTATCCATTAGACCACTGAGAATTCAGTTAATAACCTTGGAATAACAAGTATCCTTTTCAAATTTCCATGTTCTATGTAAACATATGTGCATAATTCCCATGCCATATCATTCATAAACAAGATACATACCAGCGTTTCTGTGTCCTCAACTTCATCAAATTCAAAGTCATCATCATAACGGTTCTGAAATAATTATTGTACATTTAACAAAAAGTCATTCATTCATCTGCAAAAAGTTCCATTGCACAACTTTCACCATCTTAGTCATGCAATTATAGTCAATGCATTGATACATGTGAAGATCCGGGTTAGAATTGGTCTTCAGCAACCAATGCTTATTGTAAGAGGTGACTAAAGGGATCAGGTGGTCAGGCCCGCTGGCTTGGTTGACAATTGTTATTGTATCTCAATTGCGTAGAATGATGCTCATGTTGTTGATCACTGGGTTGTCTGGTCTAGACTGAATTATTTACAGACTGTCGCCATATAGCTGGAATATTGCTGAGTGTGGTGATAAACACACACACACACACACACACACACACACACACACACCGTAATAATTAGTCTCACTCTCAGCATGGTGGTACAAACTGTACTTATTATCAATGGTTATGTTTATTTGTTTGGTCTCAAATACGCCTGTTGTTGACAAACACATACCATTCAGGGCCTAACTGTAGCGTCAGTAACAACATGGATAATGACTATGGTGAACTGCCCAAACATTTCAATGTTCCCAGAATTGTTACACGACACTAACAAGAAGTAGGTAGCAGAATTAATTTGAGAATTACTTTGACTATCCAGATGACTAACTGTAAGCATTTACATGAATACTAAAATGAACAAAGTAACAAAACTTTCACATATGTAGAAGCTTGACAACAAAATCTATCATTCTTAGATCAGTTGATTACAATGACAAGATGTATCACATTCACACTAGCTAACCACGCTAATAAACAAAAAGCTTTGAGCATGATGAGGTCTGTTTTATAGTGCTAGTCCACTGATACAGCAAGACACTGACTCTGAGCCAACCACCTCCTCGAAAATCTCCAGGCTCCACTAGTAACCAAGATGCATCTACAGCTCTGCCCAATAACGTTATTACCCCTCTTTGCTGGCTTTTTATCCAATCAGGTCTACGCTGGGAAGTTGAGCGTACCAATCACAAGGTTTCTATCATAACTCACTTTTGCTTCTTTCATCTAACAAATTAAACCTGGCAATACAATTGTTACTCTGGTAGTCTGAAAGAGGTAGAAAGAGTTCTAGCATATAATTTTTAAAGGTTTCAGACCTGTCAACTTGTCTGTATGATTTTTTTCCCTAAATCTGAATCACACCTTTGCAGCTGTGGCCATTATCTTTGTTGCCACTGGCAAGCTTGAACAGCTTATCTGATTGGCTACTGTGAGAAGGCGGATCCAGCAAAGGGAATTATTAAAATTATCATAGATACCGTAGATGCACCGAGGGTACTAGTGGAGATTTATCAGAACTTATAAACCTCCAGTGACATCACTCCATTGTCTCGCCAGGTTCTCCTTTTACCGAGTAAACCTCTACAGGCAGTTTCGCAGGCATTCTCCATGAATCCTGTGGAATTTCTACAGAATTGCCAGCATCTTGGGGATTTTCTGAGGAATAGCCCAACTTTGAATTATTATTACTTGTTTTGAAGATTGACATAACTTTGTCTTGCTATCACTGAATACAATCGTAAAATTTCACATTATTGAAAACTTCCAATATAAAGTGCCGATACCTGGTTTCGAACCTGCAACCTTTTGTTTACTACCTTGGCGGCTTCATCCACTAGGCTACGAAGGATCGCTTTGAAGAATGAGACTGTTTGTAAGTATGAACCATGTGTTCCTCACAAGAAGGTAGTGCGGGCAGCGCACGTGCCGGACACCGGTGGTGAGTGCAGAGCATGGGTATTGTGTGTGCAAGGCAAGGTTTTGGCTGCCAGTCTCATCCCAGTTGATTTCAACAGTAAATACCAAATATTAAAATTATATCTAAAGTATATCTATGGTCGGTTCATAAGTTGGATCAAAACCGACTCCGAGGTTTTGTTTGAAAAAGTAAACCCTTGGCCTCGGGAAACTGGCCCTCCCCAAATTCCCTCTGCCGCGGGATTACTTTTTCAAACAAAACCTTTGAGTCGGTTTTGATCCTTTATGCATACCCTGGAGATTATGGAGGATGAGCCAACCAGTATCTCTTGTCCCTACATGCCAATCACCAGACATGGTAACAACAAGTAGCCACTTAACACGCTTAACAATGAAGACAATCACAAAAAGTTTTGGATTCCTTGAGACACTTGTTAAATTCTCTGTTCTGTCGTACATACCAAAATATGAGCACTGAATTTCAGTACTACGAAGCTGGGACATCATGTCTATCGTGCCAAACACCTACTCAGGTCAAACTTTCCTGCTAGTGCCCTGTGGTTTAAAACTATAGAGTATTGATAACATTTAGTATAGAGCATTGATAACATTTAGTTACTTCCTTTTTGACAGACTGATCAATACAATAACTTCTGTAAAATATTCCAAATAACATACCACTAACAACCGGCAGAGTTTGACCTTTCAAGAAACACCTTTTAGAATGGTATTTGAGAAAAATTGACACAAAATACAAAAGGTCTGACATCACATGCTATCAAGGTGAAAGGGCTTATGAAAATTGGATAATGTTTTATTTGCATTCATTAAATACACCTAACAACAGGTGGATATTGATAAAAGAAAATCACTTTTCCGCATAAACATGATGAATTTTTAACTGATGGTATTCATGAGGATCATAATCAAGATAATTGCATAAATTTCTTTCACAGTATGAACATGCTTAACACATGATTAACAATAAACACATAGAAAACATCCAAATTCCCAAATATTACTGTTGTCATTGAAATAACATGTGTTTGGAATGTTAGTTAGAAAGTAAAATAGTGCATATAAGTGTAGATATTAAAGAGGACAACATCATGTGGTACTTGTAGTGCTATGAATGATGTCATGCACCAAGTTTACAATGCATTGAACACTATGTCAACCTGTACCAAACAGTGTTTCCGTTTACCGGCATATGCCTGTATTTTACCGGTAAAAGGATTGGTATATTTATGGCAAACAAGTAGTGGAGACCGGCAATAAATTCACCTAGTTAAATTATTTCCTCCAAATAGGCAATAAAAGTTACCAGCAACTGTTAAGATTTAAGGAAACTGCCTTGTAAATTTGATCTGCACAATATGCGCTATGTGTATCGAAATTATTTTTTTTAGTAACAACCCCTAGTGATTATTGTCATTGGCTGGACGCCTCGCCCCAGATGAGAGGCATTTTGGCGTGAGGTTATAACGTATCAGATAGCAATACTCTATCGGGGCCAGTAGTAAAACATCTTAACAATAGGTAATGGATAATTAAGGGATTGTTAATAATTTATGGCTAGGGGTGATGACTTTAATTAGGGGAGATTTTGTACTGGGGAGGTAGGTAGCTCAACAACTCTGTACACATATACAGGGGGCAGGGGCAGGGGCAGCCATTTTGTACATAAAACATTATAGAATTAAGCTCAAAAGTTATTGGAAAATCTATGGGTCACCGATTTTGTACATGAAATGCAAGATGGTGTCACTTACTTTGTACGTAAATTTGGGGGTGGTGGTGGGGTGGTGTCATTCACATTGTACATGCTTCTTCATAAAATTTAAAAAGCATCAAGACCCCATTTACTATAAATTATGAACAGTCCCTAAGTTTACAGTTTGAAAATGGTAGCTTCAAAGCTTTCTGGGCTTTTTGGTTCTAAACAAAAATTACAAGTAAACGAGATAGAATTATCAACTTCCAGCAAAACAGTCTGCAAAACAAAATCCAACAAGAAGACAAAGTCATCAATACCCCCGCTATGGGAAAATAGTCTTCATGAATATGTCTACGAGTTATGATTATGTCAAATGTTTTGGTATACATGTATATAGAAAAGTGGAAGGAGAGTATTGAAAGGTTTTAAAAGTTCTGCTCCAGAAAGGAGCACTACCACCAGTTTCAGTCTAAGTCAAACTTGTTGGCATGGAAATGCAAAGATATTGTATTCAGAATTCCAAAACTACAAAAAGGCACCAGTACACCACCAGACCAAGCTATGTGCCAAGTTTGGTGAAGAAATAGTGAACAGTTTTAGAGTTCTGCTACGGAAAAGAGCACTACCACCAATTTCAGTCTAAGTCAAACTTGTTGCCATGGAAATGCCAAAAGATATTTAACTCAGAATACTAAATCTACCAAAAGGCACCAGCACACCACAACACCAATCTATGTGCCAAGTTTGGTGAAGAAATAGTGAACGGTTTTACTTTTAGAGTTCTGCTACGGAAAACAGCACAACCACCAATTTCAGTCTAAGTCAAACTTGTTGCCATGGAAATGCCAAAAATATTTTATTCAGAATTCCCAAACTACAAAAAGGCACCAGTACACCACTAGACCAATCTATGAGCGTGTCCACACAGACGAAAAACAGAAAAACTTTTTGTGTAAAAATTTCGATGAAGTAACAATTGTTATCACTGAGTCTGCAACAAGCAGGTTATGGTATTATTAGTAATTTAATTACTGTAAACAATGTGATGATCATGATACACAATACAATAACAGTAACTGAATTGCAACCATATTACAACATAGTGTTAATAATAATATTTAAAGGTCACATGCAACCAAAAAATCAAACATAAATAAAACACAATTATCACTTATTCATGACATATAATATGCATTGCTGGTTATGAAAAAACATATAAACAAAATTATAAGCGTACAATCGCAAATCAAAAGTGCAATATTGTGTACTTCGGTTTACTTCCCAAGAAATGAAGCAGCCGGGATACCGAACCCAGTCAGAGCGGGTGGGTGTGCACTCAAGTGTAACGGCTGGTTCATTTGCAGATGCCCTCACGGCTGATTGTGTGTGTATATGTAGAGATGTTGGGTTTTGTAAATACATGCTCATTTTTTGTGTATAACATTTTGCAATCAACAGACATCATAAGGCCCATCATAACATGTCATGTGTTCAAGTATCACACCTGCCTGTCTGTGTAATTACATAATGTGCCAGAGACCGAACTCGGGCCATAAATC